GGTGTCAGTTTTGTTGCCAGATAGAAGGGTTAAAAAACAATTATCAAGTCACATCAAAGCTTACGAGAATATCATTAGGGTTAAGCTTAATATATTTAATTACTAGCTGTACTACCCGGCTTCGCCCGGGTCTTGGATCCACGACGCCAGGCCGCCTTTGTCTCCCCAGTGGCAATGTTCATACGCCACACCAGTTACTCGTTTTGAGGCTGAGTCGACCTAGGGGAGGCCCACGACCGGTTCAAATAATCGTCACCGGCGGTGGCCGTGAGCGGGAATGGAACTTGGGTGGCCGGGTTCGTAGCGCGGCGCGCTAACCACGACACTCCAATGCGTTACGCTTACATGACATATTTGACGTCACAGGTAAATTGGTGTGCCAAAATATATGCATTATTGAGCTCACCCCCTCCCCTAAAAAAAGTGTATTTTGAGAATGTTTGCATGGTGTACAGTCCACAGGCTACAGTGTACATTATATACTGGCAGTCCGCTCAGCCAGCTGAATGACTATTTGCACAGTCAACTTTGAAAGAAGAGATTTTTTGCGCGTCGGGTTAAAAAGTAATTAGACAGTTTTTTTGTCATTGCTATGTAATGTTGAAAAGATTTATTAAGATTTAAAATGTATTTTCCCCCCGGGCAACGCTGGGTATAGCGACTTTATACGACAAAGTCGTCGCTTGACACGGGTGTGGAGGCGTAGTACTGTGCAGAGCCTCTGGCCTCGCCTAAATTGCCTGCCAGGCATGACGCTGGGTCGGGGTGGCGTCCCCCCCCCCCCCCCGTGCTACAATAATACTGTGTAATCGCTATAATTTAATAATGTAGCGACCCTATAAAAGTAATTTCACACATTGTGGTGGGGGGGGGAGTCAAGAGGAGGTGAAACTTTGATGCATTTACCTGACAGTCGCGTGTTGGGTGTCGAGGCGTAGTAGCGTGCAGAGCCTCCGGCCTCGCCTAAATAGGGCACCCGGTCGTGAAACTTTGATGAATGAACGTGAGAGTCGCGTGTCGATGCGTGCGCCTATTTGTAAGGGTAATTAAAAATGGCGACACACACACACAGACAGACAGACAGATTCGCGATTTTATATATATAGATAGTTACGAGATGTTCAGAGATTTTGATGAATGAAGAGGTCCTACCGATGTAGGACTATTTTTGTGTCCTTACGTATTGTGCTAATTTGTATGTGGCACAGCCTATTCTACTATGGGTCTTAATGGGACATTAGGTTTGTAATGTTTTGGTAGCCCATTAAGTCTTGGTGGTTTTTATGCCCTTGGTTTGATCAGGTATTGCTCTTCCTTGGGAATTGATGACTTGGCAATGATTGCCGTTGTTTTACGTTCCAAGGTGTTGGTTGGGTCTCGTGTAATTTTAAGGTAGGTACCTTCATCGAGTAAATCTTTGATTTTATATTCGTAGTCCTATTCAGATTGTAAATGTTGTGGCTTGGCTCTCCAACACACCGGTGCGCTGTACTCGTGACGAATTGGCATGTTCTGTTTACGTGACAACCCTTACTAGTTGGCTGTGTCTGGTGGTGGCGGGTTTAACGACGCATTTATAGATTTAGGCGATCTAATCCAAAAAACCTCTATTATGGATATTGGTCACGAAAGCCTCCGTATTAAACTGACATGGTTCAGAGGTTTATGCTTTGAATTTGCAAGGCTGCCCTATTGACATTCCAGACCAATACAAATAAGTGGTGATTATATTAAAGAAATGATTTGATGATACTCAATTGGCAGTGGTGCTCAAGCACACATAACGAAAACACGCAACGTATTCGTCAATAACACAAGTTTTTTGCACGTGTACTTTTAGGCAGGATGCAACCACTCCTGACAAAACATTGTCGCCTACAGAAATCAAGATGGATGCTGTGCTTGCACTAAGCCTACTTGCGGAACCGCACTGTGAGTTTGATCGTCCATTGGGGTGTCAGGGTAGCGAGACGTTAACTACCTCGCCTGGTGTACAGGCCAGAGGTGGGACAAAGTCATTGTTATGCAAGTCCAAGTCGAGTCTGAAGTCATCAAATTCATGACTCGAGTCTGACTCGAGTCCAAGTCACATGACTCGAGTCCACACCTCAGAGGTGGGACAAAGTCATTGTTATGCAAGTCCAAGTCGAGTCTGAAGTCATCAAATTCATGACTCGAGTCTGACTCGAGTCCAAGTCACATGACTCGAGTCCACACCTCAGAGGTGGGACAAAGTCATTGTTATGCAAGTCCAAGTCGAGTCTGAAGTCATCAAATTCATGACTCGAGTCTGACTCGAGTCCAAGTCACATGATTCGAGTCCACACCTCAGAGGTGGGACAAATTCATTGTTATGCAAGTCCAAGTCGAGTCTGAAGTCATCAAATTCATGACTCGAGTCTGACTCGAGTCCAAGTCACATGACTCGAGTCCACACCTCAGAGGTGGGACAAAGTCATTGTTATGCAAGTCCAAGTCGAGTCTGAAGTCATCAAATTCATGACTCGAGTCTGACTCGAGTCCAAGTCACATGACTCGAGTCCACACCTCAGAGGTGGGACAAAGTCATTGTTATGCAAGTCCAAGTCGAGTCTGAAGTCATCAAATTCATGACTCGAGTCTGACTCGAGTCCAAGTCACATGACTCGAGTCCACACCTCAGAGGTGGGACAAAGTCATTGTTATGCAAGTCCAAGTCGAGTCTGAAGTCATCAAATTCATGACTCGAGTCTGACTCGAGTCCAAGTCACATGACTCGAGTCCACACCTCAGAGGTGGGACAAAGTCATTGTTATGCAAGTCCAAGTCGAGTCTGAAGTCATCAAATTCATGACTCGAGTCTGACTCGAGTCCAAGTCACATGACTCGAGTCCACACCTCAGAGGTGGGACAAAGTCATTGTTATGCAAGTCCAAGTCGAGTCTGAAGTCATCAAATTCATGACTCGAGTCTGACTCGAGTCCAAGTCACATGACTCGAGTCCACACCTCAGAGGTGGGACAAAGTCATTGTTATGCAAGTCCAAGTCGAGTCTGAAGTCATCAAATTCATGACTCGAGTCTGACTCGAGTCCAAGTCACATGACTCGAGTCCACACCTCAGAGGTGGGACAAAGTCATTGTTATGCAAGTCCAAGTCGAGTCTGAAGTCATCAAATTCATGACTCGAGTCTGACTCGAGTCCAAGTCACATGACTCGAGTCCACACCTCTGGTACAGGAGGTTGTGGGTTCGATCCCGATCCCGACCCTGACGCCTGGTGTATATTTGGAGTTTGCATGTTCTTCCCGCGCTCATGTGGATATTTCTCCACCTCCTCCGGGTTTTCCCCTCCATATTTAGAAACATGCATTCATAGTATTTGGCTGCTATAAATTTCCACGTGATAAGCCACTTCTTTGAGCTATAACTTTTGGCCAGGTTGCTTCTGAAAAAGAGCTATATAGCTTTGCGGTCAAATTTTAAAGTTTAATTTACATTTATTTGAAGATGGCTTTTGACTCTGTGGATCAACCTGCTCTCTGATCTGCCTTCAGGGATTTGGATCCCTGGCATCCTGCTGGACACTGTGAAAGATTTACATGCAGGCACCAGCACAAGGGTCCGTGTCGGGTCCGTGTCGGGTCCGGACTTTCCCCACAATTCGAAACCACATCTGGAGTACGTCAAGTGTGGGGCCTTATCCCGGCGCTCTTCTGTTGGATTGACATGGTGTTTGAAAACATGACCCACTACCTTGGAGTCACGATTTGCCGGCACCACTTTACTGACCTCAATTACACTGATGATGCAGCTCAGTTTGTTGAAAAGTCTGAAACATGCACACCAGGCCTCCAAAATGTACACAAAAATGTGAAAAAAATGGTTCATGGCAATAAACAGAAGATACAACTTGAGTTTCAGTCCTAAAAAAGTACCCTGTATAATCAAAGACAACACTGTCGAAGAAGTGGAGAACTTGGTCTTCCTGGGTTCTGCACAGAGCCCTGATGGATGATGTAGACCAGATGTCACACGCCGAATCGGCTTAGCCTCAGGCGTAGTGACAGTTTGAACCGGATTTAGTCTCAGAAATTATTAAATCTGAGCACGAACTTGAGGGTCTACCTGTGGCTGTGTCGTCAGCTTCGTTGTGTGGTGCAGAGGCCTGGACATTGCTTCAATTCTGGTCTGGATCAGCTGCAGTCCTTCCACATGCGATGTCAAAGAGAGCTTCTTGGCATCTTCATGTGGAATTTCACCATTGCATCTACGACCGGTCTACTAGCCATTGAGAGCTTAGCACGAAGGTGATGGCCGTCACTTTTTGGAAACGTCGCCTGTCTTGATGCGCCCTCTCCAGCAAATTGCGCACTTCGGTTGGCGGTCGACGTTCGAAGTGGAATGCGACCCTCTAAAGAATGGTGCCACTTCCATGGGCGCCCCACCCCGTGAGCTTTGGATCAAACAAATCACTGCAGACTCCGGCATGGCAGCAAAAGCAGCTTGTGCAAATGCTTCTCGCAAGAGACCACACGGCCCTTCACTGACTATGCGTGATGAATGATTGATTCACTGTGCAAACTGACCTACATTCCTCAACCACTTCGTGCTATGGATAAAAACTCAATGGGGAGGTTTCGTCTGGAAAAGGGGCTAAAGTCTCACATTCGCCCGTGTCTGCTGAGGGAGCCAGGGCGTTGTATTTAATGTGTGGAGTGTGTTTGCTGGAAGCACAGCCTTGGCGTCACAAAGAATAAGTCAAACACAGACAATTCTCAATAAATAAATCAAGCTTCATTTCATATATCGCACTTCACAAGAAAACCGTTGCAGAGCACTTCATAGCATGCCATCACAAACACTTTTATAAATACAAAAGTACGAAGCAGACTCCAGGGAACACGATGGGGACCCCCCCCCCCCCCCCCATTGCACGGGTACTGCCTGGAGTTCATGGGTCTGCACGTTGAACGGTCTCTCGATTCACCCCGCTCGAGTGACCGTGCGTCTGCAGCTTGGTGCAACCTCTACAGATGTCTCACTGCGTACGCTTTGATTCGCTGCCAGAGGCCTTTCTTCTGGCTCTGCCCTGCAACCGGCTCCTGTGCCGTCTCCTGCTCCACACACCTGCCCTTAATCAACTCCGCCTGGCACTCAGGTATGATGATCTCCGCAATCCCCTCTTTGCCGATGCGCATAAACTCAAGCCTGATTGTCTTCTGCGGCTGTTGTTGTTGTTGCAGCTGCTGCAAATAATCATGGTGCTCCTGCATGTCTATTCTCAGCCGCTCCTCCTGCTCCTGGTCTGCATGCGTGTTCTTTTGCAGTACTACGTGGCTGTGCAGCGATGAGCCGACATTCAGCGTGTGCAGCGCCCTTGCGGAGACTGTGTGATACAGTGGGGAAAGATTAAATAGAAGACAGCAGTCAATATTGGAAACACAGGCACATTGCGTTCACTGCAGCAATGGTCAAAAAAACTTTTTTTTATCAAAGTTGGAATTTTCTTTCGGAAGGTTACCAAAATCCTGCCCGGCTCTGCTCAATGGATCCACCATGAAGCACTTTGATCAATTGATGTTGCTATGCTCATGCCAGCCATCCTCTGTCATTTATTTACTTCCTTGCCACTAATTTATAGGTATTACCACAGCCATAGTTCTTATAAATATCCTGTATTGATACCTCTGCTAATGTCAAGTACTCAACTGACAAAGGTTGACCTTTGCTGACCTCTACCATATTCACCCATCATTAGAGAATAACAGATTCATCTTCCTCCTTTCTGTCTGCACACTGCTTGACTTTAAAACTCTCTTCCAGTTCTTATAACCTTGTTCATTATCATATGACCTTGCTTATTATCATAAATAACGCATTCCTGCGGAGGGAGCTGGTAGGAACGTTGGGTTGCTCGGTCAATGGCCAGGGTCAACGGCGGCGTGGTGTATTCCGCAAATATGCCCGACTGTGAGGGCGGGCACAAGCCGGCGTGAGTAGGTTAAACGTTGAGTTTTATAAGGGCACCACGGGGTGACCAGCCCCTCCCCACCCAGCCCCACCCCTCCCACCCCCCACCCAGCTCCACCCTCCCCACCCAGCCCCTCCCCAGCCCCAACCTCCCCACCCAGCCCCACCCTCCACACCCAGCCCCACCCTCCCCACCCAGCCCCTCCCTGCACGACGGACGGACACAATAATCCCCTGTGAGCTGGTGTAACCAGGAGGTTCCTACCAGTAATAAGCAACTTACAGCCCGTTGGCAATCCATTGCTTCATAATGGCCTCCTCCTGCCATATAAGTCATGGGAGTTGTTATACCATGCCAGTCACCCCAGATTGGTGAAGGAGGTAGGCCATAACCTGTTTTGATATCACCAGCCAATGATGTTAGCTGTGGCTGAGACTCAAACGCCGGTCACCGCGTCATAGTATCACTGTGCCACTGCTCCGTAATATAATGGGTACCAACGTCATTATTTCTGGCTCTCCCCTGCCCCGAGTTGGCAATGTCATATGCTGCTTACCCTGCAGCAGCGGGTCGCAGGGCTGCCTGCGCTGTGGATACGCACTGCCTTTGATCACCAGGCTAGCATCCGGAGCAGTGGCGGTGGTCCTCCTCGCGATGCGGATGCAATTTTTCATGCTGCGGATACGAGAAACAAAAAGCGGGCAGAATGTCAAAAGGCTGAATTTTGGCAATAGAATGGAGGAGATGGGCGAGTAGCTCATCTTTAACAACTAGCCAAGCAGCTGCTTGGACTGGCCCACCCACTGAAGCTAACTAATTTGCCAACTATATACAGATCAGAGCCCTCCCAATGACCATACTTTCAACCCCACCCATACATCTGGAAATTGATTATATTGATTATGACCACTTTTCAATAAATGCTTGATTTTCAGTTCATGGTAATCATGGTGCCCCAGTAGCAAGGGTAAATTTTCTGGGTTGGAAAATGAAAAGAAAACAATTCCATTTATGATAAAAAAAAAATATGTATTGAACCTCCGCTGGGTAGTGCTACGACTATTTCATATTTCAATACACGATACAGGTGAGCATTGAAATTACATGTACGAGTTACTGCGTAAATGAAATAAATATATAAAAGCATCGTGAAGCTGAGGTGAATGGTACAATCCAATGGTACTCCTCTGTCAGTGTCATGCATTATACGTACGATATAAGTGAGATGAAGTTGCGATAGATTGTGATGGATATAACACGCCCAATATTCACTGCTTCCAACAAATCAGAGACGAGCGTGCTTGTGTAGCCCAGCATTCGGAAACCCTCCACCTTGAACAACACGTCTCCTGTAGGGTGGAACAGACACAACGTTCATCTGCTGTTAGCTCGTGTTTGTGCATGGGTGTACGTGTGTCTGTGTCAATCTGCCCCATGACCTGTCAACGTGCCTTTGACACTTCACGTGGCTTCGAATATATACGTAGACTCACACAAGTACCGTGGTGAACAGGGGCGGTTTCTTCATTAGGGCGATTGGGCGACGCACCACCAATCTCATTCAACCACAGAGTTCCGCGAGCCGTTACTGTGCCTCTGGATATAGTCCAATCAGCGTCATGTCACGTTCTGTGGAGTACCGCCTCTTTTTGGGCGATTTCACTCCGGCTGAGAATCGCCCAGAGTGTCCCCATAGACTTACATTCAAAGATGTTTTTTATCGAACGGCGGGCGCTGCAATGCATTCTCTATGGCTTCCGGGAGGGCTCGCACTAACGTGCTTACGTCATCATATGTCAGCACGTTTCAGTCAACAATATTATTTGTCGCCACCTAGTGGAATCTTTAATAAAAGAAACTGAGTGGATTGTAATAATAGTGAGTATAGAAACAAACAAGATGTATTGTAAGAGTCACTTTATTTTTCATTAATATTAAAGAAGTGAAGTTGCCTTTACATGCTTAAGCTGTTAATTTATCCATTGCATGGGTGGATTATCAATCATCCAGATATTTGCCCCCCCTGAGAGATTTTGCAGGAGCCGCCACTGGTGGTGACATTTCCACCATCTCGTGAAAGATCATGCTTCACCCTAAATTGCATCTGCATAAACCGAGGCAGATGTGGATACCTGCCCATGTAGAACTTGCCCCATCGGTCTCTGAGCTGGAATTCACCGGAATAATTTGAACATCAAACTTAACATGATGTTACCAATCTTGTCATTGATGACCGAGCTGAGACCAAATCAGTTTTACTCGCAGGCAGCTGAAACCCAGATTCAAAAACCAGGATATTAATGCTTCCAGCTCCGTGATCTCTGATCGACCCAGCCATGTCTGATATAGTGTTGTTGTTATCGTTTTTTTTAAAACATGATAAACCCAATGGCCATCCCTGCACCCCATCTTATAGTGTTTTGCCCGTGCATATTTTTGCAGTGTCTCACCTGGCTGAAGTTTTCCTCTTAGATGAGCATAACTTCCTGGAGCAAGGACAACCAGTTGCACATAATCTCCACGCTGTACAAATTCCAGCCCATAGCCAACATATCGCTCCCTCATTATTGTTGCCCGAACAGTCTTCGCAAAGTTGGGCTCCAGTTCCAAGCTGTGCTTGATGCATTCACCTGGAGGGGGGAGAGAGGAGGAGAAGGGAGGAAAGAGAGTTAGCAATAGAAGTGGTGATCAGCATGATTAAAACTGTTGTTTGTGGCGAGGTTTTTTTCATTCAATTAATCAAAATAGCATTGCTGAGAATAAGAAATGTTTGGTCGAGTTGATTTCGTGCGTAACGAGCACTGAGGCAGTGCTCGTTTTCCTTTTAAAGCCCAAAGCTAACCAGCAGAACCTCCCGATTTTAAATCCTTTATATTAAGTTCGCTTGCTTGCGTGCTTGCTTGCTTGCTTACGACCGTGTAAATCTTTCGGTCGTTTTTTAACCCACTTCCCACGATCCAATCGAGTTGACATTTTCCACACAGACTTGTTGTGCGTGACAATTAATGTTCGTGAAATTTTTTTTCCAAAATTTTACACTTTATAGGACAAAAAAATTACATTTAATTACCAATTGTTTAATACTGCAGACAATCATCTGACCCATAGGTGGCAGCCATCTCAAGCCAGAGGACGAGAGGACTCAAGCCGCCACGCATATAAAGGATTTAGAGTGAAAAACTTTGTTTTTACGGGTTTACTTATTCTGAATTAAGCAGCATTTTTTTTCGTGCAAACCACACGTGCATCGCTAGCCTGCAACCTTCGAGGTTACCAAGGCCCTCCATATCTGTATTTGACTTCAAAGCGGAATACAATTGTGTATCATCAGCATATTAATGGCGCTTAATGTCATGCGACCAGATGACATCAGCAATCGGCGAGATCTATGTTGAAAATAGGAAAGGTCCAAGGACGGACCCCTGTGGAACGCCAACTAGGCATAGACGCAGCTTTGTGGGCAGGACAGTATCCAGCAGTGGGTTGATAATGGCTAATAATGATGGTGGGGGTGAGTCTTTCCACAGGACAACCACTGTTGACATTTCCATGCAGTGATAGTGAATTTATTGACCTCGGAAGCATGATGCGTTGTCAACCCCAAACCCAGGTTTCAACTCACAATGTGATTACGAGCTGATCATTCCGAGCCATCTGGCTGGTAGTTTTAATATACATTCCATAAATAGTTTTTGCGGGGCAACTAAAATTGTGTGGGCTTAGCGTGGATACATCATCCTGAAACATTATCTGGTGCAAGGTGGTAGACTGCTTATAGTGACAATTCACAGAAATGCCCTTCTGATGTCATGCCAATAGCAAATAATAAAATGTATCACCCATAACAGCAACAAACCCACTGTTATCATCCACAAATCCCATGAACACATCACTAAGAACGCGCCCGATGTCATCACATGTCAAAATCTAGGCAGAGTTAGGTCTGAACAAAGCTGGGATGGGCAACCACTCTGATTAAACAACCCACGAGGTGTATGTCGGTGGTCCTCATCCAGCAGTAGATTGATAAAGAGATACAAATTGTTACAGAATAACTGTTATCCTTGGCCCTATTATTAGCAACTCCTATTAACTTATGTTTCCAATACAGTGGTACCTCGGTATACGACCGCTTTGGAATACGTCAAATTTGGTATACATCGTGTTTTGACATGAAAAAAATGTCTTGGGATACGACGCGCTTGCTATAACTTGTATGGGTCTGGATGAGTCACCGCTTACCCGCGTACAGTATATCCCGTTCACGACTGAAACAAAGCGCCGCTCCTCAGTCTGCCTGTAAGTCTCGTTCAGTGCACAACCCTTGCTATAGCTCTGTGAATTTTCACGTGTTTTTTGTCATTTTAACGTACATTTTTTGCGAATTAATTCCTGAGAAGGTTAGTGAGAAAAGCAGAAAAATACTACCCCAATAAAGCTCTAACAAGCCATAACAGTATTGTGTGGAATGACCAGACAATGTCACACTTCAGGAACATTCTTAGAAGAAGGCAAAAACAAACTTCAATGGACAGGTTTAAAGTAAAACTCAAACCTGGTGAACCTCAACCAGGTCCATGTCAAGAAAAAAGACAGAAAAGAGAAAGAGAAAAAACCCCAGAATTTCAGCTTCCTGAAGTTTAAATGGAAGGGGACTCTCCTTCCAAAAAATAACATCTCCTCCTCCTCCTCGCCTTCCTCACCACCATCCTCATAGGCTATCAACTCCTCTCAGCAAGGTAAAGTGACGTTAAAGTTTGTTAAAATTTATTTATTTATGCGTTTATTTTAATTTATGTATGCATTTTAGTAATAAGTAGTGTCTACATTTATATTTAAGACTGCAGTCCACTCGCTGGCATTGACTATATATCCTTTGTATTCTCCTCAGGGAATGGAGTCTTTGCTCCGCTGCAAGTCTCCCCACACCACTCTCCCATTGACATATTTCGTTGCTTCCTCTTAGTACCTTTCACGTGACGGTCAATGGTATAGTGTATAGCAGATTGTATTATAATAATAATAAATAGTATAAAAGTGTAATGTTTAATATAATGTATAAGGTAACATATAGTATCGTAATTGTATAGTGAATATATAGCAGTGTGGTATACAGTAGGGTGTGTAGAATAATACATAGTGTAATATTACAATGTATAGTCTAAGTAACGCAGTGTATAATTTAATGTTGGGTTTGTCTATGGCAGTGTAAAGTACGGGATATATCCGTGTTTAGCTGGAGGAATTGTAATGTATGACTTACTGGTAGTAGCTCAGCTTATTGGAGAGTATATTGAGTAAATTGATGATATTGATGCAGTTTATATTTTAGTTTTTTACGTGGTGGTTTGGCTGCTGCAGCTCCTTACTATTAAAATTTCCCTCCTTTTATTACTGCTAATCCTACTTCCTCCCTTTATTATTGCTAATCCTACATAGTACACGAGCATAATAGGACTTTGAGACCCCCCCCCCACCACCTACACATTCTACAAGTAGTGACTAATCCCATATCTGAATTTTCCATAAACATGCTAAATTCCTCTGTTGATATGCAAATTCCTTTGTCAAGGCGCTCTCCTCCTCTACACAAGCTTAAATATACGCTGCCAAGCTTGGTGATGTTCATTCGGACGCTGTCTTTCCGACAGCCCTGTTCTTCACCTGAGGACGGCTGCTTGCGTTGTGGCCGAAACGTCGTGAAAATTGTATTTTATTATGTTTTATTTTTATTATTTTATTATTTCCCTTCTACGTGACTTTACCGAAAGAACCTAAGAAGAAGTAGTGTCTAAATTATTTAATACAACCCCATTAATGTATAATATGCCATATAAAATATCATTTCTTATACTCTGGAACGGATTATTTCCTTTCCCTTTATTTCTTATGGGAAAAATTCGTTTGGTGTACGTCATTTTCGGTATAAGGTCCTCCTACCTTCTGGGACGAATTAACGACGTATACCGAGGTACCACTGTAAATAAGTCTTGTGCTAAATACACCTGGAGACACCCAGAGACGTGGATACACAGAAAGACGCAGAGACACACACAGAGACACATTCACAGAGGTACACACAAACATACGGGAACAGAGAGAGAGACACAGAGACGCAACATATACACAGGGAGATAGGGACAAAGAAAGGCAAGGTCCAAAGACAGAGATGGAGACACGTACAGCATAGACAGACCTAGGGGAGGCCCAGGACCGGTTGTGTAAACATCGCCACTGGGGAGATAACGGCGGCCGGGCGTGGTGCTGGTCACCCACCCCCTCGTGTGCCGTGCCGGACAGCCTCCTAAGGCTACACGGGGGGGGGGGATCTTTGTCTGTGCCCACACACAAACACCCACACACGGTGGTACCTACGTAGGCCTCGACAATCCGCTTGATGTATTTCGTTTTCATGTCGAGAAACTTTTTTCTCGTCGTCGACAAAAGGCGCGGCGCTCGATTCGCCACCAAGCACGCGTCTCGACCACAGCTGTTGTCGTCACCGCGACCACGTGGGGTGCTTCTGTGACGTTACAATCTTCTGCCCGCCCCCTGCAAGGCCCCGCCCACCTACGCTCGCCCCTCCCCCTTCCAACGCTCGCCCCTCCCCCTTCCAACGCTCGCCCCTCCCCCTTCCAACGCTCGCCCCTCCCCTTTCCAACGCTCGCCCCTCCCCCTTCCAAAGCTCGCCCCTCCCCCTTCCAACGCTCGCCCCTCCCCCTCCAACGCTCGCCCCTCCCCCTCCAAAGCTCGCCCCTCCCCCTTCCAACGCTCGCCCCTCCCCCCAACGCTCGCCCCTCCCCCTTCCAAAGCTCGCCCCTCCCCCCAACGCTCGCCCCTCCCCCTTCCAACGCTCGCCCCTCCCCCTTCCAACGCTCGCCCCTCCCCCCAACGCTCGCCCCTCCCCCCAACGCTCGCCCCGCCCCCTTCCAACGCTCGCCCCTCCCCCCAACGCTCGCCCCTCCCCCCAACGCTCGCTCCTCCCCCCAATGCTCGCCCCTCCCCCCCAACGCTCGCCCCTCCCCCTTCCAACGCTCGCCCCGCCCCCTTCCAACGCTCGCCCCTCCCCCCCCAACGCTCGCCCCTCCCCCTTCCAACGCTCGCCCCTCCCCCCAACGCTCGCCCCTCCCCCTTCCAAAGCTCGCCCCTCCCCCTTCCAACGCTCGCCCCTCCCCCCAACGCTCGCCCCTCCCCCCAACGCTCGCTCCTCCCCCCAATGCTCGCCCCTCCCCCCAACGCTCGCCCCTCCCCCTTCCAACGCTCGCCCCGCCCCTTCCAACGCTCGCCCCTCCCCCCCAACGCTCGCCCCTCCCCCTTCCAACGCTCGCCCCTCCCCCCAACGCTCGCCCCTCCCCCTTCCAAAGCTCGCCCCTCCCCCTTCCAACGCTCGCCCCTCCCCCCAACGCTCACCCCTCCCCCTTCCAAAGCTCGCCCCTCCCCCTTCCAACGCTCGCCCCTCCCCCCAACGCTCGCCCCTCCCCCTTCCAACGCTCGCCCCTCCCCCTTCCAACGCTCGCCCCTCCCCCCAACGCTCGCCCCTCCCCCCCAACGTTCGCCCCTCCCCCTTCCAACGCTCGCCCCTCCCCACAACGCTCGCCCCTCCCCCTTCCAACGCTCGCCCCTCCCCCCCAACGCTCGCCCCTCCCCCTTCCAACGCTCGCCCCTCCCCCCAACGCTCGCCTCTCCCCCTTCCAAAGCTCGCCCCTCCCCCTTCCAACGCTCGTCCCTCCCCCCAACGCTCGCCCCTCCCCCTTCCAACGCTCGCCCCTCCCCCTTCCAACGCTCGCCCCTCCCCCTTCCAACGCTCGCCCCTCCCCCCAACGCTCGCCCCTCCCCCCCAACGCTCGCCCCGCCCTCTTCCAACGCCCCACCCCTCCCCCTAACGGTAGCCCCCTCCCCTGACCCCCCCCCCCCTCTCCCTGCTGCTGCGATTGTCCCGAGTCGCCGCTGTCTTTGATTTTTTTCCGCGCTTGCTGAGCACAGGGCCCAAACAAATTACACAGATCTCGTAAAGAAATAAGATGTAACACGGATCTCGAATTGAGAACGGTTATAAGAGCTTGCCTGTATCATGGGACCTTGTTGCCAGGATCAAGGTATTCGAAATAAGAATCTTTTACCCATTCTGGCAAAACAACAGGTGGTGTTAAGATGTTGAAACACTAAATAGACACCTTTCAAAGACAATGCATATATGATCAGAGCATTTAAATTTCGATTAAAAGCTTTCGTGACTGCAGGGATTCATCTTCTTGGTTCTTTCGGTAAAGTCACGTAGAAGGGAAATAATAAAATAATAAAAAATTTAACATAATTTAATAATTCTCACGACGTTTCGGCCACAACGCAAGCAGCCGTCCTCAGGTGAAGACTAGGTCTGTCGGAAAGACAGCGTCTGAATGAACACCACCAGGCTTGGCAGCGTATATTTAAGCTGGGTTGGAGGGGGAAGAGCGCCTTGACAAAGGAATTTGCATATCAAGAGGAATTTAGCATATTTACGGGAAATGCAGATATGGGATTAGTCACTACTTGTGGAATGTGTAGGAGGTGGGCGGGGAGTTTCAAAGTCATATTATGTCCGTGTGATGTAAGAGAAAAAAGTTTAGCTGGAGGCATATTATATTTTTGCGACATAGAATTGTAATGCATGACTTACTGTTAGTAGCTCAGCTTATTGGAGAGTATATTTAGTATATTGATGATACTGATGTAGTTTATATTTTAGTTGTTTACGTGGTGGTTTAGCTGCTGCAGCTCCATACTATTAACATTCCTTCCTCTTGGTTCTTTCGGTAAAGTCACATAGAAGGGAAGTAATAAAATAATAAATATAAAACATAATAAAATAATTCTCACGACGTTTCGGCCACAACGCAAGCAGCAGGTGAAAACCAGGTCTGTCGCCTCGACAGACCTGGTTTTCACCTGAGGACGGCTGCTTGCGTTGTGGCCAAAACGTCGTGAAAATTATTTTATTATGTTTTATTTTTATTATTTTATTACTTCCCTTCTACGTGACTTTACCGAAAGAACCAAGATGATGAATCCCTGCAGTCACGAAAGCTTTAAATCGAAATTTAACATTCCTTCCCTTTATTAATGCTAATCCTACTCCCTCCCTTTGTTGCTGCTAATCCTGCATACTGCACGGGCATAATATGACTTTGAAACCCCCCGCCCACCTCCTACGCATTCCACAAGTAGTGACTAATCCCATATCTGCATTTCCCATAAATATGCTAAATTCCTCTTGATATGCATATTCCTTTGTCAAGGCGCTCTTCCCCCTCCAACCCAGCTTAAATATACGCTGCCAAGCGTGGTGGTGTTCATTCAGACGCTGTCTTTCCGACAGACCTGTTCTTCATCTGACGGCTGCTTGCGTTGTGGCCGAAACGTCGTGAGAATTATTTAATGTTTTATTTTTATTATTGTATTATTTCCCTTCTACGTAAATTTACCGAAAAAACCAATAATATGATCAGAGCATGTTTGTTTGCATGTTCACCACAAGCACGTGTGATTAATGCAGACTTAATTACTTGGAAAATGTATATATTTGCTGTTTGATCATCTCAACACCTGTTGTATTGCCAGAAAGGGTAAAACTTCCTCTTATTTTTCAAAAGCTTTCCTGTAAATGAAAACCTCAAACCATCGCAATTTCTGAATAAACTTTCAAAACGAGCCACACTTATGAAGAGGGTGTGCGTTCAATGGCAGTGTTGCATGATCCATACCCCAGTGCTGTTTGGTGTGCAGAATGATGGTACGTGATGTACATGATATGTTTGTCTTTTGCAAATAACACGCTGTGATTTGCTTTTGATGTTATTTGATGCTTTACACAAAGGGGAGTTTGGACTTGAAAGGGGCCCACTGGCTTCAGTTAAACGGGACGAGATGTCATGAGTGGTCCCAGTTAAATCATCCACTCACCCCTCCCTGGACTTCCCTCCCACTCGACTTTCTCCGCCACTTGCCCGTGTCTCTTAGTCCTTGATTGCCTCCCTCCTCTGATGTGGTCATTCATTATCATCTTTTCTATCTCTTATTCCTCTTCAATACCCGTCCCATTTCTCATTTCCCCTCTCACTTCTTGGCTCTTCGTTCCTGTCCAATCTCCCCTCTCTCCACGGCAAATGCCAGCGGCAAAAAAACATTTTATTTCGAACAATGTTATTGCATTTGAAGATGTTTGTTTACACAATGTCATTTATTCATAAAAAGCCTTCTCAATGTGTAAGACTCATGGGAAAATGTAACACGTTTAAAACGCACTATCAAGCCAGCAGACATTGTGGATGTTTTGCCTGTACGAGACAAGCCAATTCAACGGCATTTCAAATAAACAACGAACTCAATGGGCTTTTAGTCTTTAATTTAAATGTAATAGTTGTTCAATAGGTTGCCTTTGACAGTGAACATCACGTGTTACTGTTAAGTCTTCGAGAAACGTTTTCCTGTACTCCAGTGGCAAATAATTAATCTCATTAGTGCATGTTGGTATTGACAGTTTGAAAATAGTTTGCCTGCAATATTTACTTGTACATAATTACAACTCACATGATTTAGAAAATTAACATGCAAGGGTCTATTTCATCACGTAACCAAATAACATTATAAGTGCATTGGGCTATGGGACTTCTTGACCAGCATAATTTGTTCAATCTGGCAGAACACACAATGCTTCATGATGCTAAGCGGTAGAAAACATTGGGGCAGAATACCCTTTCGCCAAATTGACTGAAATAAAATGTACTTAGTTTTTTTTTTTTACAAAATCGACGTTCATTTATTATCTGATCATCCACAACCTACCAAAATAACACACGTTTTGTATTTACACGAGTCAACACAGCCATCAATACAATGCTCACACACATGCACAAGAGACTCTTAGGCATTCGTTACAGCACTGATTGTGGAGATCGGCACTCACATGAGTTACGGTACAGCCACTGTCATGCCTATCAATGTGCCTGTGTCAACGCCTATCTTCTATCCAGTGTCAACCTCATAATTGAGGGTCAATGCTCATGACAGATGCTTTCCACCTTGTGATCTTCAGCGTCTCTCACAGAGAGTCCTGTTCTGTTATTGTGAATGTTGTTACAACTTTTGCGGCTCAGAAAAGTAAGCGACAGTTCAATTTTCAAACATGTTTTGATAGAATATTCCACAGATAACACAGTGAGATGTGAGCGGACAAACAAGAGCATCCAGGAAGCAGAGGTACGCCGACGTGTGTACACCACAAAACGATCGTTAATTTTATAGGGGTGAACGGACTGTGTTTAACACAAGGATAATTACTGGCCCCAGCAAGTGCTCAATAACACATGATACAGCACTGCACCCCCGTTCCATTCCTAAAAACGATCACATCAACGGTCATAACTTGGGATTGTAATTCATAGCAAACATTGATTTTGCCTTTTATTTTTGACATTCCATTTGCCAAAATGTGAGTCTCTTCATTTGCATTACAATTTTAAATCGCACATAATCCCATTGTACGATTCATTGCGTATATGGTGTTAACATTTTTATCGATGCATCGATGAGTTGTTACAGTACTTGGCTAATTAAGAGTAAAAGTTGATTGCCATTAGGGATGCAAGACTTTTCAATCACATAAAACACCAAGCATATCAACAGCATAACTGAGCACTGCCTTTCACCACACACCGTTTATACAATAATGCTGTTTTTGCAACGCCACCTCAGAGGTGTTCAATGGATAGGCTGCTGTGACATTCAAGGTTCACTGATCCACCGCGTATGCAGCTTGCAGTCACAAGTTCAACCGCAATGAAGCTTGTAGAGCTGAATGGAGTTCAAAATAACTCACAAACACATTGTGAAAGACCCAACGCAAAGATCTCTGGGTTTGATCCTACACGAAGTTCATGGTCCACTCTAAACCGCATCCACAAAAACATAGCAGATGCAGATACCCGATGCACAAATGGAAAATTAAAAACTCTCCAGTGTGTGACTGTGGTCGTCCAGAACAGACCATACAACATATACCAATGTAATGCCTGATTGACAAATACCAAAGAGACATCACAGCGATACACTCTGATACTCCTGACGCGGTTATCTGGCTTCACTACCTTAATGTCAAATTGTAGTTGTTGCTTTGAATCTACATCAGCGACATGAAAGCTGGGTCACAATTCAAGTTGAACCCATCGAAATAAAAATGGAGCACTACATTCTCACAAAATGTACCATTTTGAATAACTTTTCAAGCACCGATCTTATTTAGTAAAATTGTTACAAATTACCCGACTGAAATATGCAGCTTTTAAAAATAATATCGATAACAAGTGTCACCAAACTGCACTGCACTTTGGACCCACAATATTAATACCACGTTCCATCAATCGGCAATGAAAGCGCAAATCAATTTCCTAAAACACATTAAGTTTGTATAAATTAAAAATTATTTACACCCATTTACCTTCCCACTCTGTTGTCGATGTTGGTGTCAAATCATGTTCGTCTTCTGTTACCGCCAGTGGTTGCCCAGCAGAACCATTAACCTTTGATTACTTATGCAGTCACATCAATGCTTTAACAAATTCAAGAGTTGGTGCAGACAAAGGACATTATTGCCACTCGCATACAGTAAAGTCCATTCCTACCGATCAAAAGATTTCCGCAAAATACATTTCGCTTTGCGATTCATAGCTATTTGGCAGGTTCAGAGGCAATAAAAAAAAAACCTTTTGCAGAACAGATGGATGCTTGTCTGCAAACCTAGCCTCAATTGCACCGACGGCCACACAGCTGTCACTTGCGAGAGCCGCCAATGTCTCCGAGAAGCCCACAAGAGCTGCGGGAAATCGAACGAAAGCGGCGAGCCGACGGATACCATCGCTACCAATGCCGCGTGTGGACCAGCTCAGCCCTCAGGCTAAGGCGCTTCAGAGTCTCGTATCCCAGGACGACAAGCATTGACGTGGGCGCAGAGGATGCGATGCGCGCCGACAGGCCCTTGGTGAAGCCCCACATGCCCTCCTGTGCCCACAACTGCCGCAATGCTTCCAAGATGGAAGAACGGCCCTCCACCTGCAAAGCCGGTAGCACACAAAGAATAAGCAACGCAAGGTGTGCGTGTAACAGCATATCGTCTCTGACTGCAACTTAAGTCTTTGGTGGCTGGGTGGCTTACGATGTTAATAATGTCTGTGAAGCACTAAGCCAGCGCCAGAGAATTTGAATTTAGGTATTGACCACCTGTGATTTAACTGGGCTCACAAATATGGTGAGATTATTTTGTAGCAACATTCACGAAACAGGTAAAAAATTAAACGATTCACGTGACGAGAACACTCTTTTAAGAGCGAATAAAATCTATGCCGGAGCGTGGAAAAATACCCTGACTGAAAGTTACTTTTTAAGTGCAATACAAAACGCAATTCCATCCGGGCTCACCTGCAGACGAGTCCGAATAACGTCCATGGGGTTTGTCAGCACGGAGGCTGTGACGGACGCCATGGGACCGGCGACTGCTTGGAGGACCAGGTGAGGACAGTTGCTGGGGGCCCTACTAGACAGCTGCTCTGCACAGCAACGTGGGAAGTGGTTTGAGTTGGGACAGCAAAACTGAAATCGACTGGTCAAACCAAGTGCACGAGCATACTCCGAGACACTGCAAAGCAACGATTCAATTGTACGAAATGTAGACAATCATCTTTTTTAAAGTATCAGGTGTACAGCACCAACTCACCAGCATATAAGTGATAGAAGGGCCACCAGACGGCGCTGCTGGGGATGTAGGTGAGCAGTGAGGCCAGGTAGCCCCTGTAGAACCCTCGCATGCCGTCCACCTGCCGAATCTGCCTCACAATGTCCCTGGCTTGCCCAAAGGACGGGCGCCCCCGTCTGCCCTCCGTCGGATCGGTGCCCACCTGGGCCGCGTGGCCGTTCAGACCCCGCTTTGGATGGTCCTGCACTTTGAAGCGCCCGCCACCCTCCCCGGCCTGGCCCTGCATCATGAGGTGCTGTGACACGACATCGATGGGCACCGTGATGCTCTGCGCCACCAGTGAAGCCACCCCGCCGCCTGCCAGTGACCTGAAGGGAATACCGGCGGTGAGGCTGGTGTGCCAACGGAAGCGTGCATCTGTAATCGAGCATTTGAAAGTAGTGCTGTTGGATTGCCTATGACTAGATCATCCAGAATACGCCCGATTTCGTCAGACCCTGGATGATAAACAGGATTCAGCCTGGATTCTGCTTGGAATGACTACTATGCATAATATAGGTGCAAACAAATGCTGCAGGGCCATATAATGGGCAGCAGAGGGCAGTACAGAAATGATTTTGCGTACTCTCGTATGCTCTGTCGATGCTCACCACATTCACCAACCTACAATGACCGGCGTGGTGACGCATGGGCAAATAATCCCCACAACTCACACAGCAAAGGGAGAGCCTTATCCAACAGTGCATTGACAAGAGGACTCTAAATTATCGTGAAAAGTACAAGGACGGAGTCATCAGGTGTGTGAGACTCCCAACTGTGTTAGAAATGTATAAATCTTACTTAAGGTGTAGGAAATAAAGAAAAGCTTCCCACAGGGGCTGCGTACTTCAATGTGTTGTCAGCTCCCAGCCTGCCGGCTTGGTCTCGCACGAGTTCATAGGTCGTGATGTAGAACTGTCCTGACACCAGAGTTAATGCGTTGACAGCGAAGCCCCGATAGAGACCCAGCACTCCCTCCCTCTGCAGGATCTTGATGAAGGCGTCTGCCGTACCGCGGTACTGGCTGCTGCCTCGCTGCACCTGAACAACATATTCATATCAAATTACGAGTTGACACAATACATTTACAGGTGTTTACAGATTACCATCCATTCACAATCACCAAAAAATAATATGTTGTAACATTCACATCCTATTCACATGCAATAATGGGTTCACACAGACATTCACATTCATTCACACGCCATTCATGGGCTTCCATGTTCATATACCTGACATCTACAAAACTGTGCGCATGTGCTCACACACCAGACGCTCACATGATATACAACATTCACACTGCTCATATACAACCGTATGTCCACACACCACATGAACTCACAAACCATTCTCGGCTCACATGCCGCCACAGTCAGTTGCCAGACGACCATGCATCATCACGTTTTCACAAGTGTTCAAATGTCACCACTCATTCACACATCAGATGTTCACACGAGTTGACATGCTACCATGTGTTCATCATCTTAACATACACGCCCACATTGCTACGACAGTGGTAACATAAAAATACCAAATGAAACAAAATAATACTTTAATACAGGGTGTCCATAAAATCCCAAACTATTTTATTGAAATCAAAGCAATTCAGGGTAAATTATGCAATAATTGAATCAAAGGTATATTTATTAATAGCTGTTAAGAATTAGATTATACATGAGCATCCTCAATATTTCTGCACAGCCCAAATCTGTCAGCTGCATTACAGCATCTATGGAGTTATTTTTGCAACTGCTGCTGCTATACAATCGAATAAATCATGCAGATCTGTAACTCTCGTTTGATACACCTCTGACTAGATGAGGCCCCATACAAAGACATCCCAAGGTGTTAAATCCGGAGATGGAACCGTTTGGGGCCTTGTTGCCGCTGCGTCCAATCCAGAAATTTGGAAAACGTTCGTTAAGGTGCTCCGGAATCATGTTTGTGTAATGCGGTTGTAAACGGCCCTTCTGAGGTGCCGTCAGGGGGGGAGGAGTTAGGTCACGTGGGGGGAGAGGGGTTGAGTATAGAAGGAGGGGAACCGGAAGAGCAGAGGGAGTGACTGGGAGCCAGGAACAGAGGAAGGCCACGTAGGGCGAAGCGGGGTGTGGCGAGATCGCCACGAACACGGGGGAAGCGAGGATCGGCACCGTTGGCCAGCGGTGACCGACCCGAAGCAGCAAGGAGGCTGCAGTCAGCAGCGGGGCTGCACAGAGAGAGTGGGCAGCGGGTCTGCATACAGTGACAGCCAGAGGGTCTGCACATAGGGGTAGCAGCGAGTCTGCAGGGAGGAGGTTACAGTAGATGAAGCAGAGAGTCAGAGGGGTGAGGAAGCTATAATAGCAGTGAATAGCCGGGGGCTACAAATACAGGAGTTATAACAGAGTGCCGTGTGGGTAAAGACGTGAACCTGAATAAAGACACGAAGACAGAAAGAAGTGTTCGAGTCCTTTTATTACACTGGAGTCAGAAGTGAAACGGCATGGCGAAACAACTGAGGAAGAAGAATATCCCATCTCCGGCGTCGGCTTCATCATCGGACGACGACGATCTTCCTCCTGAGGTCGGCTTCACTTCGGCGGAGGGAGAGATCCGTGAGGGCCCGGGTGTGGAGGAGGTTGCCGCTGCGCCCGACCCATCTGCGTTGAAGGACGAAGATTTAAGATGGACCCGGATGGCGGAGCAACTGGCGACCCTAAAAACCGTCATCACGGAGTTGTGTGACCTTGTCACGCCAAGGGCGGCGTTGGAAGGTGATGGTGGTGATCGGCAGGAGCCCGGGTCGTCTTCGATGGCGCCGCCATCGACCACGCGGCGTGAAGACGCCATCTTGGGCGTGGCGCACCACGGAAGGCGGGAAGCCGCCATCTTGGGGCCGCCACGAAGATCGTCCGCCATCTTGGCGACACCGCGTTGCGACGCCTTGCTGAACTTGCCGCCGGAAGAGTCGGTGACGGACGGAAGCAGGCCAAGGAGCCGCAGTCGTCACCTTACAACTGTTAAGGAGTTCTCCATCGGGGGCGATTGGAGTGCGTTCGCTTGTCGATTTTTGGCGGCGGTACGAACGGCAAGGTGGACGGACGCCGAGGCGCTGGAGGTGCTTCCGACTCTCCTTGACGATGAGTCTGTTCGTTTTTTTCGCTCTATAAAAGCTGCGAAGAAGAAAACATTGCGTGGAGTGTTCGACGAAATGGCGGACGCGTACGAGCCACCGGATGACGCCCATCGCCGCTTCGTGCAGCGGCAACGCGCACCGGAGGAGTCGCCTGTAGCGTACAGGGGCGCCGTGCTGGAACTCGCGATGGCCGCTTACCCGGAGACGGAGCCTGACCTGCTGGAACCTCTCATCTTGGGGAAGATGTTGGAGTTATCCCGGGATCTGGGCATTCCTATGCCGGCTTGCGGTCACGAGAAACTCACGTCCCGGACCGCGGCTAAGTGTTTGGACGCCCAGTTCAATCTCCGCCGCTGGAAACAAGTCACGGCGTGGACGGGCGGTCCTGTCGTCGATGGGGGGGCCGTAGGGTGGGACCCTACAAAGGCCGTGTACGTGCCGGATGCGACCGGCCCAAAGGAGCTGTCGGCCGCCTCCACTCCGTGGCCGGCTCGAAGCGAGCCGGGGCCGCGGGCTCCGCCGCCGGCGCGGCCACGTCGGGACGGGGTGCCTGCTGCGCGCCGACCCGACGTCGACTGTTTCCGCTGCGGCCGTCGGGGCCACTATGCCAGGGACTGCTGGGCCCGGGTTCCGGGGCCGCCCCAGCAGGAGGCCTCGATCGCGGACGTCCCAAAGAAAGACCCTCCGGCACAGACAAGCCGGCCGTGACAGCGCAGGGAGGAGGACCTTCCGCTTGTGGGACGCCGACCGGAGCCGCAGAACCCACGGGACCTGCAGCTCTTCCTATCCCTCCGCGGACGCGAGTACGGGATGTTTCTGGACGCGAGCGGGACAGTGGCGGGCCTCCAATGGCGACGGAAGAACTTGCGCCCGTCGCCCCTAAAACCCTTCCACGTTCCCGCTCGGCGGGTGGGCCGCCGACCGTCCGGGACGGCCCGGCTACCCGTACTCGCTCGAAATCCCTCACGTTTCGTTAGATTGTGTTGCGTTGTGTTATTGTTATAATGTCTTCAATGCTTCGTGTCTTTTTGCGTGTTGGCCCTTTACACCCGCATTGCTTTTCAGGTTGCAATTCAGCCGAGGTCGGCTGGATTTTCTTTAGGGGGGAGGGTGATGTAATGCGGTTGTAAACGGCCCTTCTGAGGTGCCGTCAGGGGGGGAGGAGTTAGGTCACGTGGGGGGAGAGGGGTTGAGTATAGAAGGAGGGGAACCGGAAGAGCAGAGGGAGTGACTGGGAGCCAGGAACAGAGGAAGGCCACGTAGGGCGAAGCGGGGTGTGGCGAGATCGCCACGAACACGGGGGAAGCGAGGATCGGCACCGTTGGCCAGCGGTGACCGACCCGAAGCAGCAAGGAGGCTGCAGTCAGCAGCGGGGCTGCACAGAGAGAGTGGGCAGCGGGTCTGCATACAGTGACAGCCAGAGGGTCTGCACATAGGGGTAGCAGCGAGTCTGCAGGGAGGAGGTTACAGTAGATGAAGCAGAGAGTCAGAGGGGTGAGGAAGCTATAATAGCAGTGAATAGCCGGGGGCTACAAATACAGGAGTTATAACAGAGTGCCGTGTGGGTAAAGACGTGAACCTGAATAAAGACACGAAGACAGAAAGAAGTGTTCGAGTCCTTTTATTACATTTGTATAATGACAAGGAGCCCCATCTTATGAAAAGTCGTATTACCATCACGCGTTCTTGTATATACATATTCATATGGTCCTGAAAATAAACATTATATATACCGTGAGTTCAATCAAATACATAGGGACTTTTTGGACACCCTGTATAATACATATGACTGATATTGCTGAATAGGCAGGCTACTGCTGCTGGACACTAAAAGGGACCCTACCTGCAGCCTCGTGCGAATGAGCGTGAAGGGGTAGACCGTGGCCCGCACGCTCAGCATCATGAACACGCCAAGGGAGTAGAACTTGTGCTTGTCCAGGTCTGCCCACTCGATCACGCGAATGTTCCTTTTCTCCTGCATTGTTCCACCCTTGCAGCGTGCGGTGCTAACAGGAGGTCCTGCGGTCTTCCACTGTCAAATCTTCAAGCCTACAACGACCACTGAAATGGGTAAAATTTGAATGACTATTAACATTCGAACACCATGGATGTATAAAATAGGAAGTATTCAACTTGAGGCATATGTGGCAGACCGATTTGAGGTCTGTATCATCATCGATCGTCTACCCACTGCTGGATGAAGGTCTCCCCACACACCATCGTCATTCCTCATGGTCCTGTGATCACTGAGTCCATGTAACTCCTGAACATAAACACATCCTATTCTTGGGTGCATGCTCCCTTTTAGCATGCCATCACTAGCTAGTCTTGTCCATCGGACATCATCTCTTCGTGATGCATCCTACCCAAGGCTACTACTTACTTTTCTCAACAGTCAATGATGCCTCTAATTTGCAAATGTTCTCCAATCAATGTTTCCGTCTCTCGGTATGGGATGTACGGGTGTATGCAGAGGACATATAGAAGGCTAGGATGGGACAAGCTTGAATCACACCATACTTGTTGGGTCTTTTCACACGAGCAAAACTGACGTCGATTTAAGTATGTCGAATCGATTTAAGGATGATCAAAGTGCCAAGTGAAAAGGTTTCGGGGTCAAAAGGCGTAAAATTTAGGAGGGTTTTTTTCCCCCTCGGGAAACTAAAGGCTGCATTTCGTGTCGACGTCAAGTCCGGATTTATTGTGTCTAACCAGGGGAACATTCAAGAGACAAGGACAGACTCAATTGCAAGTTTACTCGGTCACCAAAATTACAGAATTATAACAAGAACAAAGACGTTTAAAAAAATTCAAGATTTGAAGTTCATACTCTTTGGTTCTTTCGGTAAAGTCACGTAGATAAAAAAATAATAATAATAAAAAGAAAAATAACTAATTTAGTTATTTTCGGTTTTTTTAATGCTCTGGTTCTTTCGGTTAAGTCACATAGACGAAAAAAATAATAATAAAAATAATAAAATGAAAATAACTAATTTAATTATTTTCATTTTATAATGTAGTTATTTTCATTTTATTATTTTTATTTTTCATCTACGTGACTTTACCGAAAGAACCAAAGAGCATTATAAAAAAACTTTCATTCTGAATCACGAGGAATTGAAAATGGAGCATATCAAAGGTGAATCAATGTTCAGTCAAACTTCACTTTGTCGACGAGTTCGTTCGACACAAACTTCACACCTGGCCAGGCGTGGTGAGGATTAGAAACTGGCGTTCAATACATCAAATGACAACCACTGATCACTTACATGTGGCCCGTGTTTGTGTCAACCGAGTCAACTCCGGACCGGAATATGAACGTGGGCTGCTGAATAAGTTGTTTCATCTACCAAGCAGAATCACAAACGTCCACTGCTGCAAGCAGTGAGCACTGGTCACTAATACTGAAATAGCTCTTCAGACGAAACCGGTCCACAGTCGTGCATCTGTTCATCGCTGTTGTGAGTCGGTCACGTTTACTCAAATTTATTAAATGGTGACCCGAGAAAAAAAGAACAATGCACTTCTTCAAAAAATCGTAGTTTTTTTTTTACACACAATTCACAAAAGTTACGTTTACGGAAAAACAAAACTTCCACATCAGCGTTAGGAAGGTCATTTTAGGCGCTCTAGTGACGCTCCTTTCACGTTCCCAAACGTCAGTGCACCGACTCATGGACGGACAATGTCAGCAACTTCGGTCATTTTGATTCCACTCATCCGACATCAACCCTCGTGCAGGGGAGCCTGGGGGGGCACACACTCCCCACAGCAGCCCACTGGGTTACAACGTTGCATGTCACTTCGCCACAATGGTCACCAACCCAGCCGTAAAACAACTAAAACACAGCATCAATGACAGCAGTGACCGTTGGCGTGACCGCTAAAGTCCATTGCTGCCCGTACAGTAACCATCAGTTCCATACCATTAGCAACGCCCTGGCCGAGGAAGAACCAGCCGTACCTTTCGTCCGGCGTCGGCTGAACCACGAGGGTCCCCGTGTCTCTGTCCGTCTCTCTCTCTCTCTCTTGCCCGGGAGACTCGGCGTGGTGTCAGACCCCCCTCCCTCACCTCCCCGTCAGTCTTCGCGCGGGGTTAAGAGGTGGAGCAGCGGCAGCAATCGGCGCCCAAGTCGCTCAACGCCGATCCCACGCTGGCCACTGTGCCGCCGTTCACCGGGAGGCAGAGGGCCTCCGTTCAGCTGATCGGTGACGTCACCGCGGCATCGAGTTGTGCTGGGTGACGTCATTCGGCGTTATCTTTGCGGTGACGTCACGACGAGAGGATGGGAGTGGGATGGTCGGTGACGTCACCGCGGCATCGAGTTGTGCTGGGTGACGTCATTCGGCGTTATCTTTGCGGTGACGTCACGGCTATGGGAGGAGAGTCGGATGATCGGTGACGTCATTGCCGCGCGTGTGTAAATCGATCGCTTACGGCAAGACGAGAGGGATACAAACGCGTTTCGTAAAGCTTTTGAAGATTAAATTTCGATTTAAAGTTTTGGTGACTGCAGGGATTATTATTCTTGGTTCTTTCGGTAAAGCCACGTGACTTTACCTTTTGAAGATTGTGAAAAGTGTTGTGTTTTGGTTAAATTAGTTTTGAGGTTTTTAATTTGTTTATTGCTACACGGATCATGCCGTTTAGTCAGTTGCCCGGTTACTTTACAGCAGCAGCAGCAACAAAAATAAACGACAAACGAATCAATATTGCAGAGAACGAGTTATTATATAGGCTCGATAATGAATATTGCACAGTTAGCAATCGAGGTACGGTATTTAACGCTGGAAAAGGAAGCGCTCAGGTTTTAAATAAACAGCGCAGATATAATGTGAGAGTAAGAGACACCAGAAAAAGTTGGGTGTCTGTACTCTTAGGTTTTTTCGGTAAAGTCACGTAGGTAAAAAATTAATTATAAAAATTAATAATAAAAATAATAGGAAAAAAGATTGTATTACTATATTATTTTATTTTTATAATTTTTCCTATTTTTATTTTTTTTATTTTTTACCTACGTGATTTTACCGACAAAAACCTAAGAGTATGAATCCTTGCAGTCACGAAAGCTTCAAATCTAGAATCCGTACAGAAGGTCACTCAAGTCGGGAGTCGAACCCAGGGTACCTGCTGGGTCAACGCCGCCTGGATGGTTGACTGGCCCCGGATACATTTTAAAGGTTTTGTTGACCGAGCATGAAGCAAATGTAACAACATAAATCCGCATTGTCTTCTTCGTATATACCAAGGCCATAGCCATGGAGTCAACATTGGGGGGGACCAAATCTTCCAGGGGGTCTGGGGTCCTCCCCCAGAAAAATATCTAAATTTGAAAACTAATTTCCTGCCTAAACTATTAAAAAATTCACTAACACATGGGATGGACTTTTTATTTATTTTTTTGAATAATGTCTAATAGTGTATTGCATTACATTGCTGTTTTTTTTTACCTTTTCTTGTTTCATTGTATGTAATGGCAGAGGTTAGGGATTCATAAAGTACAACCATAATCACAAACATATAAACGTAAATTTATGCATTGTTATATGAAGACAAGTCCAGATATTGTGGCCAAGGTTTAGCAAATTGTTGTTTTTATTTACATAGCATAGCAAATTTTATATTTAATAGCAATATATTGGGGGGGACATTTTGAGCATATTTGATTATTGGGGGGGGGACACACCCCCCCCCCCCATAATCAATATATATTATAATTACGGCCTTGGTATATACAATTGTTTTAAATTAATATAAACCATACGAACAACTTTGGATAAATAAAAGAGGAAGTGGTTCAACTTGAGGCATATGTGGCAGACCGATTTCAGATCTGTATCGTCATTCATTGTCTAACCACTACTGGATGAAGATCTCCCCACACCACAAGTGTTTTATTCACAACCCATCAGCAGCAAGCACGATCTTCTGCAAGTGCATAATCTCAGCGGCATTGATTCAATCAAGCCTGGCTGCTGCTGATGAGATACTGAATGTGGGAAACCCGTCTCATTTGCTTGCCTTGAACCAATGCTGCTGAAATGATGCACACTCGAGATGCTGTGCGGCCGATGGATTGTTTCAGCAATACTTTACTTTTACGTGGAAACGGATATATTCAGGCATATTGTGTTTATTCTCTACAACGACGCTATTGATTATATTGATGTGGTTAATTACAGAGGGCGTGACGCGTGATAAAAGGGGCGCGCGATTATCAGTCACTGCTCAAGAGCAGAGCGTCATGTATCGATTGCCCAAGTGTTGTTTTTAATATCACAGTTTCACGTTTAAGTTTCATCTTTTCAGTCTCCTTTGTCCAATACCAATAACCCGCCATTCGCCACTAAGTAACGGTGACGTCACCACGGCGCCTGTGCCAGGCTAGGTGCACTTTGAGGCCACGTGAAGTGTCGAAAGTTCGCTGCTGACAGGTCACGGGACAGACCCAGCAGATGCCATGGGTTGGCTGACTGAGATGACAGGTAGATGCACCACCAGCTGTACCCCCCTAATGTGCCAGGCTAGGTGCAGGAGGAGGTCTCGGGACAGACCCAGCAGGTGCCATGGGTTGGCTGACTGAGATGACAGGTAGATGCACCACCAGCTGTACCCCCCTACTGTGCCAGGCTAGGTGCAGGAGGTCTCGGGACAGACCCAGCAGGTGCCATGGGTTGGCTGACTGAGATGACAAGTAGATGCACCACCAGCTGTACCCCCCTACTGTACCAGGCTAGGTGCAGGAGGAGGTCACGGGACAGACCCAGCAGATGCCATGGGTTGGCTGACTGAGATGACTGGTAGATGTACCACCAGCTGTACCCCCTACTGTGCCAGGCTAGGTGCAGGAGGAGGTCTCGGGACAGACCCAGCAGGTGCCATGGGTTGGTTGAGTGAGATGACAGGTAGATGCACCACCAGCTGTATCCCCTACTGTGCCAGGCTAGGTGCAGGAGGAGGTCTCGGGACAGACCCAGCAGGTGCCATGGGTTGGCTGAGATGACAGGTAGATGCACCACCAGCTGTAACCCCTACTGTGCCAGGCTAGGTGCAGGAGGAGGTCTCGGGACAGACCCAGCAGATGCCATGGGTTGGCTGACTGAGATGACAGGTAGATGCACCACCAGCTGTAACCCCTACTGTGCCAGGCTATGTGCAGGAGGTCTCGGGACAGACCCAGCAGGTGCCATGGGTTGGCTGACTGAGATGACAGGTAGATGCACCACCAGCTGTAACCCCTACTGTGCCAGGCTAGGTGCAGGAGGTCTCGGGACAGACCCAGCAGGTGCCATGGGTTGGCTGACTGAGATGACAGGTAGATGCACCACCAGCTGTAACCCCTACTGTGCCAGGCTAGGTGCAGGAGGTCTCGGGACAGACCCAGCAGGTGCCATGGGTTGGCTGACTGAGATGACAGGTAGATGCACCACCAGCTGTATCCCCTACTGTACCAGGCTAGGTGCAGGAGGAGGTCTCGGGACAGACCCAGCAGGTGCCATGGGTTGGCTGAGATGACAGGTAGATGCACCACCAGCTGTAACCCCTACTGTGCCAGGCTAGGTGCAGGAGGAGGTCTCGGGACAGACCCAGCAGATGCCATGGGTTGGCTGACTGAGATGACAGGTAGATGCACCACCAGCTGTAACCCCTACTGTGCCAGGCTAGGTGCAGGAGGTCTCGGGACAGACCCAGCAGGTGCCATGGGTTGGCTGACTGAGATGACAGGTAGATGCACCACCAGCTGTAACCCCTACTGTGCCAGGCTAGGTGCAGGAGGTCTCGGGACAGACCCAACAGGTGCCATGGGTTGGCTGACTGAGATGACAGGTAGATGCACCACCAGCTGTAACCCCTACTGTGCCAGGCTATGTGCAGGAGGTCTCGGGACAGACCCAGCAGGTGCCATGGGTTGGCTGACTGAGATGACAGGTAGATGCACCACCAGCTGTAACCCCTACTGTGCCAGGCTAGGTGCAGGAGGTCTCGGGACAGACCCAGCAGGTGCCATGAGTTGGCTGACAGATGATAGGAAGATGCACCACCAGCTGTAACCCCTACTGTGCCAGGCTAGGTGCAGGAGGAGGTCTCGGGACAGACCCAGCAGGTGCCATGAGTTGGCTGAGATGATAGGTAGATGCACCACCAGCTGCACCGTGCCAACTTGCTGTGTTTTAGCCGCCCGGCATAATCTCACGTTCACGCGACTATTATTGTTAACACGCACGATTCGATACACGTTACATACGCGAGTGTACGAATCTCAGTGAGATTTGGCGAGGTCGCGCTGTTGCCGTGGCTCGGCGGCAGGGGGTAGGTCTCGCCTGCTGTTGGACTTCTCGCCCGAGGTCGGATGAGGAACCCTCTCTCGGTGGGTGGTGTGGTGGGGCGTGCGATGTGGGCTGCTGTGGGGCAGTAGCTATTGGGCAGTGTGACCTCTCGGCTTTTGGTAGGCGCGGTCTGGGGAACTTGGGGAATTCATTATTGGTCTGTGGGATGTGGCCTGGGCCGAGCTATGGACAATTCCAATTGGTTGGCTGGGCGGTCGTTGACGTCGTCTCGATGGGTGGGCATTGTGAGTATTTATTTGGGCGCAGCCAATTGGGTCCGGTGGACTTTTTTTCGTCGAGGCTTTTATTCGGCGTTGCTTGGGTCTTGTCTTCTGCGGGCGTGGCTTCTCATCGGTAGGCGTAGCCTGACCTACGGTGGGCGTGGCTTCTTATCGGTAGGCGTGGCTTCTCGTCGGTAGGCGTGGCTACTCGTCGGTAGGCGTGGCTTGACCTACGGTGGGCGTGGCCTGGCCTGCTGTGGGCATGGCCTGACCCGGCTTTCGACGTTGTCTGTCCTAATGTGGGCGTGGCTTGGTCTGATGTGGGCGTGGCTTAGTCTGATATGGGCGTGGTTTGGTTTTATGTGGGCGTGGCTTGGTCTGATGTGGGCGTGGCCTGACCTGCTGTGGGCGTTGCTTGGTCTGAGTGGGCGTGGCTTGGTCTGATGTGGGCGTGGCCTGACCTGCTGTGGGCGTGGCTCGTAGGAGGAGGGCCCCGAGGCCTCGCTCTAGAATCGGAAGCGCTTCGTGCGGCTCCAGTGCGAGGCGATGGCGGCGGCGGAGGGTGAGACGGTCGCAGGTGGGAGATTCATCATCATCATTATTATCACCACAACAACAACATCATCACAATAGTCAACAACAACATCGCAGCCTGAATCACCGTCCTCGCATCTGTCATCAGGACCACACCGGTATCATCACCCACCAGCATCGTGGTCAACAACATCGCCCATCAACTCGACAGCATCACCACGATCGTAACCTTTGTCATGTTCATCATCACACGATCATAATTATTCTTATCGTATACATCACGTCAACAACACAAACATCGATATAGTACTTGTGACCGTCATCGGCACCATTGTTATCAACATAAAATCCAACATTATCGTCAACAGCATCATCGGGAACGTCATCAAATCATTAATAATTGTAATTCACGATCATCGATATTTCCACCATTTGCATCATAACGCATTAACATCAACATGATTACATCCACAACATACTCATTCACCATCGCCGTTCTTATATAATTAACCACAATTATCAGCCGCAAATGATTATCAACATCAATACCATCACCAGACACCTTAATTATAACCAGAATGACCATCATAAACGTCACTGTCATCACAACCACCATTACCATCGCAACCACTACCATCTCAAACTATCAAAAACATAACCACAACTACCACAATCATCACAATCACCATATACAGAGCCACTGTAATCACCACACCCACTGTAAAGCCATCACGACCGCCATCATCGTCACAACCATCACCACAAAACCATCATCACTAAAACCATCACCACAAAAACCATCATCACTAAAACCAACAAAGACAAAGATCCCCCGTGTAGCCTTAACAGACTTGGGGCAAGTGCTGTTAAAGGCCGGCACGGCACACGAGGGCTGAGTGGCCAGCACCACGGCAGGCCGCCTTTGTCTTCCTAGTGGCGATGTTTACCACACTAGGTACTCATTTGAGACTGAGTCGACCTAGGGTAGGCCCAGTACCGCTGTTGACCGTGAGCCGGAATCGAACCCTAATACTGCAACCACGAATTTCATTACAACCATACATAACCCACTATCATCGCCACAACAACCACCACAACCATCGCCCACCAACATAACCACTGCAGCAGTCGCAGCCATAAACAAAAATCACGCGTCGTTTTCACAATTTCCACCATCATCACCACTAGCGCCATCATCATCATCACCACTACCGCCATCATCATCATCACCACTAGCGCCATCATCATCATCACCACTAGCGCCATCATCATCATCACCACTACCGCCATCATCATCATCACCACTAGCACCATCATCATCATCACCACTACCGACACTGGAAAACGCCTTCACCACTAGGCCGAGGAGTCCCTACGGAGTGAGCCGACCTCGACACTGGCTGTCTTTGCCAAAGTGGCTTTGTGTGTCCTCTCCGTGTTTGTGCCTCTTCTTGAATTTTTTTGGAAGAGGGCCGGCGATGATGTGTGTTGGGGTTTTTGTTGTTTGTGGGTAGCGATGTTTGTTTTAACGGCTGTTGTTGGGTGGTGTGTGTGTGTGATGGTGCTTTTAGTTTTGGTAAATGTATTCCAATTTTGGAACATTTTCCCAGGAAAGCCTCACTTTCAAGGAGGGCGGATATTTGTCAGATATTTGTCAATGCCGCCACTGTAATCGGTAGATTCATGTGGGAGGAAACCGCCGGAGTACCTGATGAAAAGTTACTCGTCATTGTTGTGGCGGTGTTGATCGTGGTGGTGATCATGTTGGCAGTGGTTGCTGTGTTTGTTTGAGACAATGTTGTTGATGGTTGATAGTGTTGGTGATGATGTTAGTACTAGCGTAGTGGCTAGTGGTGTTAAAGGTGATCTTGACGGTGTTGCTCGTAAGCCTGTTGATGTTGGGTGGTGTGATGCGTTCGTAATATTGATGTTATTATTAGTAAATTTATTGGTGGATGGTGGTGATGGTGTTTCTAATGTTGATGGGAGGTAGTATCAGTAGTGTTGATGGATGGCGGTGATGGGTGTTGTTCATAAGATTTATGTTGGTGATGTTGCTAATATTCATATTGGATGGTGTTTTTTGTGTCGATGATGGTGGGTATTTAATATTGATTGTATGGGGTGTTTTTTATGGCTTTAATATAGTTTGTGTGATTAGTAATATTGTTATGGTTGTGAATGTTGGTGTTGCTAATATTATTGATGATGGTGATTTTGTTGATGTATTCATCGTGATGGTTGTGATCCTGATGAGGCTAGTGATACTGTTGATGGTAGTTATAATACGCTATTGCTGTTGTTAATGTTGACGTTACTTATGACATTGATCGTGGTGGTGTTACTTTTTATGGTGGAGTGATAGTCATGATGATGTTATCGATATACTCTATTTGTTTTTGATAGTGATAATGTTGGTAATGGTGGAATTGGTGTTGAAGGTAGTATTATTTTTAATGGCCATGTTTCTATTCTATTTCTGTTAGTGGTTTGATGGTTATATTGTGGTGATGAGTTGAAGGTAGTGTTGATGATGGTTATGTATCTGTTGTGATATTGATGATAGTGTTGGTGGTGATGTATTGGTGTCGATGGTGTTGAAGGTAATATTTATAGTGTGGTGTTGATGGCTGTGGTATTGGTGAAGGTACTGTAGGTAGTGTTGATCGTATTGATATGTTCTCATGGCTGAACACTTTCCAATATTCCATATTGTCAGACCTTTAAAATATATATTCGTCGTTATGTGACTACTGTGACTGCACATTTTATATGTGGCTTTTACTTTGCAACTTGATTCACATCACCAATTATACTGAATATTTTTCATGACCATGCTAATCTATCTTTTGGGCCCTGCGTCCTGTCCCCTTTAATTGGCTTCCATGAAGCATTCAAGCACACTTGCTTTTAAAATAAGGAAAATCATTGTCTGGCCGGTACTATAATATACATACATTCAGAGTTAGAAACCTCTCTTCCAAATATGCTTTGATGTATGGGTTCTGAGACGGTCTTTTTTTAGCGTTACAAAAGCCAATTTTGTGTTTTCAATTTTCCGCAGTCGCGAACCGTTTGAAAACGCATCTCAATATCAAAGGTTAATCGTTAGCGTTTTTTTGTGCTTAAATTTGAATGGTTTATTTTAATGCTCGTCCAATCAATGGACAAGCTGACGCAAAGGCTCCATTTAAGCTGTGCCGTACACAGAAAATTGACGATCACAAACACGAATCATTAGAGACCTTTTCATTTACACAACGTATGCCCAAATCTCTTGTCCACCACAGTGTATGCTGTGGAGGGCAAGAGCTTTGGACATCTGTAAGGACACATTATTATTGCACCGAGCCTGTGCTAGGTCAAGTCGTCACTTGTCATTGTGTCATGGTCACGATGTTTAAACAATGGTTAACCTACTTTTAGTGTCCCTTGCCCAACATCGGCACCTTTTACCCCCAATGTCTTCTCCCCCCCCCAACTCAGCCTTAAAAACTCCTTGAGTCAGCACACCTGTGTGTCACTACCTGAACCTCCCTACAGGTTTACTCGCGTATTTAAGTGCGCAGTTTCTAGGTACACAATTTTAAGGCTATTTATGTACGTGAGGTGTGAACACGAGTCCGGCAGACGTCAGGAGTATTGGGTAACACTCTTGGAAAAGTAAGCTTTGGTTAATTGTGTTTCAGGAATTCAATGTGGCTAGAGAATACATGAACCATACGCATTGTTAAATATGCATGCTCTGCGTTTAAGTTAACGTTATGCTGAGTCACTGTGATTGGAAGCGCATCGGCGTTGTCACGGGACACCCCCCCCCCCCTCCCCATGGCGAATAGTTTAGAGAAAACAATTTTTTCCGATGGAGCCCATCGGTGGACCCCCTGGGGGTGGGGAGGAGGGGTTAAGACAAATAATGAACATGCTTTCGAGGCTGTGTGTGCGGTTACTGCTGGGTTACACGGAAACTCGTGTTTCACGGTTCAGTTTTCCTCCCCCCCCTCCCTCCAAATAGATCGCTTTGTGACTTTTTACCTTGAGCCGTGAGCCGCCATTTGTGGCAGCGTTGAGTTCAAGTGGGACGAACTTTTCGATTGTCATGCAGTGATGACCGATTGATTATCGACTGAGCAAATAAGCGGTTGTAAAGTTTTCTGTAAATGAAGAGAAACACAGCTGACGGAAAAGTGTTTAACAATCTGGAAAGAAAGAAGTGATAATACACGCAAAAGTAGTTTTTTTAGACAGCAAAAAGGCAAAATTGCGACATTTAGTATGTTAACAATAATTTCAACATCTCACAGCACTATACCAAAAATATATCAGATTAATAAGAAAAAAATGACAAGACTCGAATTGACTATTCGCTTTCTTTCTAAGAAAGAGGGACTCGGGAGACACGAGGAACCACAGACAAGCAGGAAAGGCAGCCACGCAGTTGGCCTGGGCCAAATTCACCCCCCCCCCCCAAAGCTCTGAAATCCTCTATATATTAAGCTGTTATCAACAAATTAACGAGTGTTTACATGATTGTTCCTCGTTGTAAATGTGTAAACACGCATACATGTACTGAAGCTTGTCAGGAGATTGGCAGCAGCATCATCAAAGGAGTTTGCTTCTAAATTTTAAGGAATGTCATCAGTCAGGCTGGAGCAGTTTGAGAGCGGAGATTGCTTGATATATTGTCCATTTCGGAGACACGTTACCTAACGCTTTCCCAGTATTCATTGGAAGCTTTACACAAACGCTGCCTTACAACAAAACACAATTGAGCTGGGAATGTTTACAGCCCTGGACAAACAGTTGTCTTTGTGTGTGTTAAGAGACCCTTGTTATCATGGTGACCTTGTTCTGAGAAAAATTTGAATTTCTCACGTCAGGTTTTTTTGTTCGTTGTCACTTCCAAATTGCTGTTATCAATCTAAAACTAAACTCAAAGTGTAGTTTTTATGAGAGCTTCGTTTTTTTCTGCAGTTTAGCCGTGAAATTATAGCAGTAAATGTGGTTATAGCTTTTGATGAGATTCATTTGATCTTGTCTATGTTATGGATTGATTGCTATCCAGTCTGAATCCGCTGCTAGATCAAGGCCTCCTGGTGCCATGTTAGTCATGATGGTCGTTTGACCATACTTCACGCTGGTCAGTGCAGGTTGCTAAATGAATCTGGTGGGAGGTCCGCACTCGTCACTGATGTTAGCAGTAGCTGGAAATCAAACTGAGGTCACCAGGTTCATCACACAGTGCGCTAAACCACTGGGCCACCATTCGCCCACCCCCAGTCCATAACATGTCTAACCACAATTTTTAAATGAGTGTGCCGTATGGGAAAATTTAATTATGTGGGTGTGCAGAGCATGCTCGTAACTCGTGACAAGCCTGCCTGTTGTTTTATCCAAGTAGAGTATTCAACTCGGGTCATTTTAAAATGCTCTGTTTAGGGACATGTTGATACTCTCATCCATGTTTGTCTCAATTATGCAAGCGCTGTTGGGTTGAACTGTGCACAGACAGCATATGTTCTGTTACTGATAGCTTGCTTGGAGGGGAGATAAAAACAGTGCTGGCAGAAACTTGTGGAGTTGTGCAACATTCCTCAGCTGTGTCAAAAGTGACCGGCTTAAAAAGGAGTTTTTTTTTAAGTTTAATAAACAAGGTGAAAATACTGGTAAAATATACGAGTGTAATTCCAATGATTGTTTTCTACGTTTGAGAGCTGCCCAGTTTGCAAGGTAGTTGCCTACTTCGTCTTGTGGTGGCTTTGCTTGTTCGATTGCTCAATGCTTGCACGTTGCCTAATATGCTGTCCGGACGTCAGTTGTGTAACGCTATACTGTACGTTGTTGAACTGGACGTGTAATTTTAATTAACTTTTCAGATTGTGTATTGTTTCATGTTTATGACCACCATAATTTAAATTCATTTATAGTAATTGTGCGTTTGCTTATCTTCATTCGATGACTGCGCAACTGAAATTTTTTGGTTTTTCAGAAAATCCATATCTGCACTTGGTGGAACCTCTACATGAAGACAACCCAGACCACAAATTCTTTAACCTCCTAAAGTTGAATGATCCCCGATACGGTAAGAAAACTTATCCTGATTTAACCAAGTACACTTTTGATGCCCATAAATATAACTAATACAATAAACTCCTTAAAAAAGTTTATTTTTAAACAACGGTTTTATTCACAACTTCGTTTAACTCGCCCTCGAGAAGTACCTCAATTATGCGGTGCCTGCTCCCACATCAACGCTTACTTGAAATAATTGGTTATTTTATAAATTAATCTTCAATGTACTATTTTTTGTGTGGAGTGATGGTGCCCTTACTCGTTCACACGGAGCAGATGTGCCTGAGATACACTCGCCTGCTTTTTGTGCAAGGTGATTTGACAGTTTAGGGACCGCGGCGTTTTTTACCTACGCAAAAATATATAATTAATAAGGCGTCCATACTAAAATTGTAATTGCTTGAAACGAGCCAATTAATTGATGAATTCATGCCGATTTTGATACGGGCATGTATTGTCTCCGGATCTGAGAGTGTGTAAAATTTTAAATTGATTGGACAACAGGAAGTAGACTAACTTTTGATTACAAGATTTGACCACAACAAACATGAGTGAAGTTAAATAAAACCGTTGATTAAAAATCAGTTCTTTGGCTTAACGTCCATGTTTGAGGGATTTTTTGTGTGTTTATGAATATGGTTCCAGAGAGATTACCTTTCTGCATTCGCATCCTGCTGGAGTCCACGATCCGGCACTGTGATGGCTTCCACATTCGCCCAGTCGATGTTGAGAACATCCTGGACTGGAGAGAAACAGGGACATGTAAATTGGAGGTCCCATTTCGCCCAGCACGTGTCATCTTGCAGGATTTCACGTGAGTGTGTCACCCTCCATCATTATCCTCACTGCTGCCACCACCACTTTTTTGCTTTCACTGTTAAACAGCATGTGCAAACTCTCATCTCACTATCAGCACCATCACCACTAGCACCAGCGCCATCAGCACTGCCATTACCCAAGCACCTATTATTCCTTTATTGATTTTTATAAACTACACCAGATACTGACTCATTTAAGACTGAGTCGACCTCAGGTAGAATCAAAACCAGCTCTTATCACTCACCATTGATGTTGGTAATCAAACTCGTGTTACTGGGTCCGTAGCGCAGTGTGCTAACCACAAACCAGCTGCTAGCAGTACTGCCAGCATCATCATCACCACCACCAATGGCAGAGCAGCGATTGGTGAAGCCAAACTGTTGAACGATGCCCACAATGGAACTAACACAGGATCGCACACATTTGCAGTGGCATCCCCGCGGTGGTGGACTTTGCGGCGATGCGAGACGCCGTACAGCGTCTGGGCGGAGATCCCAGCCGAGTGAACCCCACGTGCCCAGCCGACCTGGTCATTGACCACTCGGTGCAGGTGGACGTGAGCCGCAAGTGAGTGGAAGAAACCCTCTCCCCCAAACTGCCCTGCGCATCCTGGGACCTGGCCCCCTCTCAGTCGTAGAATTTCAACCGTTGCGAATATAACATGCGGACGTTAAATTGTAGTATTAAGCATGTAACGATGCATCGATTCGTCGATTTAAAATAGATTCTTACACTCATTGATTGTGTGCTAAATCGTGGCTGTGACAGTCTGTTATTTTGCATTTGTAGTTGTGGTACATCTTTAGTTCACGTAAACCATTTTACATTGCACATTCAGTCTAAAGGCATGAAATAAAATAATCTATGTTTGAATGTAATTGCAACCCCAATTTGAGATAATCGAATCACATGGCACGAGAATCATCGTTACATGCCTATTAAAGTATATTTTGATGCATTGGATCAGAACTATGTTGTTCGTAGAGAGCCGGGCAACAAATGCCATTGTTTTACCGCACTCTACTCTAACATCTGTGCGACCCACCTGCACGAGCCCACACTGACCAGCATCGTGAAATATGATCAAATAACCACGCCATGTAATGGGGTGAGGATGCTGTCATCCAGCAGTAAATTAACGAAATGACTGCACATGCATTAGGCAAGGTCCAGTCCGTAATTTTACATTCAGGGAAGGATATGATGGCGAGCTGCTGCTACGGGTTGTCACGTGCCAGCCTCTTGTTATTTGCATTGCCTAGAACACCTCTATTGACCTTTGTCTCCCACTCACACTGCTACTCGCTTTCTGGCTTGCCGTTCTCCCAAGTGAGATTAACCATTTTTGTGTATCTGGTGCTTCTACCTCCCGTTGGCATGCCACACAACAAACTTACACCTGGGCTTGTCCTCTAGTTTTATGAAAGCTCCTATTTTTAGACGTGGCATTTAATTACAAATTGGTTATAGCCACATCATTTTAGTATCATTGTCATTCCAGCTTATTTCTATGAAAGATGAGATGACGTCTGGTGGTTCCAGTGAAATATTCATGAATAATACAGATGCTGTGAGAGTTTAATTGATTTAGGATCATAATTTTATATCCTGGCAATACCTATTGTGGAGCCCATCTGCCAATGGAACCGCCAATTGGGTTTTGAAGGGGTGGGATTTATTCCGATATAACTTGATGTTTATTGTACTCGACATTGACGATGTATTGGTCATAGTTCGATTTAGCCAAACTCTTAAACACCTCGAATAACATTTTGGTTTGTGCCATTTCTTGGTGAATCGCACTGGTAAAACTAGCGGACAATTTCGGTCTATAATATAATCACACGCATGTTGTCGTATGAAATGGCAGCGTTAATATGCAGTGGTGCGATCCGTTAAAACTCGAGGCTTTTTTCAAATGCGCCCACCCCCACCCCGTCCCCCGTGTTCTGTCTGCCTTTTCCCTGTTCTTTCCCCCCCACCCCATGTCTCCGGCTGCCGGTGTGCTAGCGCCCCCCCGATTGCCGCTAGCCCAGCTTCGTGGGCGCCCGCCACAACAGCAGCGGGCTGTGCGGACTGCAGCGCTCTGTGTCAGAAAATGAGGCACAAAGACCCGAGCCCAGCCAGCCTGCCCGGCCACGTAGACAGCAGCTCACTCTGCCCCTTCCACTTACAGCCGCTGCCAGGGTACAGCTGTCTTTTAGCATTTCTCCTTGTCGAGAGGGCTTCCCCAAATTTGGGCAAATGCTTTTGTTTGTTTTGTTGGGTTTTCTGAGTATTACTGGGGAAACTTACGTATGTGGGTGGAAGGACATGGTGGGTGGTGGTGGTTAAGAGATTATTACCCTTTCTTAATCTTGCCATTGTTTGCTGTTGGCTTGCAGTGTATTCCTCACATTTGCATTTACATTTGAAGGTGCCCATGTGAGTTCTAAAGTTGTTATGAGTTGGGCAACAACAAAAACACTTTTTGTTTGTATTTTTGTTGCAGGCCTGACAGCCTGCAGAAAAACCAAGAGCTGGAATTTGAAAGAAACAAAGAGAGGTTCCAGTTCCTTAAGGTACAGTTCAAGTTTAACTTTAAATGTAGTTTACATTTGAGGTTTCCAAAAGCTGAAAAGTCTAGCAAGCCACGATTGAAATACAATCTATATAAATAAAACAATACACAAGTTTATGCATATTGCATATATGAATACACATGTACTGTATAGTATGCAATTTAATATACATGATTGTGTGTAGTGTCTTAGTGTACAGATCAAAATGTTTACGGTATGGTTTTCTATTGAGAACTGTACTATATATTTTTGTATGTTGGTCCGAGGGTGCCGTCAGTGACCACCCATCCCCCTTCCCCACAATTCTCCACCAGCCCTTTCTCACAACTAACCTATTATTTTAAGTCAATTTAACACGCTTTGACTACGCATTTCACACGCTGTAAGAGTTGTATTGCATTTTATTATGCATTATATATTTAATGGCACATTACAAAGTATTTAGTTTGTCACTTCTCTTATTTTTACATATATAGAGTTGAGATTTTTTACGAGCCGACCAAGTGTAAAATCCATCTAGCTGGGATATTACCATTTGTATCGTGAGCTTACTAAGTTATAAGAATCAATTAATCTGTTGCATTTTTCCACCCTTCTCATCAATGACAGAAAATGTTGCTTTGATGTGTTTCGTGTTAGGCAAAGTCCTGAAGTTAAGACTGCCTCTAATCCAGTTACACACAAGCCAGCTCCACGGGCACTAACATGGTCAATTCTATGCACGCACTTACGTGTGTGTGTGGGAAGTGGTAGTGTAGCGGTTAGCGCACTGCTCTACGAACCCGACGGCCCGAGTTGGTTTCCTGCTCCCGGCCAGCACCAGGGACGATTATCTGAACCGGTCCTGAGCCTCCTTTAGGTCAACCCACCCTCAAATGAGTACCCGGTGCGGTGTGTAAATATCAGCACTGGCGAGACAAAGGTGGCTAAGCGTGGTGCTGGCCACCCACCCCCTCCGTGTGCCGTGCTGGCCTTCGTAAGTGCTCGCTAACAGCACTTGCACCAACAGTCTGTTGAAGGCTATATTGGGGGATCTTTTGTCTTTGTTTGCGTTTGTGCCAACAGTGGGGGTCTCACACGTTCAAGAACATGCTGGTGGTGCCCCCGGGCACGGGCATCGTTCACCAGGTGAACTTGGAGTACCTGGCCCGACTCGTCTTCTTGCTCGATGGGCTCTACTACCCCGACAGCCTGGTTGGCACCGACTCCCACACTACCATGATCAACGGCCTTGGCATCCTTGGCTGGGGTCAGTTTGTAAAAATCTACTCTTGTTACATGAGAGATCGTTGTGTTGTAATCGGTTGTTGACGCCCACGTAGATGAGCGCTGACTGATAGCATGTGTATCCTTTCCCTGTTGTTGATGGTTTATGGTGTCGGCCTGATCACCAAGGAATACACAAATACATCAAAATAAGTTTGTTTTTCCACTTCACTTAGCTTTTTCCAGCACTGAGGATTAACATTTTGGTGTGATTGATATGCAACGAATAATCTTTACACGGTAGATGAAAGATGTGCCATAGTGTGGCTTTAGAGAGGCCTATCTATCTGCTGTCATCCACTGGGGCCATTCTGTAAAACGAAGGGTGATGTTCTGTTCACTGTGAGTCTGAAGTGAAAATTCGTAATCTTGTGGCAAAACGCTGATGGGAAATTTTCAGTAAAATTGATAAAAAATAAACTGAGCGGCAAGTCATCCTTCAAATAAGAATGAGTTAAAATGTATAAGTTTGAGATGCTGCTGCGATTAGCTGCCATTATTATCTACATTGCATTATCAATTGAATTGCTTGTTCATCAGGTGTGGGTGGCATCGAGGCTGAGTCTGTGATGCTGGGCCAGCCGATCAGCCTCATGCTGCCAGAGGTGGTTGGATACAAACTAACAGGACGGGTCAGCCCTCTTGCCACCTCCACCGATGTGGTGCTCACCATCACAAAGGTGAGTACATTGGCAAGGCAGTTGCTCCGTTTCCTGGGCCTGTAGCGTAATATAAAGTGCTCGGTAGTAGGAGATATGATGATTCATTTTACGCTATAAGAGGTGATGGCGAATGGATTAGGCTAGTGATGGAGTTCCAGTCAAAGGAGCGAATATGCTCCAAAGTAAAGAATGGAGCTTTGAGGTCAATTCATTCACAGTAGTCGACTGAATTGTGGCATCGTAGGACCATGGGGGGTTGGCGATGATATGAGGATGTCTTCATCCAACAGTTAATAGTCAATGGGTCTATGATGGAACAATTCACTCCCTCCACAATTTAATAGACTTTATACTCTTTGGGTCTTTCGGTAAAGTCACGTAGATAGAAAAAAAATAAAAAAATCACGATGTTTCGATCGCAACACAAGCAATCGTCTTCAGGTGAAAAAATACATCAGGAGAACTGCTGAGGCAGGAGAAATATTGCGGGAGAGCTGCTGCAGCAAAAGGTTATATATGTTTGAGATGGGTGGCAAGATGACAAACTTGCCATCTACGTATCTATTCCACAAGGAAGGACGTAGGATGGATGCCTGGATGGCATCTGTCTCAAAATTTTCCATGAAAATATTGGCTACCACTAGACTTTCACAATGCAGCTCGCATAATTAACTTTATGAATTGATTCTACATTGATTCTTGAGGTGCAAGTGTAATATATTATGGCTGCAGAATTTCCATGAACAAATCATGTCCAACATATATAAATGCTATACTCTGTGAACATCCAAAGGTGTTTTAAAGACCTATTTGGCCATAAGTAAGGAAAATGGTTCCCCACCACTGTTAGCTCCAGTGTTTAACATTCCAAGCCTTAAATTGTATTTGTGTAAACCATTTACAGCACCTGCGACAGGTTGGGGTGGTGAGCAAGTTTGTGGAGTTCTTCGGGCCAGGAGTGGTGCAGCTGTCTATCGCCGACCGCGCCACCATCGCCAACATGTGCCCCGAGTACGGAGCCACGGCCGCCTTCTTCCCTTTTGACACCGTCGGCATGATGTACCTTCAGCAGACCGGTGCGTCGCCCCGCTCCCCACACCGCCTGGCTTAGGCAGACTTAACAGCATTAGCGCCTGGAAAGCTTCGACATGTGACCAAGCTTTTAAGCTCAATGAACCATTGATGCTTTAACGCACCGTGGCCAAAGCAAGTTGTAATTGAGACGTTTCATCTGTGCTTTTCTCTACAGGTCGAGAAGAGGCCAAAATGAAATATGTCGAGGACTACCTAAAGGCTGTCAAACTCTTCAGGGACTACAGCGATACGTCGCAGGATCCCGACTACTCTCAGGTAACCCATACTGCCTGGTTTTACTGGTAGGAACCTCCTGGTTACACCAGGCCACAGGGGATTATTGTGTCCGTCCGTCGTGCATCCAAAAATGGGAGGGGTGGGGCTGGGTGGAGAGGGTGGGGAGGGGCTGGGTGGGGAGGGGCTGGGTGGGGAGGGGAGGGTGGGAGGGGTGGGGCTGGGTGGGGAGGGGCTGGTCACCCTGTGGGTGCCCTTATAAAACTCAACGTTTAACCTACTCACGCCGGCTTGTGCCCGCCCTCACAGTCGGCCATATTTGCCGAATGCACCATGCCGCCGTTGACCCTGGCCATTAACCGAGCAACCCAACGTTCCTACCAGCTCCCTCCGCAGGAATGTGTAATGGGTTAACACGGTGTTTACTACTCGAGTATCAATGCAGGACAGGCAGATTTGCTTGGGTGCAGTGTCCATGCCTTCAGGTTAATTTGTTGATACCAAGTGAGTCACTTTTTATGAGAAGTCAGCTTTATTCTTGCAATAGGAATGTGGACCCCCCCCCTCACTTTTGGGTTAAGAAAGACGGAAATGTAAGTAACCTAAATAGATTAACCACCAGTGCTCTCCAGTTGGTTCTCTCTTAAAGATAATTGCATATAACCAATCGTCATGCCAAGTCCCAAAAATAATTCTGAAATATATACATGTCTTTTTTAAAGTATAATGCTCCCATTACTTGGGACAAAGGGAAATCCTGTCAATATTTTCTCATCTGCAGTTGATCCCGCTCGATACAATTAAATGTTGTTCAAGGTTTTAAAAGTTGGGCTTAAGATAAATGTGAGCAAAACAAAATTAACGTGCAACATCCATTAGAGTGTGTATACCTGGGACAGTTACTCGGGGCGGACTCGGATCAAAATGATAAAATCAATGTTGATGTGCCTAAAGGATCAGAGAACGAATGCTGATTACTCAACAGAACGTAGCGAAGCTCTTGTCTTGTTCTGTCCCTCGGAGAAGAGCACTGTAATCAATACTGGTGTGTGCGTGCGGACACCAGGTGGTGGAGCTAGACCTAGCGTCGGTCGTGCCATCGGTGAGCGGCCCGAAGCGACCCCAGGACCGCGTCGCCGTGGAAGACATGAAAACAGACTTCCAATGCTGTCTCAACCAGAAGGTGATGTGTGTCCGCGTGATCAGATTTTTTAGATGTGTTACGGATGTCAGGAGATCTACTGGGATTGTCGCAAGTTAACGCTTGGTGTAAAGGTCACTTCACAACGCTTTACAACACCATAGTCTCACAGTTTCATGTCAAAAATGCAAAAAAAAAATACCCTTGAATTTGAGAAATATAACCATGAGCTACTTATAAACTGATGGTCGAGTGATGCAATGCATGTGATGTCTCTTGCAATTGGAAATTTGCGAGGTCAAGCCTTGACTTGGAACTTAATTCCCCTCGGGTGAATTAAAGGAGAACCACTCTTTGAGAAGTTAATAGACGTGTTTATAAATGCACTTAGGAATAGATGCCCTGTGCATTGACTCCCACCCATCTTGGTAATGTGGAATTTACATCCTTGCTCAAGGGCTGTACACTGGAAGGGTAGGTGGCTGTGCAGAGAATAAAAGTAAGGCTTACTTGACATCAAATTACAGACTACCACTTCCAGTAAAAGTTTTAGTGAGCACTTATCTGCACAGCAGTAGTAAATACAACAAAGAATATACGAACGCTGTTCATGAACACCACGTGGGTGCTTATTTGAATGGGAAACCACTTCTCACAAAGCTGACTTTGAAAGATGAACCTCTGCGTAACGAACGTCGCTTCACGATCAGCTTGGCAACGTCAAAGTTAAGCCACATGACTTCTTGCGCATTTGAAAATCTAAACTCCGTGTCATAAAATCGGGGTGTGCGTCGGGCGATTGCTGCGCAGGTTGGCTTCAAGGGATTCCAGGTGCCTCCCGAGAGGCAGAGGGACGTGTGCCCGTTCCGGTTCGAGGAAGACGTGGAGCAGGCCGAGTACGAGCTCGCGCACGGCTCCGTGGTCATCGCCGCCATCACCAGCTGTACCAACACGAGCAACCCGTCGGTCATGCTTGCAGCTGGTAAAGGCTTCCTCGCATTTCACGTCTTCGCACTGTGACCAAATCTCCCTGAATTTGCCCTCGATCTCATCAGATCTCGGAAGATAATGAGGATTGAGCCTGGTTATTAGTACTAGGATGGGAGACTGTTTGGGAATACGCAGGTGTTGGAGTCTTAATGCACAATTATTGTGTTTTAGATATTTTCTTATTTGATTTGGAAACGTATCTTAATTGGTATATTGTTTGTTAACTTTTTGTTTACAGTTTAGCTATTTTTATACATTTGCTCACTTGAAAGCGACTCCTGGATTGGGACCAGTAGGCTATTAATGTGTACTTAGAAAGGTGCTGTTATTATACCTCAGTCCTATATTGTTTCACAGAACATTTAGTTCCATTGGAAACCCCATGAGACCCCTGAGTGCTGTGTTGTTTGCCACTCTCATTTAATTAAAGTCCCTTATGTAGCCCAGTGAAACAGATAATTGTAGCCACTCAGTTCTCTGTAGTCCTCACACCATAGTTATTTATAATAATGTCCCTTTAGTTACCCAGCAAAGCCTCGCCGAGTTTCGAGGCTGTTCTTTCAGGAGGGTCCTGCATTGCGGTGTTTGGCCAACTGTTCCGAATGAGTGTTTGGCTTGTGGGAGAAAACGAGCATACCCAAAGAAAACGCACACCACGCATACGAGGGGGAATACCACTTTTAAACATTTTGTCCTTGATTACGCATGCTTGGAGAAGGGTCTCGGCTCAGAGCTGTGATGTGAATTTGTGTGACTTTGTGCAGGGTTGCTGGCAAAAAAGGCAGTGGAAGCAGGCCTGAGCGTGAAGCCGTACATCAAGACCAGCCTGTCCCCGGGCAGCGGCGTGGTCACCTACTACCTCAATGCCAGCGGCGTGCTGCCCTACATGGAGAAGCTCGGGTGGGCGTCGCAACTATAACAACTGCTTCTCCGTCACGGGTGTTCGCTCGGAGAAACTGGTTTCACCATTTTATAATCCATCCTTTTGCCTCTGCTGACCTTGGGGAACAGGTGTCAACTTGACAACGGCCGTGGGATTTAGTATAACGAAGGCCTCTTGACCTTGATGTATGCCTGTTGCACACATCAGAACATGGGGCTCACGAAAAGTTTCTGTTTGTCATTTTGTGTCACTTCTACGTCCGTGTTCCAGGTTTGAAGTTGTTGGCTACGGGTGCATGACTTGCGTCGGGAACAGCGGGCCTCTACCGGATTCTGTTGTTCAGGCCATCTCTCAGGTAGCGTTATAACTCGAGCGCTGGCTTTAACTTTTCTTCACTTCCTTAGTTTTTTTCCTGTCATTATAAAGCAGCATACCACTCACCCATGCCTTCGTCTCACTTAGGCGAACCTGGTGGCGTGCGGCGTGCTGTCGGGAAACCGCAACTTCGAAGGACGCATCCATCCGTCTGCCCGTGCCAACTACCTGGCCTCTCCGCCCCTAGTCATCGCTTACGCCATCGCTGGCACCGTCAGCATTGATCTCAAGTCTGAGCCGCTTGGTGAGACTCCTGAGCGTAGACACGGGTCCACTGCCTGGTTCACTTGCACCTACCAATCCACGCAGGAAATTCGGCGAGTGACCAACCTGCTGATGGTGCCCCCCCCTCGTGGTGGTGTTTGTGACTGGTACCCTTTGGTTGTGCCTGACGCAGGTGTGAATGCCGAGGGGAAGGAGGTGTTCCTACAAGACATATGGCCCACCCGGGAGGAGATCCAGGAAGTTGAAAGGCAGTTTGTCATCCCGTCCATGTTCCGTGAAGTCTACGACAAGCTGGAGGTCAGGGTAACTCGCCGCGCGGGAGTTTTGTTTTCCCACTTGGCCACGCGAGGCAAGTGACTGAGAGAGATTGTCTTTTTTCCCCTTTTATCGTGCGAACCGCAGAAAGGGAATGATCGCTGGAACTCGCTGCCGTACCCAGACATGACACTGTATCCCTGGGACACAAAGTCTACCTTCATTAAGAGTCCGTCTTTCTTTGAGAAGCTGGTAAGTAGACTTCTGCAGAAATGAGGCTTTTAAAAACTGTATACACAGCTGTTGACTTTAAAAGTGAGGTTGACCATCACTTATTTCTAAACAAGATTTATTTTTCACAGTCGTTGGAGCCCAAGCCGGTGGAGACAATTGTAGAAGCACACGTGCTTCTGTTCCTGGGAGACTCCATTACCACGGACCACATATCTCCGGCTGGCAGCATTCCCCGCAACAGCCCTGCTGCCCGCTTCCTTGCCAACCTTGGGTACCCATTATTATTTATTTCAGCTGCTTAAGTAGGCATTAGTGATTCACACGCCCTCCACACATCCCCAGTAATGCTATGAATGATTACAGTTCTGGGTCTCCATTTGATTCAATAATCGTAAAATGTTTTGGGTTTTGTCCATCTCGTGCGTGATGTTTAATTCGTATTGTCTTCCTTGTTTGTATTTTCTTGTTCCAATTGTCTAAAGATACATTAGCATTTAATTTGCAAAAACCGTATATAATTCTTGCGTGCATTGTTCGATGACATATATTGTGTCGATAATAATTGACTGCAATCGGTGGATTGTTGCACACCCATTCATAATCCCCCCCCCCATCGGAACTATACAGTCACTCGCGCATTGCTTCCAGCACCACAGTTAACCTTCACTGAACCCCCCCCCCCCCCCACCGCTCTCTTGTGCAGGATGACTCCACGAGAGTTCAACTCGTATGGTGCTCGACGGGGCAACGATGCCGTAATGACAAGAGGGGACGTTCGCCAATGCCCGCCTCTTAAACAAGCTCGTTGGAAAGCCGGGACCCAAGACACTGCACGTGCCTTCAGGCGACACGGTACGCAGCTGGGACTGCAGATTGCAGCAAGGTCTAACCTGGAGAATTCCTGCACGTGATCAGAAATAGCCATCGGGATGTGGCGTGGTGTCGGTGGCTTGAGGGTGATTCTGTGTCGGAACAGAGAGCCGGTACTTCTACATTTGTGTGTTGCATTCTAGGTTTCAGCTGTCTGTGATTAAACATTTCTCGAGTGTAGCGAGTTGATCTTTTCAGCCCAATCACTAATAACTGTATAAATATCTTTAAAATTTGGGTTTCCACTTGATTTGGCTAAATTCTAGCTTTGCAAGGCACATAAGTTTGAAAAATGAGGCCTCTTAAAGTGACTTGAGAAGTACTTGTCTGACATTTAAGGGTCATTCTTTACACACGGTAGTGCAATGCTTGATTCAAAAGTTCCTTTACTGATATGTATTCATCTCAAAAGAGAGATGACACCCACAGTAGCACAATTTCAATAAAACTGGGTGAGAAAAATGGAAATAAAGCCGCCTGGCAGATGGTGAAACCTGCGCGTGCGATCCTGTGTTGTGCCAGCTGGACATCTACGATGCAGCCGAGCGCTACCAGCAGCATGGGCAACCGCTCGTCATCCTGGCGGGAAAGGACTACGGGTCGGGCAGCTCCCGAGACTGGGCAGCCAAAGGGCCTTACCTCCTGGTAACAACGCACGTTATCCGGTCACCGTGTTGAATGCCTGTAAAGAGTTGTCGGCAGTTTGTCTTGAGAAATCTGTCTAGACAGTCTTGACAAAGAGAGTCCTTTGCCTAGACAGCCCAACTGTGTACGCAAATTGTCACCACACCAGTGTGTGTGGGAATCTATGTTATTTTTCACAGCTACTTGGTATATTCTCGTGGTATTACCAAACTGAAATTGCTGCTGAATCAGCGGATGTTAAAGACACTGGCATCATTTGCAGTGCTCTGCATGCCATCATATCCAGAACTTAAATTTAAACAGCTCCTGCAACTTAGTTGTGTAAAACACCCCTCATGATGCAGTCTTACTGTCTCAAAATTATATTATCAATTCATAACTATTTTCTTAACATTTTGTATTATTTTCAAATCGCCTCACTGGACACTGGAATCTCCAACCATGAAGTTGATAAATCTATCTGCATCCTCTTTTTGACCTGAAGGGCTGTGGCCTAAAACTTTAATTCACTGTAGAGCTTTCAAATGTTACCTTTTAAACTCGTAGAACGAGACTAAACGGACGAGAGATATTAATCAAAACCCATGCAATGATGCATCTCTTTACATCGATTTTTACGGTCAAGATAAAATAGTGAATTGTGCATGAGAGAAACTTTTCTTTTTCATATAATGATCATATGCAAATTGTCTTAATGTATTCAGGTTAGTCGAGAAAACATTACAAATGAGATAGAGAACATGAAATAGTCATCACTCCAAATCTTGGCCAATTCATTACGTCACGGTGATGAGACAATGTTGATGATACATGTGATTTTTTTCTCATATCTCTACTTACCCGCACCTCTGATTAGCACCGTTGGCTATGTACAATGCGAAAGAAGTTCTCCATACATACCCAAGCCAGCCTTGCTAGGCGACCCCCGCCGCTAAACTGTGTGTATGTCTGCGGGGGCAGGGCGTGAGAGCTGTACTTGCCGAGAGCTACGACCGCGTGCACAGGAGCAACCTGGTGGGGGTCGGCATAGTGCCGCTGCAGTTCATGCCCGAGCAGAACGCCCAGAGCCTTGGCCTGACAGGCCGCGAGAAGTTCACCATTCTCATTCCGGAGAGGCCCATGCCGGGGATGGCGATTGATGTGCAGGTGAGAGAGGCGGTGGGTGGGGAGAGCGAACGGGTCGTGATTTTGGGAGGTGGGGCTGGAGGCCATCCACACCGTGGTGGGTTGTCCGCATTTGCCGGTGTCGCCCAACATTTTTACTGTCTGAATGTTAGAGAATAAGATCCACTTGTAGTGACCAGGACATTGGCCTTTTATTGCAAAAAAAGTGGTTTCCCAAACACACGACTCAGACCCAATAGCTACCAAAATGACCCAAATTTTTGTTTTGGTAAAATTTAGTTTTCATGTTTAAATTCAGTACATGAGCTCTACAATTGTGATTTACGCATACGAATAAGTGTAGCGTGCTGTGCCCGTTGCATGTAACCGAATGGCACTCATTAGCACTTTGCTGTCCCATGTGCTGCTCAGCTGAGCACAGGGAAAACGTTCCAAGCCATCATGCGCCTGGAGACGGAGGTGGAGCTCGCTTACTACCAGCACGGGGGCATCCTCAACTACATGGTGCGCAACCTGCTCAAGGCGTGACAACCATCCCCTTGGCAGCGGGAGGTGGTGGCCGCGGTGTGGCGATGCCGGAGGGCTTGCTAATAAACATCCCCAAGTTCAGAGGGCGGGTGGCACAGGCTTTGCACAATTTGTTTCGTTGTTGCAACAAATTGGATAAATGTAAATTGAAAATCTGACAATGTTCAAGCTGCTCATTTTCTCTTGAATGGAAATGTGATTATCACCAAAGCCTTGTTTTGCTCTGCCTTCCTTCAAATGGCAAACATACTTGTGCAGTTTTTGTAATGGGAAAAAAAAAACATTAATAAAATCTGAAACACTGCTTGCAGCTTATTTTTGCAAATAATGTTAATTTACATTACACTTTAAATTTTGTCATTCTTTGTGCACAAATTTTAATTACTGCTGTGTAAATTATTAAACCCCCACTGGCAGTGTTATCCACAGATACTCTTAAGGACACTCCAGTCAGAGTATCTGTAAAGAACGTTAACACAGTTAACAACTCTAAATAACTTTAATCTTTAAGAAAATGTTTCCCTATTACTGTACCTAAATTAAGAAATTCTCAACAATTAATAAGATTCATCTCACAATACTTAAGCTTTATGGAGGATTGTATTTACCAATTGCAATCGAGGCAAAAGCTTTCAAAGAGAAAGACATTGGCAGAGCCATCATGCAATTAGCATGCTATGAAGTGAGAGTTGGGCACCTGAAATGCATTAAGGGGTATAGCCAACCAGGCCCATGACATGTTTTAACCTTCGAGGTGTCTGGAGCACTGTACACTACATTGGTTCTTTTGGGCAGCAGGGTGGCGCAGTGGTAACAAAAGGGCCCTGGGTTGGATTCCCTTTTTAGGCCTCGTTTCTGTGTGGAGTTTGTGTTCTCTCCCCTGTTCTGTATGGGTTTCCTCTATCTAACAAAACACTGTAACTGGTATTGGCCACGCAACGATAAAACATGTATTGCAAATTACTCAATTGGGATTACCATATCACCCACGACTGCAACAATTTGTCAAAACCTTTGTGAAAGGGAGTCTTGATGCTCGGTAAGACTTTCCTGGATAAACAGGCTTAGATTCTAGTAATTAAGGGCATGCTGTCAATTGCCATCAAGGCATCGAATGCATAAAACCTAAAGTAATTTTTACTTTAAATTTTAAAACTGCAGTTTCACGATATCACACCCTTTTAAAATAAAGGATTTGAAACCATAAAGCACCCTCAAGATGTGGTTATTAAAGTTTTAATGTATGAATTTACATTCAGGAATTATTGCAAAAACTGATTTTCTTTTGGCACCACAGACCATCGAGTTGGTCGCCGATCGTCGCCACCACCGTCCGCAATATTCACAGCAGCTTGGTGCTCGGCAGCGTTGATGGTTTACAGGCCTGCGACATGCACGACTTAAGACCTCCCCCCCCCCCCCCCAAGTGCATGGAATAAAAACTGTGCACTTCGAAACGTGGCTAACTTCTGGATAAAGATTACTGTAAAGGTGAATTGTTTTGTAATAGTTGGAGGTGGCAGATGCCGATGCGTGTAAACCTGTTGAGCGTTCGGAGTTTAATCGACTGGGTTCAGAACATGAAGTCAAATGAGCCAAAGTGCCATATGCAAACGCTGTTTTCTTATGTGTTCTTTTTTTTAATCTAGCAGTAATGAATATCCTGTAATATAGTACTTCAAATTTAAATGATTAAAATCCATAGAGTATATAAAAAATATATAAATATACCTAAGGCACGCTTCATAATTATGTTCAGAACTGCACTGAAATCAAGCCTTCAAGGTTCTGAGCCCAGCAGTTTTGTGTCGTTTGCATATTTGGCCCATCTGAACCTTTTCTCGAAGGAAAAGATGCACAATATTCAATCAAACCAGCAGTCACTGAAGACAACATTTTAAACAGAAATTGAGGCTTCTTTGTGAAGCTCCTATACGACGTGAAACCCTTAGCTCCTGATGCGTCATAACAAGGCTGCCACTTCGCTGTACGTTGCATTACCCACTGTGGCTTCCCTCCTTTTGTTAGAAAGCTCAGACTCCTGTGTTCAGACTTCACCGTTTATTATCATCTTTTAGTGTGAGATTGAAGTCAGTCGATGATAACGCTGTTTTCAATAAATGATACATTACTGCAGTTGGCTTTTTGTGCTTTATATACACTATTTTTTACATTATTACAAAGTATTGAGGTCTCGTGGCCTCTTACGGCACTTAAAACATTGTTCTTAATTTTTCTAAAAGGTTTACACAAATCATTGCACTTCACACTTCCGACATAACGGAGATCTGCAAATCCCCAATTCTCCATAACATTGCACTTATAGCACAACACACATCCGATTATAATGTAGTATCAGCAGCAGCAGCGGCGCACTTGGATCTGAGGCTAGGATCGGATGATGTCCAAATATCGGACAGAAGGAAACAGCGCGGTGGCTAACGTGGCGAGAAGGTGGTTGGCGTCGTGCAGGCAGTGTTGGTGCTCTCGGGTGAATTGGCACACACCCTGGATTTCACCCTGGAATTCCACGTACTGCTTGTTCAATCCGAGCGCCTCCAAGGAAGACAGTGCCTATGCATGGGAACAGCAAGAGGTAGCATTGTGATGTCGGTAGGGTTTTAGCTATTTCTTTTGACATTACCGGTAACCGTGTAAAAACGTGTCACCGGTTTTCCGCACGTATAGAAACGTCCAGCATTTACCTTCGGTAAAGTCACGTAGGTATAAAATAAATTACGACGTTTCGGGCGCAACACAAGCATTCATCATCAGGTGGGAAAGCATCGTCTGCTGCTGAGGCAGACTTTTAAAGGGTCATCGTCTGCTGCTGAGGCAGACTTTTAAAAGGTCTTTTATCTTATTAAAACAGTCTGCCTCAGCAGCAGACCATGCTTTCCCACCTGATGATGGACGCTTGTGTTGCGCCCGAAACGTCGTGATTTATTTTCTACCCACGTGACTTTACCGAAAGAACCAAAGAGTATGGATTCCTGCAGTCACGAAAGCTTCAAATCAAGATTAAAACATTTACCTTTTTAAGTGAGAAAGGGAGCTGATGTGGTCTCATGATTGGCACACTGGACTTGCAATCTAGAGGGCACCGGTTAGATCCCATTCCTGACATAGTAGTTAAAAGAACCGGCAAGTTTCTTAAACCCTTTGCCTCTACACCCAGCAGTATAGAAAAGTGCAGCACACCATTGGCAGGTCACGTGTTGGGGTAAATTGTGGTCATTGTTATCTCTTACAACTTCTTGGTCGGTGTGGAAGAGTAGATCAAATACCCTCCAGAACTCCTAGTTGGGAGGTCCCTCTTATGCCAGCAGTGGCGTAAGAAAACCATTGCAGGGTTGCACCTTGACAAGGGTAAATGTAACCGCGCGGTGACTTAGGCCGCCGTGCCGTTTGAATTACAAGGCTCTCAGGAGTGGCCCGCCGAGACAAGACAAAAACGGACAAATGTGATTTTTTTAAAATATACACGAGAGGTAATGATGATGCGAGAGCTGGAGACCGGAAGCACAAACCAGTGGGGTCACATGGAGAGCCATGATGACACCCCAGCACATTGTGACCTGCCTAAAATTAGTGATGTACATACATCGTGTATGTTAATTAACTGTGAATAACCAAACATAATAGATATGCATTGTAATTTATATGAATACATTAGCGTGCCACCCCCCCTGGTCTTATCACCTGATTGGCTCAAGTGACATCACATTTATCCCTCTAAGACTGAATCAGGATTCTCTCCACAGCTCTGGCTGTCACCTGATGAAGCTGGTTGTAATTAGCGGCTAAACGTCACGGCACTTGAATTGTAAATGTTGTGGGTTTACCCTCCAAAACACACCGGTGTGCTGAACTGGTAACAAATTGGCACGTTTTGTGTAAGTGACAAACCTCACTAAATGTGTTGTCGGGTGGTGGCAGCTTTAACGACATTCATATTTAAAGTGATCTAACCCAACAAAAAAAAACCCTGTTATTGTGGATAACATAGTTCAAAGACGCCTGCTTGAGCGGACCTGTGCGGCGCGGGGGGTCAGCTGCAGCAGGGAGCTTGGTTGCAGACGCAGGGTGTGCTCGTCAACGAGCTGTGCCTGCAGGAAGACGGCCATGCTCCGTGCCGCCAGCCGGAACCTGCAACGACAAAAATTGGCGCGCTCACCACCGCGCTACCAAAGATACCTTGCCACCGTGTCGCTGCAGCTGCTGTCCGCTAGCACAGCCGCGATTCGTGGGAGATGGGTGTGCAAACCCCTCTCCGACTCTCTCACTTGTCTTCATGCGAACGTGCCTTGTTGTGTGTTCTCTGTTACCTGCAAAATATCTACTGTGACGCGGGTGGCAGTGAGAGGTTGGTCATGAAGCTGTTACGTCTATGTTTTGTCTGCTGTTCAGAGCAGGTTACCCTCTCAAAATATTGACTCATTTTCCACTTTCTCTTCTCAAGTTGTAGGCGGAATTGCAAACCTCTTAAGAAAATCAATCCTCGAGCAGCATAACTGACAACCAGTGAGTGGAAAGATATTTCCTTGGCAAAACTAATTTGATGTATCATTAGGTTGCAAACATATGGGTCGTCATGGCCAAGCATCCCTTCGAGGTTGGTAAAATTTAGACTACTCTGTGGGTTTCTACGTGACTTTACCGAAAGAACCAAGAAGATACTCTGTGGGTATGAATGTGTTGTTCTGTGGATAGTGCGATTTTCATAAGAATGTGGAAGTTCAACGTACCTAAGGGCATGGAGGAGGAAACCATGATTTTTTGTGTCTTTGCAGAATGAGTAAAAACTGTAGTAATAGTAATAGGTTTTTACCATTTAAACTGGTACAAAAACTGACACCTTTATACAAGGCATCATGTTTGCAATAACCACAACACAAGCAGTCGTGTTGTGGTTATTGCAAACATGATCCCTTATATAAAGGTGTCAGTTTTTGTACCAGTTGAAAGCGTAAAAACCTATTACTATATTTTGCCACTGGTAAAGGAGGTCTCATAGTGTAAATGCTTACCCCGAGCTCTCAATACTCTGATAGTGCGCTGTTTTTGAGTTGTACGCCTTTTGGCGTCATCTGGTCCAACACCAATGGAGACTAGGCTCTAAGAAAAGCTGTCTCGGGTGTGGACCAATCAACTTCAAGGACAGTGTATATCATTATCAGAGTTGTTTCTTTTTGTTTGCATTTTGACTGCTTGTGTTGTGGTTATTGCAAACATGATGCCTTGTATAAAGGTGTCAGTTTATGTACCAGTTGAAAGGGTAAAAACATATTACTATATTTTGCCACTGGTAAAGGAGGTCTCAAGAGTAAAATCTGCTTCACCAATCGTGCTCTATGCGCTGGGCCAGGACTTGCAGCATCGTTACAAGGAAAATACAGTTTGCCTCCAGACCCATGGGGGCTCTGGGCAACTTGACTAAGATTGATCAACAGCACTGAGCAGAGAATGACCCCGGAACTTGCCTGGGCGACAGCGGGGACTTGTGACCCAGACCCAGCACCCCGAGCAGACCCGACATGACTCGCTCCTCGGCCAGCTGGGTTAGGGAAGACACAAGGCTTCGGAGGACGCGAGCCATCTCTCCCAGCGGCAGCTTCTTGTTGTGCTGCAGCTGCAAAAGCAGCAGTTCCAACGCTTTGTGCCACCACAGCAGCAGCTTGGGCTCTTGGGAGATAGTCCTGGGAGGGGTGGACGAATAGACGTAAGGATGGACAAACGATTGAATGGATAGACAAATGGATAGATGGATGAACAACGATGAAAAGGACAGATGGAAAAACAGGCAGATAATCACAGATGGAGAGGCAGACGAGAGAACGGATGAATGGACGGATTGGATTTTTGGAACAAATGGACAGTTGGAAAGATGAATGAATGAACGGATCAATTAAGTAATTCATGCCACTACTACCACAGACAGACGGAATAATGATTTGCGCCTTGCCACATAAAATATTAACACAAAGCTATAGAACACTTACATTACTTGCTCTATTACTTCATAATTTGTCAAATAAAATCACCAACTGCAGTTGTACTTCACATACTTAAAATGACTGAGATTGTTGTTTGTCATTATCAATCATGATCCATCCATTGCTAGATTAAGGCTTCCCCAATTCGTTTTCATTTATCACAATCCTAGCTCCTGCAATCGAGCCGGTTTCATCATTCCGCCTCCAAGGTCAACATCATCTGGGCATGTTCACTGCCACCACTGGTAGTCCATCATTAGTCTTGACCATTGGCCATCATCCCTACTAGCATGGTGTCCCACCAAAACCAACTTATTTTCTTGACAGCGAATATATGATGTCTCCAACTTGCACATGTCCTCCGTTTCACACGTTCCTCCTGTCTCTCAGCGTAATTAGAAACACGCTCCAACATCCTGCCACCACAGGCGCCTCAAAGAAGACATTTAAAGTGATACTTGTGTGACTTCACCATCGAGCCTTTTTCTAACCCGGGGTGATGAACTACTTGCTGTGAGAGGGAATCGTTTTCGTCTCGCGAGATGAAGCCGACTGTCATTCCCTGACAAGGTGGCGCACTTCTCTCTGCGAATGCTGCCAACTAAAATGTATTAATTCCACGGCATGAGGCCGAAAAATAAAATAAATGCTTCATAAAATGAAAGCTTCAACATTGAGTCTGCACAGTGATGTGAAGCCAATACGATACTGCACATGGTCAAACGGCAGACTTGCAGAGATCTCACAGATGCATTCCCAGCTAAAAATCAATGTTTGGCTTCAATTTGTGCATCGGACATGCCCTTATGGGGCACTTCAAAGTGTCATTATTCACGGTCGTGCATTCTGCCAGGACAGAATGCACGCGTTCAAGAATTCAAGCAAGGCATCTGAACAATACTCGTACATATTTACACAGCCGTTTACAAATACCAACAACGCACGAATAGTGCAAAATAGTAACGGTATCCCCGACTTTATGCGTCAGACTTTAGGTGGTCCCAACAACAACAACACTGTTATATAACTCGCAACTAGCGGGATTGCGAGTTAAAATTCCAGCTCACAGGGCCAATAAACCAAGCACCAGTTTGCGAAACATCAACAGTGATTGTCATGAAGGTCTGACTGGTCCTTGCCATAGCACTGTGGAAGTGACTCCTCTGGCTCAGGGCCACCAATAGATGCAATGAACACTGCCCAACATTGACTGAGCATGGAGGCACCACTTTGACTGAAAACTGCAGGGTGATATTTTATGGTACTGTCAATAGGATTTTTCTATCCATGGCAATTTTAGGAGTTGATCGATAGCCTCTGTTAATAGACTCACATACACATCTCAAATCTGGGCTCCCGGCTACAAGGACGTATACCATCGTAATGGGTTTCAAATTCCGCTGTACGTGCTGGGCTCCATGGACTAATACGGAGAGGTTCCAAAGCATTCATTGCGCGTCCTGACGAAGCGTCTTCCTCACAAACTCAAACACTACTCAACTAAGTTTTACAAGGTGAGGCCCAATGAACTTCATCATTCTTTTACAGAAGTGACCTGGCCACAAATGATAGCTCAAAGAAGTGGCTTCTCACGTAGAAATTTATAGCAGCCAAATAAATACTCTAAATGCATGTTTATAAATGTGGAGCGAAAAACTGGAGGACCTAGAAAAAAATTCACTCGATCATTGGAAGAACATGCAAACACCAAATACACAGACGTTAGGGTAGGGATCAAACCCACAACCTCCTGCATACCAGGTGAGGGAGATAACATCTTGCCACCGCGACACCACACATTTTCACAACGCCCCACATTTTCACAACAACATGCAGGAAGCGGGCCGCACAAGCTCATGACGCTGCTCGGCTCCCTTACTTGGGCACGGCGCACGCGATCCACCCCACGACCTGCAACAGCAGCTGCATCTCGTAAACCAGCGTCTCGTTGCGGTGCTGCAGCTGCAGCAGATGAGCGTGCAGTGTGAGGAACGCACCCAGCGACATGCACTCGTCTACAAACGCCTTGAGCGTCAGCTCGGGCATGTGCAGGGCGGAGAGTACGGGCGCCCAAGCCTCGCTCCCCTGCGCCGCCTGGATGCCTGTGGGAGCACGGAGGTGGGGATGTTGTCAATGGAGCGAAGTTCGTTGGTGAAGCGCCCTGGCCCCCCATATGGACGCCCGAGGAATTGGTGAATTGTGCAAAGAAAAAATTACGACGATGATGTTGATGGATAGATCACAATCAGAATCTTTATTTAGACTGGAGGAATCCGATGAGCAATGAAGCTCTTTTTCACCAATGTGCAGTAGGTGAAATAATGAATAGATAATAACGGTGGCAGCAGTGATGATGTTGCGATAACGAATGAACGATCGATGGCGGTGGTGTTGGTAGTGGCGAAGGTGACAACGATGATGACTGCAACGACAATGGTGACAATTACAACCACACGTGGGTTGAGGCGATAGTGGGGTGGGTACCTGCAAAGTGTGCAGCGATGCTGGTCTCAACGAGCTCGGCCATGTGCCGCACGGACGCCAGGCTGCGACAAGCAGCAGTGAGTACGGGCAGCACGAGTGGGCTGTGTGGGTGCCCATCGAGCCACGCGGTCAGGCCACTCACGAGGGGCGCCGACTTCTCTAGGCTGCCCTGGTTCAGCAAGACCAGCAGCTCCACCACCAGTTCTGTGTGGATGGTATACAGGGTCTGCACGTCCAAGCCTGCCAGCCAAGAAGTGCGGCCAACAAGAAGGCGCAGGTGTTAGCAGCGGGTGTGGTGGCTGTGCGCTTGTGGGGCGAGCGGAAGCACAGTGGTTAGCGTAACTGTGCTACGAACCTGACAACTCGAGTTCAATTCCAACTTATGGCCAACATCAGTGCTCAATAATTGCACTGGTCACTGGCCTACTCTAGGTCGAGGGAATACATGAGGTGGCCAGGCGTGGTGCTAGCCACACCAACCCCTTGCATGCCGTGTTGGCCTTCATAGGTGCTCGCTAACGGCTCTTACCCTAATATTCTGTGAAGGCAAAATGTGGGATTTTTTGTGTGATTGTGGGGCGAGCGGGAGTGCAATGGTTCGTGCAACCCGAGTTAAGTTCTCACACATGGCTAGCATTAATCGCCAGTTACATCTGAACCAGGTGAGTTTGTGTGTATCTGTGTATGCACCTCTGTGTTTGTATATCTCTATGTGTATGTCCATGTGGCAGTGAGGTGGTGGTTGCCAATCTGTAAGCTCTTTCCATTACACATTATTGCTTGCTCTGCAGGTCAGGTCACACTCTCTTACAAAAGCCAAATTGCATTTGGAAAGGGGATGCTTTTTGCACAGTTAATGGTGAATTGCTCATCCTTGTACTACTTTGGTTCTTGAGCTAGAAGCGGAATAGTAAACATTCTTCAAGAAATAACTAAGAGTTTAACTTACAATCAGCGAGTGTAAAAGCTGTCCATTGACAAATTAGATCGGGAAGTAACGACTTACAATTCATCGACTAAAACCAACTCCTACTCTCACAATTCAGTGATGCACAATGAAGCAACGCAGTTGGAGATTGCTTATCCTTGCACTTGTTTTCGTTCTTGCAGCCATCGGCGAAACAACAACAATCACGAAGCCCTTTGCTGGGTCCGCTGCACCTTGTGAAAAACTGTGAATAAACAAAATAAAATTAAACAAAACGCGAGTTGTACGGCCCTGTTAGGTCAGGTTCCCGGCCAACTCATTACCTGGTGGAGCGAAGTTCTGGACGTCCTCCAGCAGGCCGGTGAGGGTGGCGGCGGCGTTGGGGTGAGCGATCTCCTTGGAGAGCAGCCCCACCAGCAGCTTCACATACGCCCGGCACTTGAGCAACGCGTCCTAAAGGAACCACGTGGCCACGCGGCAAAAAAGGTCAGCGACCTCGTTAGCAAAATAACACTGGGTCCAATTTGGTTCATGTGAATAACATGTTTTGTTTAAAGGTCAACTGTAGAACAAAAGAGCCGTGTTACCGTACAGGGAGGAAGTTAGCGGCGTGACGACGAGAAGGTTGATGTCAGAGTAAGAGACTTTGTTTGACCAGGGAATACATTTAGTCTACTTGGGAAATTTTACAAAGTCGACCCCGTCAAGTGGGCCATACAATTCAAACGAAGATATAACGCAAGCAAGCAGCAAGGTATTTAAAGTTACCATAAATATAGGGGTATGGTACGACGAGGTAATGAAAGATGTTCATGATAAATTACAAAATCATAAGAACACATATACACATGCAAATAAAATGACAACAATCATTCCAGTCACTGGATTGCTAACAGTGGTCATTTACAGAAGGTGAAGTGAATAGATTAAAGTAACGACACCACAACGGAAAAAAATGGTACAGGGTGTTTGCAGACTCGTGTTGGATATTACCGTGACATCTACATTCAAATAGCTTCCGGACCAGAGCATTGAAGGTAGGCAAGGTCAGGAGGTCTTTAAGATTTAAATTAGAGGCTGACAACATGGGATGCAGTGACACAAAAGGCATGCATGGTGGGTACAGAAGTCGGGGTTGTGAATAAGTGGCACAGAGAAGCTCTTTCATCCAACAATCGAGCGAGAGAATGGCTGACGATAATTTATGTTTGTACGAATTAAAAAAGTATAAACTAAATTATTCTACAAATGCGATGCTTTACAGACAGAGTTGTGCCTCTCTCAGTTACTGATTTTCCAGATGGAGTACAGCAAGTAGGTTCCTGAAATATCCGTGCATAATTTGTGTAGAGTTCCTCAGTAAGTTCTCTCCCACTTCTTGTGGGCAAACACTCAGCAATTGAATGATTTTTGTTTAATGATTCAGGGCCCCAATTCGATTCAAGATATGATAGCTTTTTCATATTTAACATGCTGTTTAAGCCACAATGAACATATCAATAACCACATGAACGATCGAATGAACGGGGGGGGGGGGGGGGGCAGGGAGGAGACGACACATCTGTTGCAGGCTGCACGCCGGCACCTACGGGGTGTGGGCCAGCGCAAGTTCCCGGCGTGAGCCCGGCGGCCGCCTTGAGCACGGGCAGGAGGCGCGAGGCGGCGTCCCCGGGCGCGCCCAGCACCAGCGATGCCTGGAAGTGTCCGCCCACGTACTTGGCCACCGACTCGTATGCGGCGGGATCCACCAGCTGCCAGGGGAAGGCGGCTGCCTGCGCCATTAGGATCGGCAGGGGGCCATCCTGCGGGGTGCGGGGGCGGTGGGGTTAGCGGGGGGCCACCGGTTTTTGTAATATGTTGAACTTCTTTAGCACCGTACGTAGCCGAACCTGTGCTGATCGGAGGTGCTAATCGGAGGACGCGGCCAAAATAGTCGCCGGGTGGTGTTTGTTGAATTATAGTTGTGTACGCATCGTCGCATTGTAATGTTCAACTTTTCGGGTACTCTTCTGGGGCCTGGCTGCCGCAAGGAATGTTGTTGCGTGGACTCTCATGGCGCTTTCTCATCGCTACGTTTGATGTGGCGGTGTCGATATGTGGTTGGTGACTGTCGCTGGTGGGGTGTTAAGATGGTGGCCCCGGGCTGGCTGCTTTTTCTTCTTTCGTGTTTTCTGGACTTGGTGCTGGGACTCGAGGTTAACTATCTGTGTCTGCATGGGTCGCTGGAACAATTCAAGTTACGTGGAAAACCAAATGTGATGCAGTCATTGGTTGACTGGGCTGTCAACGTCAACTTGCAAAACTTGAGACCCCAGTTGAATCACAGCAAGGTTGAAACTCAGGCTCTCATCAAGTGCTGGTTCAGGGCTCTGACTGGAGCGCCACGAGGCCACTTCCCCTTACCTTGTATGTAACCATCTCCTTTCCCCCCGTGTGTAAATGTGCCCGTGCGATAGCGGAGCCAGCAGCAGATGCCAAGCTTACGGGTGCGTCGAGGAAGCTGCTCTCTCTTGCGAGCGCGGCCAGCGTGTACAGGAGGTACGTCAGCATGGCGCACGTCTCTCCGCTCGGGAAGGGGCCCCAGGCGCCAGCCAGCACTTCGAGCCAGTTCACCTGGCACAGCGCCGAGCCCAGGAAGCGGAAGCAGCTCGCCTGCCCCCCGCACTCCACCTGCGGAGCGACACGCGTGGAGCGACGATTGTGTCGCGTCAAATTCGGCTCAACAACAGCAATCCGGTAGTGACACGACTGACGAGAACCGGTGAACAAATGCTTACACGATCATCCGCGACATCACACAAACCAAGACAGCGTGGGTGCGTGTGATGCACAGCACGGTATTCTGGGTTTTGCGATGACAATGAAAAACATATAACCGAGGTGAAGAAATACATAGCTCTCCCAGCTTTAGGTGAAAAACGATGAACTGCATCACTGTAAGTAGGATATACACTGTTCCTGTAATAGTGCGTCAGTTATTACATTAAAACAGATCATTGCTTTCATGACACACGTTTTGAATTGATGTATGTAAATGGCCATACATCCCAACGTAAATATCTCCTGGAAAAAAAAGCTCTTGATATTTAGGGAGGCTTTCATGGGCAGTAGAAATTCATTTATTGCTGCTTTCAATTGCGTTTGCCTATACGTAACAAACAAACAGTGTTAAAGTACGGGAGGTACATGAACACCGTTTGTTTCTTTAGAACTGCTTTTCGTGTCTAGTTTGTTGTACTTCCCCTGCACCTCCAATTAGCACGGTGAGCTATGTACGGTGCGAAAGAAGTTCAACAACAACATATTTACAAACGCACTGGGAATGCAGGAAGCAATTGCCGTAGCCAGAGACCAGAAAGAGTGAAGAAATTCCATCCAGCCTCATCCTCGACCTCCTGCCGACAGCTGACAGAAGGGGATTAAATAGGTGCAAAGGGGCGGCTCTCGGGACCGATGCGATGGCTCACCTTGAAGAAGGCCTGCATGGCCTGAATGTCCGGCTGGAAGTGAGCCCAGGGCAGCGCAGAAAACTCGGAGTGGTAGACAGCCAGCACGTGATCAGGGATGCCAGGCTGTGCCATGGTGCTGCAGTAGTGCTGCCAGTGCAGCCAGAGGCTGCCCTTGCCTCCAAATCGCAGCATATCTATAGGATGGGCATGGAGATAATAATTAGGAAAATCCTTGCTTTGATAACATCAATGAAATGATGATGGCGTTAAATGAAGTTGCATGAATGTATAATGATAATACTAACTTTATAGACATGCGTCAATCCACTGCTGGACAAAAGCCACTCGTGTTAGGTCGGGCAAGGTGGTTGTTTCCGCGCACTTCAACAGGCAGGCGAGTGAGTGTTGGTGAAGGGAGAGGCCCAATAGCGCTCCAGACATCACCCACCACCGGTGTTAGCCGTGGTCAGAAGTGATCAAACTCACATCGCCAAATTTACAGCCCAGTGTGCTAACCACTGCACCACCGCTCCATTCATTGACTCGATTATTTTAATAGAATAAACCTGGGAGGCACACGCTGCCTCAATAAAAAAAAAATCTAGATTGAAAACTAATTTCTTTAGAACTGCTTTCTGCATTCAGTTTGTTGTCTGTCCCCCGCACCTCCGATTAGCATAGGCTGGCTACGTACTATGAGAAAGAAGTTCAACATACATGCACACGTACGTACCGCCAAAGAGCTCGTGCAGCGCACGCACGCAGTCGCAGAAGAGGTGGACCATGGTGCAGGCGAGAGCGGAGTCAACGTCGAGCCACGGAGAACTCCGTGGGCAACTGCGGAATGAGAGAGGTGCATCATCTCAAGACCGAGGCTCCGAGTCGCACGCAAAAAACTGGGGCTGAGCCACACTGACAAAGCCAGGGCTCTGAACCACATGCACGAAGCCAGGGCTCTTGAGCCACACGCACAAAACCAGGGCTCGCAGTCACACGAACATAACCAGGGCTCTTAGTCACATGCCGCACGACGGGCGTGCAAGTCCACCAAGAGTTCAGCCTCTCTACCAATCCACGGCCAGATGAAGGCCTCCCCCATGCCACGTCGGTCATTTGGCCATACTTCTCCATATTATTCAAGACGATTGTTGAGAGAGCACCCAGGCACATTTCAAATATTACTTGCCACTGATGTTAGTCAGAGCCAGGAGTGGAACGGAGGTCATCGGGTATATCGTAGAGTGTGTTAGCCACTGCGCCACTGTGAATTGTAATTTTGGAAAGTAGTGTAATACCACTCCACATTAGAGAACAGCCTCTGGAAGGTGTTATCATAGAACTACTTCTGAGGTTCCTTCAGATGTCTATAATAGTTTTACTTGGGGTGCTTAACTCGATAGAGATATTCATCACATGGCAGCCATCCATTGTTTTTGTTTATGCCCCAGAGAGAGAAATATGCCAAATGAAGAAAATACTACTTTCGAGAATTTAAGAGAACATCACGAAGAGAATGCCTCACCTTTTGTCGCCTGTTTCCAAGTACAGGATCCATGGTTTGAAGAGATCAGTCAACAGCGAATAAATCGACTGAACAGCTGCACGAGAGCACAACATGTTTCTGTGTATTATTTCCTGGTTTACTTAAAGAGTCTCTTTAATGTGTAGATCACGAGGTCTAACGGAGGCACGTTCGACGGGCAGGCATCCACCTTTATTTTTAAAACCACTGAAGTAAGATGTAACATCATTAAACGTACAACTTAACTGCTACATGAGCCACATTGCTGCTTCTTTTGCTGCACACGTAATTTTACCTTTCCTTAACTGCTTAAAGTTGTTGATTTATCTGTTTTAACACTCGGTATTGTGACAGCTCACAGTGGGACAGCTCCATTTGTTAGGGGGGGGGGGGGTCGGCTCAACTGATCAACACCGATCGCAGTGGCCAGGCCCAGAGCTGAGCAGCAACGGGGCAGCGCGTTTATACCGACATTTTTAGCGGCCGCACTAGGGCAGAGTGGTCCTGGGTCCTGTTGGTTTAATTTAGCTACAGCCCCCCATGGAGGATGAAATATCTCCACGCTTATTTGTGTACTCTTAAGCTGTGTTTGTCAGTGTCTAAGAATCACTCGGTACACATGGGACACGTTTTTGATTGAGGATTTCTTATTAACAGGAAATACTTTGTTGCTTATGTTAATATTAAGCCAATTGGAGTTATGTCTTGGCCCACCACCTCTGTCATCGCCCACCCCCTACACAAACACACTCAGTCTGTCAGATTGCGGGGGGCTCAATAGCTCATCCTGCTCCCCTGCAACGCCGCCGCTAGCACCGCCCCTTACCGGCCTCCGCATCGGGCGTGCCGGCCTTGCCGTTCCGCACCAGCCGCGCCCTCTCGGCTCGGAGGAGGTTCCGGCCCAGGAACCCGCAGAGCGAGGCAATGGCCGGAACGTACGGGCGCCATGCGGAGTAGAGGCCGAAGCTGCGGCGGCCCTGGCGCAAGAGGCGCAGTGCCAGCAGCTGCCGCGCAAGCCACTCCATCGTCTCCCGCACCTGCAGCGTGCGGGCGACAGGCTGAGCGCACGGCCGCACGTTCAGGGCCATCGTGGTCGAAACTCGGTGGCGAGATATTAACTACCTCTCCTCTATATTTGGAGTTTGCATGTTCTCTCTCCCCGTGGTCGCGTGGATTTTTCCTCCAGGTCCTCCCGTTTTTCCCTCCACATTTAGAATCAACGTGTGTTTGGAGTATTTGGCTGCTTTAAATTTCTACGTGATAAGCCACTTGGTTGAGCTAACACTTGTGGCCAGGTCGCTTCTGAAGAAGAGTTATATAGCTCAAGTGGGCCTTACCTGGGAGAATTTGTAATTATTCGTAGTTTTAACTCAACCTTGGTTAGGAAACTGCAACAGCTGTGCAGGCGAGGAGTGGTAACGCTACAATGCCAACGTCGAGATTTGACTTCAGCGTAGCTGAAAAGGAAGTCATTGGGACACCAGATTAACATCAACAACTTCTCTCCATTGTATATCGCGTCTAAAGGCAACTCAAGATACTTCACACAAAAATAAAGATGGGTGCAAGAAGAGGGGAGATATGTTCTGGACAAGGAGCTTGGGTCAGGACCCTAGCAGTTGCATTCTAATGATGCGGAAAGTCATCACGCATCGGTCATCGCGATCCTGGGAGATGGTGCCACATCACCTGCACGTCGGACAGCAACCCCGCGCGATCCGACTCAATGGTGATAGCAGCGGCAGCGGTCGCAGTGGTGACGGTGGCGGCTGGTGCTGTACAGGCTTCGTTTGGGCCGGCCTCCGTGCAGCCCAGAGTGAGCAGCACGTCGCTCCAAACCTCCGGGCTCAGCTTCTGCTCGTCCGATCCTACGCGACACAACCCAGGCACCTCCAATTAATACCGTGTCCCTTCCCGACCGTCCCTCCACTGGGTGAATGGTCGACACCATCGTGGGGCGTCATGGTGGCGAGATGTTAACTACCTCACGTGGTGTACAAAGAACATGGGTTCGATCCCGACCCCGATACCTGTATATTTGGAGTTTGCATGTTCTCCCAATGGTTGCGTGGATTTTTCTCAGGGTCCTCCGGTTTTTCCATCCACAGTTTTGAAATATGTGTGATAGAGTATTTGGCTGCAATAAATTTCCATGTGATAAGCCACTTCGTTGAGCTATCATTTGTTGCCAGGTCGCTTCTGAGAAAGAGCTATGTAGCTTAGTAGGCAATACCTGCTCAAATATAAAAACAAATAAAAACTAGTTTCGCGATGTTTATTAACGTCAGTGAATGCTCAAATGCTGAATTGCGAATTCACAGAGGCAGCAGTGTTGAGTAGGCACCCCTTGCCGCCAAAGGGGGGCATGGGATAGATGCTGAGCATGCAAGGATACATCGATTAATCCATGAAAATTGATGTTTATGATACACAATATGAATTGTGCACATGAGAAAAAATTACATCTAATTTATAGAAATGTATATGCAATTGATAAGCTCAAATTACATTGAGGCTAATGAAGCAATAAATACTCGCACAAACTAAACATGACAAATGAGAACAAATATAAAGCAGAGGTTAAAACAAAGACTAAAAAAATATGAACCTGTAAAAACAAAGTTTTTCACTATAAATCCTTTATATGCGTGGCATCGGTTTTATTTTATTATTCATTTCTGTTTTTCTTGAGTAAAAGTTTCATTTTTATCATTATTTTGAATTAAATATGAAATATTTTTTTTCCTAAAAAGTGGAAAAATTTTTTAAAAATTTTCACGAAAATAAATTGTCACGCACAACGAGTCTGTGTGCAAAATCTCAGCTCGATTGGATCACGGGAAGTGGGTTAAAAAACGACCGAAAGATTTGCATGGTCGTAAGCGTGCAAGCAAGCAAGTGAACTTAATATAAAGGATTGTAAAATGAACGTATTCTCTGAATTTAATGCAGAACACGAAGCATAAAAGTTAATCGTCGAAAGGGGGGGGGGGGCCCGGTGGCGAAAGAGGCGGCGATGAATCGTTCCACCCCTAGCATTGAGAACGCCGTTGCGTAACACGAGCGTGAATGAAACGATTTGTTACTGTTCGAATGGGAGTTTCTTCTAAAAGCAGCGCCTCGCTGTTTACTCAAGTGCACCTGCCACCTGTGCTCGGACAAGGCGTCAAACTCTTCGAGAGAAAACACCGCAGCTTCGGTGGCCCGCTAATTACAGGGTAACAGATCTCCACGGGTATTGAGACCGCGATTATTTTTTCATACTGAAAGGCAGCAGCGCTAAGACTTTAGTGTGGGCTGTGCCATTCATATTTTAAACATTTCGAATGTTTTAACAACTCAATGCCTTAGTGTCTTGGAGCCAATGTTTTTTTTTTATAATACATGAGCACAAATAAATGCACTGCACGCGTTCTACACCCTTTTAAAATAACCTGGGTAATTATAACCGTGCCAAGTGCTTGTTTGCAGGGTGTGAGACCTCTTTTTCCCATAACGGCCAGTTTTCCAGTTGCCCCTGCAACAATTAATGATTTGTATTTGAAAAAAACGATTGTACATGCCTTTATTTTCACTCATCTTTATCTTGAGCCCAACTCAGCATCCCTATTTGTTAAGTCACCGATTGTATCCTGCATGTATGCATGTACGTTAAACTTCTTTCACACCATACGTAGCCAACCGTGCTAAATCAGAGGTGCAGTTAATTTCCACCGGTTGTTATAATGACTTCTTCATCGGCGAATCCGAGGTGGTCAAGCCTCGACACGTCATCCAGAGCAGCAGCATTTTGCAAAACGGAAGGAACACATGTGCGTGCACGTGAGCTTCACGCAGCACCAAGATCCCCCCTCACCATCGACGAGCATCCGGAGAGTCTCGCCATAGTGGTCAGGGAAGTGGTGCGCCAGCAGCTTGCGCCAGTGCGAGCGGAGCAGCCCGGACGACGCCACCATCTCCGCCGAGGGCTGGGCGCCGCACGTGCACAGCGCCGCACACACCCCTGCCAGCAGCTCGCTCCGCCACGGCAGGGGAGGGCGGGCGACACTCAGCCACTGCGAGACGTCAAACTGGGAAGAAGACGGACAAGGGCTCGGAGTCTTCCACGCCAGGGATTTTTCCTTATCCGGGAGTGGAAAAGGATTTTTAAGTATCCTTGGAGGGCCACGCATCAGTTGACACTAAACAATGGTAGAAATGCTCGGACTAGATGCATTGAATCTGTGCACAGAACTACTTTTTGCTTGCTCTACCATAATCACCGCCCCACGCACACCTTAGTGAGAAGCATGAAGACCGTGTCGCTGGTGTCGGCGCTCAGAGTGGCGGCCACGAGGCCGTACATCCCGACGAAGGCGCGCGGGGCGGCGTTGGGTGTGAAGTGCGGCGACAGGAGGCTGCACAGGCAGCTGTTCTTGAGCACGGTCTGCAGCAGCCGTTCGCTCTCGGTCTCCACGCCAGAGATGAACATCTGTGGGCCACCAAGCAAACGGTGAGCTTTGGCGCAAGGGACGTAACGGCGTCGCTCACTCCATATTCCGACAGCTGTCACGGTTCAGAATGACTTTTCAATAAGTTTATCACCATCGATATAGGCACAATTTCCAGTGGTTGCAATGATTTCGAAAACATGGATAAATAGGAAACAATCGACTCTCCCACATGTAAATGAAAGCATGATTTGTAAATATAAGCACTGATTTAAATCCATGATAAAAAAGTTTTTTTATTAGTGTTGACCATCGAAATTGTTTCACTTAATCACTGAATTATGTCCCTATTTGGTCACGGACAGGTACAATATCCCTATTTGGCTATTTTCACATTGCTCCCCAGATAAGGCATTTAAAAGTAATAATATTAATAAGATCAGCATGTGATCTGAGCATTTCATGCTCAGCATTTAAGTCAATAAGCTTCCCCCAGTCAACTGTGCGGCCTACTCCCTACTTCCCTCTTTTACTCAGCCCATGGCTGACCACCACCGTCTCTGCACAGCGTCTTGAGATAAGGTCATATTTAGATGCTGTCCAAAATCGAGTCGCGTTGCTTTGTACCTGTCCGAGGACCTCGAGGCAGGAGGAAAGGAACTGGCGGCTGGGTGGGTATCGCGTCGTCTCCTCGCTCACAAACGACACCATGAGGTAGAAGAGCGCCACCCCCGTCTCCCGCATCCCCACCTTGGGCTGCACCTTGTACTCATTGATCAGGGCTCTGTGGAGAGAAGTTCAGTGTTCGAGTCCCGATTAAATCGATGGGTCTCGACCTAAGCCATGAGTGACTTGGGCCGGGACCATTAACGAGTGGCACTCGAGAACCTGGGTTAATAAAGGGTGGCTAAAACCCAAAATGAAACCCAGGATGTTAACCGTGGTAACACGGCCACCCCAGGTGCGCATTCCTCACGTGAGCAGCTCCTCTGTGTGCACGACGGCCTCGGGAACGCGGCGGTGTGGCAGCTGACTCGTCTCAGCCAGCAGCTGCTTGGCCTCCACGCGTGTGTCATGCAGCTGCTGCTTGATTCGCTCATTCATGTAGGCGCGCTCAAACTGCTCGCGGTGGATGAGAGGCAGATGGAGAGAAGCAGAATAAACCCTCTCAAAGCTGCTGCTGCTGCTGCTTCCACTAATGAATGTCTATAATGAGTAGGCTGCTGCAGCGGAAGTCAAGCCTACGCATATCAAGAACAGTCAGTTTTGCAAATCCAATGCTGGATGAGGACGTACCAATGCTGTGCAGGTCATAGAAGTTATTTGACCATGCTTCACAATGCTGGTAAATGGGCGGTGATGAAGGTGGGAAGCATATACATGGGGAAATGGGAGTACATCAATGGATTTTGCGGTCCGATGAAAACCTAACGTGGATGTACACCCACATGACAGAGAGGCGAGTTTGTCGATAGGAGCACAATCCAGCAACCACACTCACCCACCCCAATATTCATCTTCTTGGTTCTTTCGGTAAAGTCACGTAGAAGGGAAATAATAAAATAATAAAAATAAAACATAATAAAATAATTCTCACGACGTTTCGGCCATAACGCAAGCAGCCATCCTCAGGTGAAAAACAGGTCTGTTGGGAAGACAGCGCCTGAATGTTTAATTTGTATTATTTTATTATTTCCCTTCTACGTGACTTTACCGAAAGAACCAAGAAGATGAATTCCTGCAGTCACGAAAACTTTAAATCGAAATTTCACCCCAATATTGCTCACACTGGTAACATGAACATGGGAGGAGGCAGACCTTGATGGTGACGGTGGCAGCCCCAGTGCAGGAGTGCGTGGAGGAGGAGGTGTAGCCGGGCCTGCACTCCAGCTGCAGCACCTCCTGGTCCTCCCCGTTGTAGTAGAGCCCGGGCAGCAACTCGAGCAGGTCCTGGTCCAGCGCCACCTGCCTGCACTCCCGCACTGTTGCTTGGCTGCACACACGAAGACAAAGATCCCCTGTAAAGCCTTAATAGACTATTGGGGCAGGTACTGTTAGCGAGCACCTATGAAGGCCAGCACGGTACATTGTCTCCCCAGTGGCGATGTTTACACACTCCACCAGAAACTCATTTGAGGCCGAGTCGACCTAAGGGAAGGCCAGGAACAGTTGAAATAATCGTCCCTGGTGGTCCTCATGAGCGGAAATTGAACACGGGTCACCGGGTTTCTAAGGCAGTGTGCTAATCTCTGCACTACAACTCCCCCCACACAAGTGTCGCCTAACAGACCATTGAGCATTGCTCGTAAGCCTATTAATTCTGGCACGGCGATAGGGTGATGTGGCCAGCAGCAAACACAGTTCTTACGTCTCCCCAGCGCTGATGTTTGCAGGCTGAGTCAACCTCAGGGAGTCCCAGGACAAGTTCTGATACCACTTAAAGCAGATGTTAGCCATGGGTGGTAATCGAATTCAGGTCGCTCAATTAGTACCCCTCGATCACATGTAAACCATTATCTAAATAAAAAATGCATTAATTAGATCATGCGAAGCAATGTCAGTTCAAATAACTACTTCAGAGCTATGTAAAATGAACACGACCCTCTTTCCATGCAGCAAACGCCCCACGTGCACACAAATCAGATCAAGTTATTTTTGTATTTTTCCACGTCCCACTTAAAAGGCTTATTAGCCATGTGGGACCACGTAGCCCAAGGTGCACAGGGATGTCACAAGAGAGACTGACCGTCCTTTCAGCTACAATATTTCCAGTAGCCATGCAACGATGCAAGGGGGGTGTTTTAAGGTAATCTTTAACTTCCTAATTTCCAGTGTGAATGGGCAGCTCAGGTGGTCAATGCCATGGCACAGAACTGAGCCAGCACTGCTTAGAACCCTCGCTCCAAATTCACATCCGGACAACCAACGGTGCTCAAACTGTCATTTCGAGTGCAGAGAATTATGGACTAATCGAAGTGACTCATATTAAACTTCACTTCTTCTGCCACGCTTTTTTCTCGCACTCATGTGGGGATCTCTGCTGTCCTTGCCAACGTTCTCCCTGCTGCCCTGCCCTGCCCCATCTCTCTTTCTACTCCTCAGGCCACCATGTCTGATCGCATCACATTGCCTCACTTCTGCTTCTGCCTTTCTCTTGATCTCTTTCCTTACACTTGCATCACTAGCACCTTCTGACCCACGTAATTTTCCTGTCGTCTCTCAACATGATCAGATTAAACTCGACTCTTTGCAGCAATTCCAGCTCTATGGATGAAACATTTCATATATGACTGCCATGTGAAGAACACTCTGTCCCACACATATAACATTTGGCACGGTTGCTGGTTTTGTAAAAATATGGCCCTTTATTTACCCAGGAAATCTGCATTGGGATGTTGGTCAATTAAATTAGCAATGTACAGGTAGTCCTCTACTTACGATGGAGATGCGTTACGACGACCCCATCGTAAGTCAAAAATATCGTAAGTCGAAGATGGCCTAGCCTACCCAGGAGTCTTAAAGAATGGTGATAATTTAGCAAAACAGAGCAATTTACAGTACCGTACTGTATAAACTATATACCGTATGTATTTATTAATTACAATACTGTATTGCACAGTAAAATGTAAAGTAAAAAAAACAAGGTAAATTCTTAGCCTACCTATATGAACTGCAATTTAATAGAAAGTTTTTTCAGGAAACAATCCTATCTGCTATAAAAACTTTGAACATGCATTGAACACTGAGACAACTTAACTTAACTGCCATCGTAAGATCGAAATATCGTAAGTCGGACCATCGCAACTCGAGGACTATCTGTATATTATAATTTGGAAATACGTGGAAAAGGAAAAAGAAAATCCAACGAGTCATGACATAACCATGGTTGAGAATATCATCAACGTGTCATCATCACAATCATCATCAAGAGAATTTCAAACTTATTTGCGTCAACATGTGATGAGCATAAGTCTCACGGAGACCCCGTAGTGCACTGTGGCAATACTTCAGCTCAATGTAAATAATACACAGTTGAGTTTGCAAAAATGTTTAATTCTTTGTGCTACATCAGGGCATAGCAATGTGTTGTTTAATTGTTTTAGCTATGTCAACACCAGTGTAAAACTGTAATTGAAATCAATAACTGCAAAATTATTCAAGACAAATACTCTGATGATGCAATTAATTGCGCTTTTCAGGGCATTCACCACACATGCTCACCATTACACACACCTGCTCGCCACACACTAAAATCACCAACCACACTCACCCAATACACTCACCATACCTCCCGACACTCATCAGGCCCTGTACACTCAGCAGATCGATCCCACTCACCAGACCCACCACACTCCCCCGCACACTCAGCAGGCCTCCCAAGCTCACCAGGCCTGCTGCTGCAGCACCTGCAGGTCTTTGGCGACGAGCTGCTCGGCGACCCGGTCGTCGCACAGGCAGGACGCCACCACAGCCGGCACCGGGGCCTTCAGCCAGGGCAGCGGGGGAGGCTCACAAGGCCGCTTGGGTCTCGGAGGTAAACCCCGGCTTACGCTCTTCCCAAGCTCTGCTCAACGACAAACGTGGCAAAGCAAGGGTTGGGTCTGGGCAGTGCTCGCGAGGGAGACTGCCAGGGTCTTGTAGGCGACGTGGACTTTTAAAAATGATTACAATAATTTCGGTGGTTAGAGGCAAATATTGTTTATTCCAACAACTTGCAATTCCATGTGACAACAGGTTTGCAAGAGGATGTATGATTTTATTGGCTCGGCAAACGTTAATAGGAATGCTTTATTTACCATTTAAACGATTATGATAAGTCATTATTAAGCACTAATAACTCAGCCCCACACTGATTATACGAAGTCACAATTAATGGTTGCAATTAGGTTCACGGATCTATTCTTTTTCATCTCTTTAAAACACCTCCTTCAATTCTTCCTGTCTCATTTGTTTAGCCAAGTTCACGCCATCAGCCAAAATCCCGCATTGGCATATCTTTGCTAATAATATGCCCATATAAGAAGTAATCTATCTGTACCCATGTGATTTGATGCAATTTCTCGCGAGCGGAAGAATCGATGATAATTGACGCATTTGTGCAAGCCTCGTTATTATTGATAGCGGTAACAGAAGGGGTCAATTGGACACTGGACACTCACCCCCAGGTGCCGTGTTGCTGCCAGGGGTCAAAACACCATTATTCTGCAGCTCCTTCAGCCAATCGTTACGGCATCCCGCAAGGTCGCGACCTATCAGGGTCATGTCCACAAACTCCAGCCACAGGTCCTGCAGCAAAAACGTGTCAAACTCAGACTCATTACAATACCGATCACCTGTCACGTTATCTGTTGTTACACTATCTGCTGTCACACTATGTTACTACATTAAGGTACAGTATCTTCATACCACTATCTGCTATCATATTATATCTTATCACCTTATCAGTCTATCACTCTATGGTAACAAATAGTCTGTTATAAACCTATCTGCTGTCAAAACTATCTGATATCACTAATAACAAGCAGTGTCAGACACTTAATAACATCTCAACAATCCACACAATAATATTCAACAGGCATGATTTCCCACAAACTTACCATTCCGCAATATTTGGTATAATTATGAAAAAATAAACATTTATATTTATTACGATGATAGTGACAATATTGATGGCCACAACGATGTCAGTTTTCAAAGAAAAGCACCAACCACGTGAGTGAACATTTACACTGAGTAAGCATACAGCACCCTCACCTGGTCGTTGTTGAAGATGCGCACCATCCTGTGGGGGTCGTAGTGCAGAGGAACAGATGGGAGGTACAGGTCGGCGCCCTGCAGCTTCTCGTCATCAAGCCAACAATGGAACAGGTGAAACAGCCTGGGGCAGCCAGAAGGTGAAACACACGAGGCACACATCACAAGTGGGGACCCTAGAGGTGAATGTGCCTCACTACTACATAAACCCTTCATCCCGGGATTGAGGCTCCTTAACAAGTTGTGTGTGCATCTTTGTCTCTGTGTATATATCTGTGTGCATGTGTGTGTAGGAGTGAGGTGCTCACTAACAGCACTTGCCCTAATGGTCTGTTCAGGCTATACTGGGGGATATTTGTCTTTTGTGGGGGTGAGGTGGCATGGTGAGGTCAGTGCACTTTGCTACAAAGCTTGGCGACCCGAGTTCTATTCCCAGCCACGGAAAACATCAGTGGCGAATACCTGAAGTGTTTATGAGACTCCCCAAAGGCGACTCAGCCTTGAATTAGTACCTCGTGAAGTGTGTAAATATCAGCAGTGGGGTAGACAAAGGTAGCTGAGTACAGTATTGGCAATGCCACCCCATTGTGTGCCATGCAGGCCTTAACAGGTTCTCGCTCAACAGCTTGTTTACCATTTTCTGTATGTATATTTGTACACATTTTCGCATGTTTATCTTTGTGTCAGTGTATCTATGTACATGTCTGTGGATGTATCTGGATGTCTGTGCATGTATCCTATTGCAGTGTGTGCCTGTGCGTGTGGTTGTGACGCTGGGGAGCATTCTCACAGGGGTCAGCGCGCTACTCTACGCACCCGGCAACCCGAGTTCAATTGATGATTATCTAAACAGGTCCTGGGCATTCCCTAGGTCGACTCGGCCTCAAATTAGTTTCTGGTGCGGTATGTAAACATCGCCATTAGGGAGACAAAGGCGGCCTGGCGTGGTGTTTTACAGCCACTCTCTCTCGTGTGCCGTGCCAGCCTTAATAGGTGCTCGCAAACAGTACTTGCCCCAAAAGTATGTTACGGCTATGTGGGGAATCTTTGGTCTTTGTGGCTGTGACGATACTTTAATACAACAGGACAGCGACACAGCAATTAAGTAAATAACTTAAGACCAGCAGCATACTTCACAAGCTCCTTGTGCAGTTCAAGCGCAGTCGCTGCAGCCGTAGCAGAAGGGGCGGACGGAGAGGTGTGAGGCTGCTGCGGCCGTGCAGGCGACGACGATGATGTAGGAACCGGAGGCGCTGGTGGACCTGTGGTGCCGACATTGAAGGTCTGCGGGGCTCGAACCGCTTTGCTGGCACCATGGTGGTAGTCGGCAAGCTCTGCCAGTCGCTTCTTCAGCCTGTCCAGCAGAGCGCGCTGCGCCGGCGCCTGGAAGAAGCGGCTACCCACGCTGCCCCCGTATGGCATCCTGCAAACACAGCGTGCGTATGACTCGCACAGCGAGCATGTATTCATTCATTGTGCATTCATTTTTCTGTTTTTCACAATTTTATGAATACTGTGATATCGCTGTCAAAGTATGAGATGAAGTGACCATTCTGAATGATTTCAGAGCAGCATGTCACCTGATGTTAATAGTCCGCTGAAGGAGATATCAAAGAACTACTTCTCTTCAAGTGACCTTTTTAATCCACACAGTAGGGCGTTGCAATTTCTGGCATGTCCTGCTACAGAGTGAAATGTTCATCGCATGACACTGAGACCTATATTGACTTCTCAGAGCCAGACCTCTGACAATATATATAAAAAACCTCAGCGAATGTAATGTTTGTTTTGTGCAGTCATTGTCAGTCAGGCTGAAACCACCAATTAACCAATCTGCTTTAATCAGTGGCAGCTAGAACCCAGGTTCACAATCCAGGATCTCTGCAGTGTCAGCTCAGTGCTCTGACCCCTGCTCGACCAGGTCACCTCCAACTGCATTGCTTGCAACTGTGAATGGTGCCCATACCCGGTCTCCTGGCCTGGCCTGTGCAGGTAGAGGAGGAGAAATTTCTGCCAGATGAGAGGGAGCACGGGGTGGTCCTCTGGTGTGACCAGAGCCTGCTGTGCCCAGCGGTACACCATGAGACGCTGGGGCGATGGCGCCACTGGCATTTTCAGCTTGCTCTGTGCCTTCTGCGAAGACAGCAATTTAACGAGTACCACTGACCATCGAGTGTTATAAACAACTGCAACCCGCAAATAAATGTTGTAAACACACACCTGTATTGTGTAATAACTAGGCATGCAACAATACACAATAACTTTTGTTTTACTTTGTTGTGAATGTAGCATCTCTAGCAGTTGCAGGGACACGTTAACAATCACATGCAAGAGATAAGTGAAAAAGTCAACTATTAAAATAACGATGTAGTCAAGGTACCAAGAGCAAAGCAATGACTTTAACTGATTAATTATTGCACGGTTACAAGCAAAGTAGCAGTAATAATATCCGCATTGCATGTTTATTTTAACAAGTAGTGTTAATGAAGAAGGTGCAACAACAGAGGTGTGTGGTTAGAGATGTTTTTGTGAATCCTGCACCTTCAGGGCTTGCTCGGGGCTGAACATGGGGTTCGTCTGCAACTCCAACTCCACGTGCTTCCTGACCTGGGAGTCCTCCTCGAAGATTGCTTCTGTGTTCAGCACCGTCCATGCAAACCACACCTGCAAAACACAAAACACTCCTCGTGAAGGCATATGGACCGTTAGCGGGCACCTATTTGGGTTAGCACAGCACGTGTTTCGTAGAGTGGCATGACTCAAAGCCATGCACTCCTGGTGATCTTTGTATCTCCGGGGTAGACAATGATACACGGTAACAGATGTTCATTTTAGGCTGAGTCGACCGAGGACAACTACAGACCACAAATTCAATTAAGAATAGAAATCAATTTGGGTAAACAGGAATTTGGAGCCAGAACACCAGAAGCATAGTATGGTGGAAATGGCAGCCACGAGTCGCTGCATGGGGACATGTGAACCTATTGGGCAGTAACACGGCTGAGTGGAAGCGTGTTTGGTCCTTGGTGCAGAGGGTCACAAGTACAAATCGAGCGGCAGCCAGCGATTATCACTGTGGGTGTAAAAGCCTCAATAAAAGCCATCTGTTTCACAACAGACATTAAAGATTTCGTGACGTTATTCGCAAGAGTTGGCCATTGTGTGCCAGCGTCAGGATCCACATTTTTCAAAGGAGAAAATGATCCGCAAATTACTAATTTGGGATTACACTGGAGCAATTATTGTCCTCATACTGGCAGAACAATGCCTGTTTGTAGACCAGGTGCTGAGTCATCTTGTGTCTACAGAGACAGCTGCCACTTGGGGTGCCTTTCAAAATTGATTAGAGATGAGAGGTAAAGCGGTCCGGAGATGCTCCGGCATAATAGGGTGATACATCAAAAATGAATCATTATTATGACATACAACATATGTACGCATGAAAAAAATCAAGGATTCTTGCATCAATGCATCTTTACACGCATAATACCAAATGACAAATGTTGATGGCGCGAAAGAAGTTCAACATAAGTAGAACATAGAGCACAAGTTTGTCTGTGTAGTGGTTAGCACACTGCGCTATGAACCCAGCGACCCGAGTTCATTTCCCGCATCACGGCCAACACCAGTGACGATAATCTGAACCGGTCCTGGGCCTCCGCTAGGTCGACTCAAATGAGTACCTGGTGCGGTGTGTAAACATCGACACAAGGGAGACAAATGCGGCCGGGCGTAGTGCCTCGCCACCCACCCTCTCGTGTGCTGTTCCGGCCTTCATGGGTGCCCGCTAAGAGCACTTGCCCCAACAGTCTGTTAAGGCTATACAGGGGATATCTTTTATCTTTGTCACTGTTCCCTCACCTCTGAAGAATTCGCCTCTCCCTCTATGAAAGAAGGCGTTGGATTTCCTGACACCACCCAGCTGATCAGGGACGAGACAATTCCCTTGTCCCCGTGGTACCCGAGGGCGGTCTGTGATGGCAAACCAACAGAAGGCACACAGGACAAAATGATACTATTTAAATGAATAATACCGGTCATTCCATTGAAAACCCATCACTTTTAACCATTCCATTTGCATTTTCCTGGTAAAGCCTCACCGAGTCTCAAGATTTTTTATTCTAGAGGGTTCTGGAATGTTAGGCCAATTCCATTAATGAGCATTGTGCATGTATGCGAGTGGATATCACTCAGAGCACTGTACAGATAGAATCAACCCACAAATAGATCCCATCCAGTGAACAATCTGTGGATTTAATTCAATGCTGGCCATCTTGCGGGCCCATGCCTAAAGCATCTTGGGATACAATTATATTTAGATGGTATATACATCCAAACAATACTGTATTGTTACATCCGGTATGTACTGGAAAGTCATCCATCCCGTTACTAATAAGGCACAATACGGGTTTTATCCAGGCACTCCAATTTCCTCACACGAAAATAAATCATAAAAATTGGCCAAACATTCCAATGCAGAACACACCTTAAAAAGGGTTCTTGAGACTCAGAGATGCTCACGTAGACAGCTTAATGAGGTTATACAATTGAGGCCACTGGCCCTCCTTCCCCTGGGTCACCTTGTGGAGGAGGTAGAAGACTTTGTGCAGAACTTCCTCCTGGCCGGTGGTAGAAAGCCGCCTTGCACAGCTGGTCAAGCAGGAAGAGGCCGAGCGGCTCGCGGTACCAGCCCCCGAAACTCGTGAGCAGCTGGCACCAGAAGTCCAGCACGGCCGCAGGACCCACACCTCCCGGGTGGCAGCTGTCGGAAACATGGGCCTGGAAAAGGGCCGTCAGAAAAAGAGGGCAAAAAGAGGGGCGTCACAACGGAGAGGGCTGCGACGGACGTCTCTGAGAAAGGAACAACCAGTGGGGGGGGGCTATTGAGCGTGCAGGTGATGCATAGGGGGCACAAGGGGCAGCATGGAACCCACAGGCACCAGGCGATGAAGAGGGGGATACTCGACAAGGGCGGGGGTTTCTCCCATTTAATTCCTCGCACCAAGGTGCATTCCAGTCACTTCTAAGGCACTGGACACAATGCGCTCCTTTCTTGTCTATGCATAAAGCCACACTTGAGGTGAGATGTTTGTGACTTTAATTTAAGAGGCTGTACGTTGTAATTGTCAATGTCAACTTTTATGCGTCTGAAATGCAACAAGCATTGTCTATGAATATTGACAGAGTACTGCGCTAGGCAAGTGAAGAAGCATCAATTAAAATGGATTCTGCCAAAATACCTCAACATTACTTCCTTCAATCTGCCAGTTAGTGCAACTGTTGCACAGTTCACGACACATTCTAATTCTTGAGTTCTCTGCCCAAGCACAGGTTCCTGGATCAAGTTGCCTCCCATATTATCCGATGTCAATTCCCTCCAAACGCATTGCAACACCACACTATGTGCCGAGGTTCTTGAGCCAGAACTATTGAAGGAGAATTGCAATGACATCTATTGGCCTTCCTCAAAAGTATCTTTCTATTGACATCATCACTGCACGACTGGCTAACAAGATCATAATTGGATCCATGACCAGCAGTGAGCCAGACATGGAGTGCGGTGCGCACAAAAGACAAAGATCCCCGTAAAGCCTTAACAAGACTGTTTGGGGCAAGAGCTGTTAGCGAGCACCTATTCGGGCTGGCACAGCACACGAGGGGGTGGGGTGGCCAAGCACCATGGCGAGCCGCTTTTGTCTCCCTAGTGGCAATGTTTACATAACGCACCTCCTGAGGACCGGTTCAGATAATCGTCACTGGTGGTGAGCGGGAATCGAACTCGGGTCACTGGTTTTGTAGCGCAGTGCGCTAACCACTACACTACCGGGGTGCGCACACACACACACAGACACCTGTATGACGCTGTTCAGGAGCCGGACATTTTCTCCGAAAGCCAGGGCGCTGGAGAAATGCTGTGTGACTTTGTGGGTCACCTGCTGAGTCACACCCTGCGCCACCCCGCCGTCCACCTGCAGGAACGTCTGCACCAGCTGCAGAAATCTGGGACGGGCAATGCCGACAATCATTGAAATTACAACAAAAATTCCAAGCTGTTACTGGTGGCTCTAACCCTACTTTTAGCAACTTGAGGAAACTTACTTTGAGCCAAGACTAAGTGTTGTTGCCAACTGTATCTACGTGACTTTACCGAAAGAACCAAAGAGTATGTTTCGTCCAAGTTTTTGGTACAAGAATGTCTTAATGATAACAATGGGGAAAATGTATTTTAAAAAACTGTTTCGCCCATTTTGTGGAAAGTGAACCATTAGATAGTCAATTGCTAGGATACGTGAGTGGCTATTTAAGTAAGGCAGTGATGTCGACTACGGAACTGTTGGTTCTTGAGGAGGTAGAATGGGCATGAGTAGAAGCGGGGCAGGATCTTGGCCAGAGTGAACACGGTGGCCCGGAGGCAGCGAGCGTCCACCAGTGCGGAAAGCAAAAGCACGCCCTTTGCACAGAATTCTTCCACACTGGGGGGACAAAGACAACCACAAAAGATCAGAGGAAGACACGACCCAAAACGACTCTAATGCTCTGGTTCAATGTGCCATTGGCTACGTACGGTGCACAAGAAGTACAACATACATACATACTCCCATACGTTTTACCACAATGCCAATGCAGTGAAGTCAGGAGAGAAACGAAGGACTTTTACAAAGCACCTGAATGTGAATTTTAGCAGGCTTTTTTCTCATTCGTAATAGTGTAACAACACCGACGACCGAATCACTAGTAATCACATGGAATGAGGAAGATCTCATCAGATCTCAGAGTGGGCAACCACCATGCACGTCAGGTTGTCATAGGCATCTCCACGGTTGTGCTACCTGGTAGGCAGCAGAGGGCAGCGCACGAAACGCCATCGCTGATCTGTGACCGATGCGCCAACGTCTATGCTGCCCCGCCTTCACCAACGCGCATTGACCAGTGCGCGGTGCGGTGTGATAAAATAACCCACACGGTGCACGCAGAGTGGGGAAGCCCTCATCCAGCAGTGGATTGACAAAAGGGCTAAGACATGCACAGCAAAAGCTCTGTTATCTGGCATCCATGGGGAATGGAGGGTGCCGGTTAATCAAATATGCCGGTTATCTGAGAGTAATATTTATGGTTCACCAAAAGTACTTTTCAAGAAAGAAACTAAGCCAAAATTTTTACAATATTATAAATTATATACTATTTTACAGAGGTACCCACCAGTCAGTTGTACAGATTTCTAAGTTGATTATAGATCAGCAGTGGGGCCGTTTAGAGTACAGTATATTATAGTACAGTACTATACGTACAGACTGCCATCACTGCTATCACTCGGCAGCGTCCTAAAACTTCCGTAAACAACAAAAGATCTATGATAAGCGCACGGCAAGATGCCGGATGGCTGCTGGTATTTTTCCGGATACATGGAGGAGGATTTGTATTGCCGTCTATGACAGATGCCGTCTAATAAGAGCATTCCGGATGGTGAAGTGCCAGATAACAGAGCTTTCTCTGCACATGAATGTTAAGCCACCGCACCTGTGCCCCAGCGTGGTGATGGACAACGCCAGGTAGCAGCCCAGCGGGATCCCAGCGGCCACCGCCTTGCGCAGGGGGTGCAGCTCCGTGTCGGCCGCCAAGTCCGGCACGGCGCGCGGTGGCGGCGGCGTCGTCACACCCGCCCCCCCTGGGAGGATCCAGTCCATGTGGTGCAGCTTCAGCCGCAGCACCAGCTCCCACGCCCATGCATTGAAGATGCTCTCGGGAGATTGACTGGCACGCACCACGCTGGCCAGGTACGACACCTGCGATCAGGCAAGGTGTGATAAAATTAAAACAGTTTTGTGGGAAGTTTACAATGGTTGCTATATGGAGAAGTTGGCTGTTATCTTAGGAATATGGAATTCTAGATTTGAAGCTTTCGTGACTGCAAGGATTCATACTCTTAGGTTTGTTCGATAAAGTCACGTAGGTCAAAATAATAATAAAATAAATGAAAATAACTAAATTAAATCACGACGTTTCGGAAGCAACACAAGAACTCCGTCATCAGGTGTAACTGCTCCACACGCTACAGTAATTTTACTGGAGCAGTTACACCTGATGACGGAGGCTTGTGTTGCTTCCGAAACGTCGTGATTTAATTTAGTTATTTTCATTTATTATTATTTTATTATTATTATTTTTACCTACGTGACTTTACCGAAAAAACCTAAGATATTGAATTGTCCCTACTGGCTTAGGGACCCCAACAGAGCTGCCAACGATCCTCTCTCTACTCTACATCAAGATGCATAACTTCTGAGTCTTTAACAACAGTGCACAGATGCCCCCCTTTGGTAAAGTGCTCTTACTGGATATTTATAGAACTACATTACTGGGACTGCCAAGGATCAATAGCATGTTGAGCACGTAAACTTTTGCGACCAATATTATTCATAATAAAGGTTTTTGGGTTAGATCACGTAAATATGTGACGTTACGCATCACCACCCGACAGAACCAATTAGTAAGGTTTGTCATGTAAACAAAATGTGCCAATTATTCCTAGTTCAGCACACCAGTGTGTTGGAAAGTAAACCCACAACATTTACAATTTGAGTACAACATTTCGCTGGTGATTACAACCAGTTTCATCAAGCAACTTGTCAGAATTGTAAAAAAGTATTCGTTTCCGGTCTTAAATAGAGTAAGATGATGTCATCACAGTATGTCTATCAGATGTGAAGATCAGCGGGGGGTTGATTTAGTAATATCAATTATAATGGATTATGTTCATCTGTCAAAGCTTTTGCGGCCGTTTGCAACGCTCTTCCTTCTGATAATATGAAGCCACTGGAGCTACGTACTTTTAAATCTAGATTGAAAACTAATTTCTTTAGGACTGCTTTTTGTGTTTAGTTTATTGTCCTTCACCTGCACCTCCGATTAGCATGGTTGGCTACGTACGATGCGAACAAAGTTCAACATACATACATGCATGTCACAATCGGTTTCACTCAAAGCGAGCGCAGCTACCTGCTTGATGCTCTCGCTGATGATGCCCCCGTATGGCTTGTTGGCGAGGAAGCGCTGGTAGGCCTCCATCACCAGCAAGGCCACCTCCAGATGTACAGAAGAATCCACAGCGAGGCCAGTGCCCTGTAGCAGACATGCAGTCGATTAAAGTGACACAGTATTATAGAGGACACGTTAAATACAGAATGAAGATGTAATTCAATTCTATGTCCAAGATATTCAGTGGTTATCATTTGGTCATGAATATAACTTTGCTTTGAAAATGTAAATAAAATAATCAGCTTAAATTAACTTGAAAAAGCATTTCATAATTTACGGACGTGTGTTAATCCACTGCTGGATGAAGGGCACTGCATTCCGTGTGAATCAGTGCAGGTTTGTAAAGGGGCAGAAGGTAAGTGAAAGAGCCAGCACCAATTCAGATATCACTCGCTGCTGATGTTAGCCGTGGCAGAGAAACTACGTCAGGTTGACAGTGGAGTGCATTAAACTCTGGGCAACCGCTCCACCCATATAAATATAAAGTCTAAAAATATTACCAATCAAGAAAAAAGGGGGATTGATTGGTAAGAGACATCGCTAGAAAGGGTGACAGCCAATACACAATTCGAGCAACAGCCAAAAAGAATACTCGACAGAAGGACCACTGTTGAGAGAGATGAGATCAATCCATGCCGAAGAGTGAGAAACGTTGTGGCATCACAGGCGATGGAATCAAGAGGCCATCATCTGGTGCATAAACTATGGTGAATGACGATGGGTTGCCTAAAGACTGGTGTCCACTAAACTCACTCACCTGTGCATTCAGGCCCCAGTTCATGCCCTCCAAGATGAGGCACGTGAGCTTATTCTGAACAGTCAGGAGCCCATTCTCAACCAACCAGTTCCCAAGCAGGATCATGTCCTCTGACGTGGGCCGCCACCAAGTCAACGGAAGCTCCTTGAAGAGGTACAAAGCAGCCTGCCGGAGGAAGCCATGAAACCGCAGTGAATATGGAAGGGAATTACAGGAAATTAAGGATAAATTAAGGGATCCATTGCTCTGCAAATAAGCAAAATCCCTCGGAAGTAAGCACTAGATAACCATAACACCTGGGTTAACTTTTTCACATCCTGAAAAGAGATGGATAAGGTTACAAAGAGCCAGCTGATGGGCTTACCGTATATTTATTACAACCACAAGTACAAATAACTTGAACACCACGTACGTAGTCAAACACAAAACCTTAGCTTGCCAGGTAAAGCACCCTGAGCTATTAGCACTTATTCCGAAGTGACCTGCCTGCACATGATGGCTCTTCGAAGTGGCTTACCAAATAATCTAAACACAGGCATTACATTCTGAAACTCTTGCAAGGAACAAATCATAATGGATTTGCAGATTCATACTTGCTCACTAATACCTTTGCCACCGCTTTAATGAAGTAATAATTTTGGCAAACAACATAAACATGCAAATGCACAAGTTTACATGTCATTCAAATATATTTAAATTGGTGTAATCTACATCATTGCAACTCAGGGTGATCATCTTAATCAGACGTCTCCTGTGATGGTTGGAGGTCCAATTTTATAACGACAAGATGGCCTTCCTTTGTGGCTGGTGATCGAACAAAGAATGGTCACTGCACTGCGCGCTTTCAGAGCCGCTTCTGCGGCTATCTGGAACGCTCTTCATTCCGATATTAGGAAGCCACTAGAGCTATGCACTTTTAAATCTAGACTGAAAACTAATTTCTTTAGAACTGCTTTTTGTGTTTTTGTTGTCCTTCCTCCCCCACACATCCGATTTACATGGTTGGCTACGTACGGTGCGAAATAAGTTCAACATACATACAATAATAGATAACACTGTTATAGAAATCAGCATTATTATTTTTAAAAGATCGTGTCTACTGGACGCACCAATCCGACCTGGTCCAGGTTGTCTTTTGCCTGCGCCAGCAGCAGCGACACGACGTATGGGTGAGCACCGGCGATGACCACCAGCAGCTCCCGGCCCACCTTGGAGCACAGCTCCCTGGTCTGGGCGCTCACGTATGCGACCTGACGGCACAGACCCCGGAGGCAAGACACTGAAAACACAACGCAGTCATCCGCTTGGGTAGAACTGCTAGGATTAAAAGGAAGACGTAACCCAACAAACAGACAAGCAGCTATTGTTGTCTTGTAGATTTATCACCAATGTTGAAATAAAAAAAGATTCTAGAATTCGAGTCTAGCACCTTGAATCGTGACAATTCATTGAATCACCAATGAAGGTGTTTCGTTCTACCCAATGGCGGAGCCAGGCTTTTCAGGTAGGGGGGGCAACCCCTCCAGCAATGGAAAATGATAGGAATTGTTAGTAAATAAGGACTTGTCCCTTGCTTTTTATTCGACGTGTGTGCGGCGATAGCGCAGCCATCGATCGAGGGTCGAATTCAAACCGTGTGTGATCGGCATCGCGCTCGCTGAAGGTGTTTGCCTTCAGGGAAGTCGTGTACTGTATACGCAACTGCGCACAATTCTGTGAGTCACCTCTAACCGCTTTGCTGTTACTTATTGCCAATTATGTACTCAGACTATTGTCCTTTCATCTCATAGTGTCCCTGGCACGTAATAATATGCTACACAGTGGCAGTGGGGGTCACAAAATGCTGATTTATTACTAATAAACCCCAATGATCCTATCGCAATTAGGGATTTCGATTGGATCATTGGGGGGGCATGTGCCACCCCACTCCCCCACTGGCTCTGCCAGTGTTTCTACCTCCTCGCAGATTATAGGTATCTACGAGAATTACATTTTATACATTGCATCTCCCTTTAAGACCTCCTAATTTGTACAGAAGACGTTGTGTGTAGACAATCATAACCCTGCATAATGATGAGCAGCTCTTACCCGGTATATCTCCAGTGTTATGGTGCTCACTAGCTCCTCGTCGTCATCCTCTCTCTGTGCCTGGGCCATTTTTCCGAAAGCGGTGAGAAGGAAGATCGCCTCTGACTCATCCAGGCCGGACAAGTACTCTTCAAACGTGTCGCAAAACTCTTTGTCTTCAGGATAAAAAAAACGAACACCAACAACAAAATAATTTACAGGGCTGGCCTATCCCAACTTCACTTACTGCAACACAGCATTGGGATGATTGGCCAATTTCCATGTGTCTGGCTTGTGAAAATAAACCGGACAACCAGGAGAAAATCCAGGCATATCAGGAGATAACACTCAAAGCTCCACATAGGAAGCTGAAATACTTCTGAAAGGAACATTTCCCGTCTCATGACACTAACAACACGTATGTTTGCGTACCGATTGATTTCCTTGCAAATAACAAATTTGAGCACACCAGGAACTAAATTCAAGAAAAAAAATATGTAGAGAATAAGAAATACATCTGGATCGAGCTGCAAATGTGTTGACTATAATTACCAAGTAGCTTAGCCTTGCACTCGGTCACAGACAGACGCATGTATGGCTCCAGCCCCTCACGCTCTGAGAGATGCAAGCTGCAATATAGCCGCCACAGCATGGGCATGGACAGCCTTCCGTATGGCATCTCCGACATGAACTGCCAAATTCCCAACCTGCGTGCAGCATACGGCGAAGGTCACACGCGGCATCACACAGCGAGTTAACAAAAAACCCAACCCACCAGATCAACTGTAACCACAACCGCCCAAAAACAATTCAGGCAAGGGTGTTGTACAATTATAAAAAAAACTGCACCAACTGGTTAAATATTAGGTCCCCTTTATACAACACGGTGGTATGCCGATGAACAACAACTGTGCAATGCTGTATGTCAGATCTCCCTTGAACCAGGTCTCCTGGTTCAGAAAATTCTCCGAAATGGGATCTCACCTGGTCGCAAAAAAGCTTCACACATAGTAAGATGATAAAAAAAATTTCTGTTTTTACATGTAGTTTAGCTTTTTGCATGAACAATGTATGGCTTTGCAGGTGAGTTCTCCCTTGCAAGAAACTTAGTCTAAACGAGCTCACATGAGTTCACATGTGTCCTACTAATTCATGACTGCACCACAGCATGGTCTCTCTCTAGCATGGGCAGCCTATGCTATCAACCTATTGACATGCAGCGACATGCGTACCTCCCACCAACATCTCTACCAATAGCAATGTAACTGTGCACATGGCCTTGTACGCAGTCTCTGCTTGTGCAAAGTAAAATCATTGCCATCATTTGTCTCGTTCCCTTAATATTGCAGTTGCTTATAAATGCCACGCAGATGCTCGCCACGTGAATGTAGAATTTTCATTGCTCATTTGAGCAGGGAGACGCTCAGACTTTTTGACTTGACATTTTGCAACGCGCGAACATTTTTCTTTTGACCCATCGCACCTCCAATAAGCATGGTTGGCTACGTGTGGTGCGAAAGAAGTTCAACATACATACAAGAAAAAAACATCCGTTAAAAAATTCAAGAAGACTAAAATGGTTTGGACATGTTTCACAAATGAACACAGAAAATGTACCACAACTCACAATCCTTACTGAAGTACAAATAAAAAGTAGAGCGAGACAAAAAAGGCGTTGATGTAATAAAGAGCATTGAATAATCTGGGGTGTACGTATGACTGAAGCAACAGAGCTGGTCGCGAACAAAGATGGAGGGAATAAATGGGCCCAAATTGGGAAAGAAAAAAAGTGGAGATTGACAAAGGAGGCATCACCAACCGCTTAGTCCTCATCACGAACGCGGCCGTGCGGAGAAAGAGCTGGTCAAACTCGGCCTGCAGCTTGCCCAGACCGTACTGCCGAAGGGCGGCAGCCGAGGCGACGGAATCGCGGTGCTGTTGAGAAAAGCGGCTCCAGCAGTCGCTCACGTGCGACACGGTGAGCCTGGACCGAGCACGGGTGGCACAGCACAACGCAAAGTGAGCTCGCGATAAAGGTATCGGATTGCGTGCGTAGGAATCTTTAATATTTACTTCGTATATGTTGTACGTCTATCCGAGGAGGTATATAAACATCTTAGTTAATCGACGATGACAAGCAGAGACAAATCAATCCTGTTAACTGGGCAGTATTATCATTACACACATTTTATATGATTATTTTATTGTACAATCATTGGTGACTTGGGAAAAACCATCAACTTGTTACAGTTCAGAATCCAATTTCATATTCGGTGGCTGAAACTCATATTCAAACCCAGCACCTTATTGTTGCTGGCTGTGTCCTCTAACACGGTATTAGCCCCCTGAACCACCCGGCTACCTCACTGGGTGTTAAGTTTCACGTCAAGTTAAAGCATCTCAGAAAATAAAATTGAGTATTACAACGACAACACAATTTGATCAAAGGGTGACTTGGGGGCACGTGCCACCGGCCCCTCACCTCATCGTCTGCCCGATGCGCTTGACAAACTGTCGATAGCGAACCCTGTTGAAGGTTTCCAGGCCTGAGGCCAGGACCTCGATGACAGCTCCCGCCACAGCCAGCAGCTTCATCATCTCACCGCTTGTTGATTGGGCCACTGTGTACGTGCCATCATCTAAAACACACACATACACATAATACACGTATATATAGAGACACACACATACACCCCCACACTGTGAAATACTTTGAAAACTATTTATCAATAGGTGTATCAATTATCGAAATGTTCATGCTGTAAACATTTTGGAAAGATGTCCTGTTAGGCCTATAATAACAATACAATTTATAACCCGCGTAATGTTGCAGACCGAAGACGCACTGCCAAGCTCCGTGTCAGATCGCATCCCACAGTTCAAGGGAGACTCAGTTAAATGTCGACTAATGTTAGCAAGCACCTGATAATGTTAGCACAGCAAAGCACGATACAACCGGCAACAAGAGAGATACCGATTCAAAGTTTTCTAAAATATATATTGATTCATAAAACAATTATACGTGTATCAAATCATTGAAAAAATTATCTCTTTTCCATTAATTCCTATAAAATTATTGCCGAGATTCAGGGAGCAACCACATAAGACCCATGGAAATTCCTTGGGTTCAGTGTTAATTCCTGATGCTCTGACAAAATAAGGCCCTATAATGAATCCTATGGTTCAATATTAATTGCAAAGGCTCCATATGCTACATGGACCTATCTCATATATCAATAATAGTAATGGCACAGTTCAAAATTCCAAAACTGGGACTTATACCGAGTCATAGTGAATGTTAACTAAAGCTACGCTGCAGACTAATTACTCTGACAGCAGAAAAGCAAATGAAGACAAGTCGGCCGGCTACCTTGCATTCCCAGAAGTTTCTGAAAGAGCTCTTGGAAAGGGAACTGGCAGAAGAGTGCGACCAGGTCATTTTCGAGCAGTAGAAGCCAGCTGTCTTCATTTTCTTCCTAAACAAACACAGCGTCAACTCAGCAAGGGGAGCAGTCACTAAATCCGGTAAAAAAAAAGCTGGTGAGAGTACGTACAAATCCAAAAAACAAAACACGTACATTTCAAAACGCAGTGCGAGAAACCAAATATAATAAATGGTAAAGAATAAAAGTTTTTAAAAAGGTCCCATTATAAATACCTATATTGAGCAACACATACTTTCTAAATACAAATTGTTGATGAGGCTGGGTAGCTTAATAAAAAACCAAAAAAAAATCGACAACAACTAGATATCAGCCAGTGGGTCTCTCGTGAGCCAGCGCCGAGATGAGAACACAGGGCAAGGTGTGGAACAAAGCTTAAAGCGAGCCAGTTTCTATGTCTTTGGTGCCCGCATACAAAGCCCAACTTTGGCACAGCCATCGTCAACGGAGCTATGATTTGTGGTGCACGAAGTTCACCTCTTCTCCGGCTTCATCCACAAACGTCCAGAGCTGCTGCTTCTCACCGGCGGCTTGAGCCGACACGGGGAATGGCGGTTTCTCCACCGCTTTCAGCTGGCACAGGAACTCACTGCGATTGCTAAACATCGAACAGCGCCGAAAATCTCAGTTGAAGAAAAAGCCTTCAAATTAAATCAAGAAATTCATAATAGGCACAACAAAACCTGGGAGTGCATAAAGTGTAGCAAAACCTACCGCACAGGTGACATGAGCACTGCCAAAGGCTTCATAAACCGAGACACAATCCCTGGCCCTTCGCCCATTCTGATCTGAAAAATCACACAAACGGCCAATTGTTAGATCGTGACACCAATGCTCATGATAACCTATTCGCTATACACGGTGTGTGTGGCTTGATAATTTTTACAAATCAACGCAAAAATCATGTAGATACGTACCTAGCAGAGGTGAGACTATTCACACTCCCAGGGATTCAATGAACTGTCGCGATTTAGAGTCTTAGTTCAATTGCTAAATCGACTACTTAATTCACTTTGCAAGAAAGTACCCGCCACCAGTGGGAGCAAGGGTGATTGGAACACATTACAAACAATAAGAATCTAAAAACATTTGCAATTACACATGCGGTTCGACACATGCATCATAAACTGTAGATTAGATATTAATCAATGAATCAATAAAATGTCACACCACTAGCTCCTAGGCTTGTGTCCTGGGATTTGGTCATGAGGAGCAAGACCTTAAATTTACTTTCAGGTGTGAGCAACAACACACATTGGTGATATCACTGTCAAGACAATGCATGAAAAGCTAAAGCAGCCCTAACAGCGAAATAATGTGCTACAACACAAATACTGTCACTGTAAAATGATTTTTTTCCTTCACATTACCAAAACCTCAATCTTTTGTAGAGCAGGACTAGATGAATGAAATGGATAAATAATTTTCGATTTAAAGCTTTTGTGACTGCAGGGATTCATCTTCTTGGTTCTTTCGGTAAAGTCACGTAGAAGGGAAAAAATAAAATAATAAAAATAAAACATAATTGAATAAAATTCTCACGACGTTTCGGCCACAACGCAAGCAGCCGTCCTCAAGTGAAGAACAGGGCTGTCGGAAAGACAGCGTCCGAATGAACGTTGTGGCCGAAACGTCGTGAGAATTTTATTTTATTATGTTTTATTTTTATTATTTTATTATTTCCCTTCTACGTGACTTTACCGAAAGAACCAAGAAGATGGATAAATAATTGTGAAATATAACAATGGCTCCTTTTTTGTTTGTGTCGCTCTTGGGCTTATTTTGAGCAACTGCCTTACCTGCAAAAAGGGCGCAGCCCACTCAGCCACTCCTGCTGGGCAGCGAAGAACGTGGTTCAAAAGAAAAATATCCTCATTTATCGAGCCGACCCTCAGGAGCACAGCCACCTGTGTAGAAACAACACGGATTACAAACCAAACGGAAGAATACATCCTGCTCGCTCACGAATCGTAGAGAGAGCAAGAAAGGCCACAGGTGATTGGGAGGATTTTGACAGCGCGAGGAGAGCCGACGACAGCTCACCAATTGTTGCAGCCACCCTTGCACGTCCGAGTTGAACTGTGCATCGGCGATAGATCGACGCTTGAAGCCGAACAGAACGCTGACGCTTCTCGTCAGCTGCAGCAGCTCGCTGACCGTGCACTTAGACTTCGCAGTGCGTCGTTCTGAAACGAGCAGAAAGAAGTGGGCATCTGTGAGCAGCAGTAACTCCCGATGGACGCAAATACAATCGCAGAAGACGCACGCAACTCCAGTCGATGGGATAGTTGTCTTGTTCTTAAAATATTAGTGAACAATGCAGAGTTAAAACACCAGGAGGAAACAAAGGGGTAACAGCTAGTTAATTTTTGAATAATATAAAAACTAACCACATTCATCATTTGCCAAATAATTTGTATAAATAATAGGTTTCTCTAAAGATTGTTTTCGATAATAAATATTAAATTCTGTTATCTTCATGCACTTGCACCCTCAATACTTGGCAACCACCAAAATATGAAAAACAGCATCAACAATTCAGCAGCAATTTTGGACATTAATTATAACATTGTGGGGCAGTGAAACTGTCGGGAAACAAGAGTTACAAATCTAAGAGAAAAAGCGGTGAACCGGATCGTTGCGCCACTGAAGCAGACCCTGGTGCGAGGCGAGACCTGGGGGGCTGTCCACGCTGTGCGTGAAGGCACGGAAGGCGGGTGTCTGGCGCAGCAGGTGGTGGAGGTAGGACTCCACCTGCAAGCGAGACAGCACCGAAGTGTACGTGTGCAGTGCCAGCGTCTGGTAAAGCAGCTCCGACCGGGCCTTGAGCAGCCGTTGCAGCTCCGTGAACGCCCCGGCGTTCAGCTCCACCGTCTGGAAGTGGTGCTTCCCAGTAACCTTCACCTTGTCTGCACATATGCCCTGGATGAAGTGTGCAACGGAAACAAAACGTCATCGAACATCAGTGGGTCACAAGCCTCTATCAAGTCTCTAATTTTGCCACAGAGCCACAAAAACAAGACTGTTGACTCAAAGTGGCCACGACACGTTTCAAAGGTTTGACATCAGAGGCAACAGTAGTATTGTGGTGGCTATAGAAGCACAGGAGCTGCCCCCTAACCTGTGCAGTGGCTTGGCCCTCAGTGAAGATCCACAGGCGGCGCTTGAGGGCCTTGTATTCGGACAGCATGGCCTGGAGCTGAGCCTGGGCCGAGAGCAGCTCACGCCGGCAGCGCAGGTAGTGCAGCAGCAGCTCGTGCAGCTCGTGGCCCTCCTGCCGAGCCTGCGCCGAAAACTCCTCCTCCATGGTCACCATTGCCACCGGGCCCTCAAGCCAGGAGCACGGGTAGAGCATGCGCAGCTGCTCGTACGAGAAAGCTGCATCGGCTTCCTGCAAACAGGAACATGGCATTGCGGCAAGAGACATGTTAGGGTAGGCAACTGAATTTGTATAAACGGTGCCGGTTAGTGGAAGCAGGTGTTTTTACGCCATTTAATAGGCATGCACAAAAAGTAATCAGATTTTCACATGCATGACTTGGAATGTAAGAATTGATTTCAAAAGATGAATCTCAGGATTATTGTATGCCTACTGTTAATCTCAGAACAGAAAAAGGCATTTAAGGATATTTAATTTGACCAATTTGGGAAATAAGAGGCACACTTTTGACGGCATATTTGAGGCGCATGATACACACATGCAGCAAATCATACATGCAAGATTTGATCGTTTATAATTTCTGGAAATTATATGATATACAGAAAATAAACTAGGCATATAAAGGAAAAAATAGACAATGAATGATTCGACTCTTGATTAAATCTTAGCAATTTTCTAATAGTTGGGGGTGTGAATTTTTTCACACCTAAAAACTTTCATTGAAAATTTGAGAAACTGTACCTTCTCCTCTTCAATTTCTTTCTCTTGTGATGCGTGAACCCTCTCGTCTGCCACTTCCCTCGGTAACTCCGGGTAAAGCTTCTCGATGGTCACGCTGCTCATTTGCGCGACAAGTTCCCTGTGGGACCGCAACCTCTCAGCACTTTTGGCAACGTGCAGTACCGCCGTACTTTTGCCCAACTCAAACGATGCCCCCACGTCCATGCTTGGGAATGCTTCGACAAGATCCGCTGCCTCTTCTGAAACCTCCACAAGTGCTGCACCTTCTCCTTCCACTTGGCTCAGCGCAGGATACAAAGGGGCAGGCGCTTCTGCCGGAACACGACATTTGGTGCCCACCAGTCGGCCTTCGGGAACGTGAACCTCTGACTCCAAGTCTGTCCACGAATCCTTTGCCAAGTCTACATGCGTGGAGACATCAGTGGGGGCAGTTGGGAGCAGTTTTTGTACTTTTCCCACATCGCCAGCCTTCCACGCGTCCGGGAGAATCGGTTGTGCGCTCTCCAATTTGGCAGTTTCCTCCGGCGCCTTGGGCAAGGACTCTGGCGTCTCTGGTCCAGCGCATGTTCTTTCACGCTGTTGCTCCCCACGTACTCTGTGTTCGCCAGCGATTTCATGAGAACTGTCCACCTGAGAGTCTTCTCTTGTGGCTTTGGGAGGTCCGGGTTGTTCAACATCATCGTAGGTCTTTGATAACTTGTTTTTGTCCTAGGCAGAGATGAAGCAATGTTACTTGTACTTAGAATACCAATGGCAGCTGTAACATGTATTCACTTCATATCATGTGGATTAACTAATAAAGGTACTGTTTTGGTTTTTATTTCAGGGAGCCAAATAAGCTCCTTTTGATATTCCTGGGAAATATTGTATGCGTCCCTCAGTCAGAGGCCGATTTCAAAATCAAATAAAATTAAAGAACATCTGAACTTATACCAAAGTACAACGCAGCTCACCAACAACATACCTCATATCTGTGTAGAGTTGAGTAAGTTTGGCAATAAAGAGGTATTTAGATTTTTACAAAGTAACGTTGATACATTAACTTGTGTGGGTTCGATCGTGCGGTGCATGAGTGTTATTTGAAGTGCATATACATTTTTCCGTGACCACAATCCTTTTGTACAAATACATCCACACGCAAAAATGGAAGTTCCCATTATAACCCAGCATGACAACTTGTTTTTAATACGTGTCCAATTACTGAATGTTGACTTCATTATGTCTTCTTGTTTCTTTCGGTAAAGTCACGTAGAAGGGAAGTAATAAAATAATAAAAATAAAACATAATAATGTTTTATTATGTTTTATTTTTATTATTTTATTACTTCCCTTCTACGTGACTTTACCGAAAGAAACAAGAAGATGAATCCCTGCAGTCACGAAAGCTTTAAATCGAAATTCATTATGTCTGTGAACTGTTAGACATGAAATTATACATGCACAAAAATATTGTCCATTTAGAACAAAAACACGTGTTAAAATTTCACAACACGTGGATAACAGATCAAAATTAACCTCCTCACCGTCTACTCTTGTCATGCACATGTACAGATTTTTTGTCAATCTACTGCTGGATGAAGGCTCCCCACACCGTTCGGGCAGTGGGGATTATCAGACCATAAATCACCATGCTGGTTAGTGCGTGTTGATGAAAAGAGCATAGTTGTGGCACCGTAGTAGTACAGTACGATGGATTTTAAGGCAATGCCCACAACGTAGCGCTGCAGCCTACAACACCTGTTACGCAATGTGCTTACTCATTCAAGTACTAGCCAGGGTCAATATAGCCTAGCTTCTGAGCTCTGAAGAGATGAGGTGCATTCCGGTTGATTTGGTCATCAGCGTCTTCTACAACAGTATATAAACGGTGAAGTGACAAAGCGATAAAACTAGAACGCAGGCACACAACAATGGGTCTCTCTTCATGAGATACACACATGGAGGCAATTTCAGTAGCAAACATGAGAACCCATGATTAACATGTTTGCCAATAAACTCAGCTATGTAAACGTCCTCCGTTGATTCACGTTCGGTCAACCAGCAAAACATTGCACAGTACTGAATATAGTAAGTACGTAATCTGTCAAAAAATACAGCGGAAAAAATGTAAGAGGCACATGACAAGCACACGAGATTCCCACACAAGCGCTGACGAAAATATTTGGGGCTGTAAAGCCCCATGAATTTAAACTTATGCTACGTTTCCATGACATACAAAGCAAAGGACTTTGGAATTGGATTTTGGGTCATGGGGGCTCTAAGTTCTAGGTTAGAGACTACAGGTGTTCATTAAAGGTAGAAATTACAGGGATCAGAGATATGGGCAAGAAATCTTGAAGTGATCAGGTTTTAGGCTCCAGGAACCAATGCTTTTTGATTCTAGGATCCAAGGTTTGAGGCAACAAGAAACCTGGCTGTAGAACTCTTGAAAACCCATGATTTCGGAACCAGAAATCCAAGACCTGCGGCCCAGGAATTAAGAAGACACGTAAAATCAAGGTTTGTGACGTTAGGAAGCCAGGCTTTAACACTCAGAAAATACAGTCTGGATATCAGAGGCGCAAAGTTTCGAGTCCTAAATACCACCAGAATTTGGGACTAAAAGACTGCAGGCCTTTGGACCAATAAAACCCAGGCTTTGGAACAGTGACCCCAATGTTTACGGTCCCTGCAGATATCCCAACATTCAAGACTAGCACCCTGAGAATCCACACTTAAGGATAGAGAAACACAGGTTTTAAGACCAAAGGGACAGATTTTATGTCATCCAGAGATGCAAGGCTGCGAGACCCATGGTACCCAGGCTTTTGACACGTAAACAAGACACCTCTTTGGAACCTAAGCCACACATGTTCAATCCTGTACTGTACATACATACAAAACAAAGGTTTCACTTTCTACGACACCAAACACTTCAGGAACCAGGGACACCAAGGCTCAAGAACCAAGGCAGCCAATGTTTTGGATGAATACATTGTGCCCCGTGACCCCAGTGTTCATGACCCCGGGGACACGAAATGTCCGTGGGGAAACCCAGAAACTCCCCGAGTTTGAGACCCAAAACACTTCAGGAACCAGGGACACCAAGGCTCAAGAACCAAGGCAGCCAATGTTTTGGATGAATACATTGTGCCCCATGACCCCAGGCTTCATGACCCCGGAGACATGAAATGTCCGTGGGGATACCAGAAACTCCCCGAGTTTGAGACCCCCCCCCCCAGACCCGTTTACCCAAAGTCTGTGGGTCTCACAGACTCCCCCGGTCACCCGCGGTGAGCCCCGCGAGAGAACGACCCACCTTGGCCGGGGCCGCGCGCTGTCTTTGTTTACGACGAGGCCGCACGGCCTCCGCCATGCCGCCACTGACGCCGCCACCACCACTACTGTACTACTACTGCCGCCACCACCACCACCACTACTGTACTACTACTGACGCCACCACCACTACTACTACTACTGTACTACTACTGACACCACCACCACCACTACTGTACTACTACTGACGCCACCACCACTACTACTACTACTGTACTACTACTGACACCACCACCACTACTGTACTACTACTGACGCCACCACCACTACTACTACTACTGTACTACTACTGACACCACCACCACCACCACTACTGTACTACTACTGACACCACCACCACTACTGTACTACTACTGACGCCACCACCACTACTACTACTACTGTACTACTACTGACACCACCACCACTACTGTACTACTACTGACACCACCACCACTACTGTACTACTACTGACGCCACCACCACTACTACTACTGTACTACTACTGACGCCACCACCACTACTACTACTGCCGCCACCGCCGCCGAGTCGTAAACATCCCACTGCGCTTGCGCATGCCCCGGATACCCTCGGCAACCACGTGACCCGTGCGGCGTTCTGTGCAGGCTATGGAATGTAAACAGCTGATGGAGGGGGGAGGTTTGAAGGGAGGGGGGGTTTAAAGGGGGGGGGGGGTTTGAAGGAGGGAGTTTGAAGGGAAGGGGGTTTGAAGGGGGGGGGGTTTGAAGGGGGGGGGGGTTTGAAGGGGGGGGGGGGTTTGAAGGGGGGGGGGGGTTGAAGGGGGGGGGGGTTTGAAGGGGGGGGGTTTGAAGGGGGGGGTTTGAAGGGGGGGGGGTTTGAAGGGGGGGGTGAGGGGGGGTTTGAAGGGGGGGGTTGAAGGGGGGAGTTTGAAGGGGGGGGGTTTGAAGGGGGGGGTTTGAAGGGGGGGGGGGTTTGAAGGGGGGGGTTTGAAGGGGGGGGTTGAAGGGGGGAGTTTGAAGGGGGGGGGGTTTGAAGGGGGGGGGGTTTGAAGGGGGGGGGTTTGAAGGGGGGGGTTTGAAGGGGGGGGGGTTTGAAGGGGGGGTTTGAAGGGGGGGGGGGTTTGAAGGGGGGAGTTTGAAGGGGGGGGTTTGAAGGGGGGGGGGGGTTTGAAGGGGGGGGGGGTTGAAGGGGGGGGTTTGAAGGGGGGGGGGTTTGAAGGGGGGGGGTTTGAAGGGGGGGTTTGAAGGGGGGGTTTGAAGGGGGGAGTTTGAAGGGGGGGGGGGGTTTGAAGGGGGGGTTGAAGGGGGGAGTTTGAAGGGGGGGGGGGGTTTGAAGGGGGGGGGGTTTGAAGGGGGGGTTTGAAGGGGGGAGTTTGAAGGGAAGGGGGTTTGAAGGGGGGGGGGGTTTGAAGGGGGGGGGGGTTTGAAGGGGGGGTTTGAAGGGGGGGGGTTTGAAGGGGGGGGGGGGTTTGAAGGGGGGGGTTTGAAGGGGGGAGGTTTGAAGGGGGGCGTTTGAAGGGGGGGGAGTTTGAAGGGGGGGGTTTGAAGGGGGGGGGTTTGAAGGGGGGGGTTTGAAGGGGGGGGGGGGGGGTTGAAGGGGGGGGGGGGGGGTTTGAAGGGGGGAGTTTGAAGGGGGGGGTTTGAAGGGGGGGGGTTTGAAGGGGGGGGTTTGAAGGGGGGGGTTTGAAGGGGGGGGGGGTTGAAGGGGGGTTTGAAGGGGGGGGGTTTGAAGGGGGGGGGTTTGAAGGGGGGGGTTTGAAGGGGGGGTTTGAAGGGGGAGTTTGAAGGGGGGGGGGGTTTGAAGGGGGGTTGAAGGGGGAGTTTGAAGGGGGGGGGGGTTTGAAGGGGGGGGTTTGAAGGGGGGGTTTGAAGGGGGGGGGGGTTTGAAGGGGGGGGGGGGTTTGAAGGGGGGGGTTTGAAGGGGGGAGGTTTGAAGGGGGGCGTTTGAAGGGGGGGGGGTTTGAAGGGGGGTGTTGAAGGGGGGGGTTTGAAGGGGGGAGTTTGAAGGGGGGGGTTTGAAGGGGGAGTTTAAAGGGGGGGGGAGGTTTGAAGGGGGGGGGAGTTTGAAGGGGGGGGGGTTTGAAGGGGGGGGTTGAAGGGGGGGGGTTGAAGGGGGGAGGGGAGTTTGAAGGGGGGGGGTTTGAAGGGGGGGGTTTGAAGGGGGGGGGGTTGAAGGGGGGGGGGGGTTTGAAGGGGGGGGGGGTTTGAAGGGGGGGGGGTTTGAAGGGGTGGGGGGTTTGAAGGGGGGGGTTTGAAGGGGGAGGGTTTGAAGGGGGGGGGGTTGAAGGGGGGGGGGTTGAAGGGGGGGGGGGTTTGAAGGGGGGGGTTTGAAGGGGGGGGTTTGAAGGGGGGAGTTTGAAGGGGGGGGGGTTTGAAGGGGGGGTTGAAGGGGGGAGTTTGAAGGGGGGGGGGGTTTGAAGGGGGGGGTTTGAAGGGGGGGTTTGAAGGGGGGGGGGTTTGAAGGGGGGGGGGGTTTGAAGGGGGGGGTTTGAAGGGGGGAGGTTTGAAGGGGGGCGTTTGAAGGGGGGGGGGTTTGAAGGGGGGTGTTGAAGGGGGGGGTTTGAAGGGGGGAGTTTGAAGGGGGGGGTTTGAAGGGGGGAGTTTAAAGGGGGGGGGAGGTTTGAAGGGGGGGGGAGTTTGAAGGGGGGGGGGTTTGAAGGGGGGGGGTTGAAGGGGGGGGGTTGAAGGGGGGAGGGGAGTTTGAAGGGGGGGGGTTTGAAGGGGGGGGGGTTGAAGGGGGGAGTTTGAAGGGGGGGGGGTTTGAAGGGGGGGGGGGGGTTTGAAGGGGGGGGGGGTTTGAAGGGGTGGGGGGTTTGAAGGGGGGGGTTTGAAGGGGGGGGGGTTTGAAGGGGGGAGTTTGAAGGGGGGGGGGTTTGAAGGGGGGTGTTGAAGGGGGGGGTTTGAAGGGGGGAGTTTGAAGGGGGGGGGTTTGAAGGGGGGAGTTTAAAGGGGGGGGTTTGAAGGGGGGGGAGTTTGAAGGGGGGGGGGGTTTGAAGGGGGGGGGGTTTGAAGGGGGGGGTTTGAAGGGGGGGGGTTGAAGGGGGGAGGGGAGTTTGAAGGGGGGGGGTTTGAAGGGGGGGGGTTGAAGGGGGGAGGGGAGTTTGAAGGGGGGGGTTTGAAGGGGGGGGGGTTGAAGGGGGGAGTTTGAAGGGGGGGGGGGGTTTGAAGGGGGGGGGTTTGAAGGGGGGGGTTTGAAGGGGGGGGGTTGAAGGGGGGGGGGTTTGAAGGGGGGGGGGTTTGAAGGGGGGGGGGTTTGAAGGGGGGGGGGTTTGAAGGGGGGGTTGAAGGGGGGGTTTGAAGGGGGGGCGGGCAGTGACGTCACTGCGTGCTGAATTGGCACAAAAGGTCAACACAGATGCGGTCCGTTCCGCCTCCTGTGCCCCCTGGCACAATAGACGCAACAAGGGCATTCGTTGGTTGAAATTGTAAGCAAACCATGGACCGGTTGTGAACTTTTTTTTTTCGATTTAAAGCTTTCGTGACTGCAGGGATTCATCTTCTTGGTTATTTCGGTAATAAAAAGAAAACATAATAAAATAAATTTTATTATTTTATTATTTCCCTTCTACGTGACTTTACCGAAAGAACCAAGAAGACGTGTTTCAACTGTCAATGTCTCATCAGCATTCCATTCGGGCTCGCTTGAACCAATGCTGATGCATTGCCAGACGTGTATAGGCACAGATGCTCTCTGTTGGATATATTGGACCACAGTTCGACGCAAAACTTTAGGCTGTTCAGTAGTACATTGTGCAGTCTTCGCGAGTGTCGTTGTAGATTGTATAAGTACTGTACTGTAACTAAGCGAGCAGACGAGCCAGCCTGCTTACTTACTCAATGTTGACCTATGGACATTCCCTTTCCCCAAGTGTCCTGTCCCTTTTACGATTCACGCTTAACAGATTAGATCAAACCCATTAAGGAATGGATAAGAACATAATGTAGTTGTGATGCCGCCGCCGCGAAGCCGTTCGGCAGGCGCCAAATCCCCGACCTCACCACCACCAAGCAACGGAGCCGACCCCTCGTCTCCCTCACCTCACCTCACATGAACACACCCGCACTCATTTCCCCCCCCATAGAGCTCCGAGGGGAGGTCGCCTGGCCGACCGGTTTTTATCCGAGAAACCCTTATCGGGATCAACTCTCACGGTTTCCGGCGATCAGGGAATTGGATGACCTCCCCCGTGCTACGTTGCGCCGCGGCGCTGCGACCGGCCTTAATATTGTGTGGTCGCGGCGTGGGGCATTCGGCCACCGCGGTTGAGGCGCATTTCCCCCCACACACGCCAGTATCGACGGGGCAGGCAGAGGGAATAAGCATTGTGATGGAGGAGCATCATTAGAAAACACGCAGCGCATCTGAACTGCATAATCCGGCACCCCCGCACCGGCAGCGGAGGGACGGCATAATTACGCTCGGGTACGCAGGCACCATTGTTAGGGGAGTTAAAGGATAAGGCTATTAGTATAAATAATCGGGAGAGGGGAGGCGCGCGAGGAGCCATGCACAGCTTCCCACGACGGGCCTTTGTGATGGACACCGCCGCATGAACCTCGATGATGGGGGCCTGCGTGAGAAAAGGATTGATTGGAATTTGCGCCGTGCAGGTCGCTCATTTGATTAGCGGAACAAAGGCACCGCGGAGTTGCCTGGCCCGGGCGAGGGGGGCGCGTGCCATTGTTTGGAGTTCACGCCGCGCGGACAAAGGATTAATTAGCATAGCGAAGGCGCACGGTGCGTGGGAAGGGGGTAGGGGTCCGGGAATCAGGATAAATGGGGAGCGCAAGGGGGAAATCGCTCTCTTACTCCAGCGCCAGGCGACCAGACGCAGCTCCAGCCAGCGACCCGGACGTCCGTGAGACGCACCGAGGCACGCGGTGAGCACAAGGATCAGCGGACCGCCGTGGACACTTAACAGTGAGTAAGAAGGTGAATTAGAATCATAGCAGATAAATCGGGAATAGGTATAGAGGTATCAGCGTAGGCCAGCCTCGTCGACTCACTGATTTAACATCTAGTTCCAGGTAGCGGAAAATAAATCATTAATAGCGAAGCGTGGTCTCGCGTGATCTTGTCGTGCAGTGTGAGTGTGTGAGTGCGCGTGTGTACTCAGTGATTCTGTAGTGCTGCGGCTCGCCTAGGGGGAGCGCTGCGCAGAGCGGTGCGAGAGTGGGTGTTGCGTGTGTTCACTCCGTGTGCGATACAGGTGCGCGATCATAACTTGCGTAGTCGGTGTGGAGTTGGAGTGCACGGAGCGGTGTGTGTGTGCATACGTTCGTTACGTGTCGGATACGGATGCGCATTGGTAACGTGCCGCACAGGGCTATACTGCGAGCACGGCGTTTGATTGACGATGATGTGCGCACGTATGCGCGCAGGTGGGAGCGCGGCGCGAGGCTGTAACAGTAGGGGCGTCGCGTTCGAATGCCGGCGAAACCGTAGCGGGTAATAGGGAGGTGGGGTAACGTAAACGGAATAGGGGATGCAGGCGGGAGGGACCCCGGGGGCCAACGGCCTCCACATAGTGAATGAATAAAATTGGTGGTGCTCATCTGTTTTCACGCATGACGCATTTCTGAAAATTCCACATTCCCATGGGCGGGGTCGAGTTCGTCCGTAAAGCGTGCAATTTGCACAGCCCAGAAAATATGAGTCAATGCCGTAATTATAATCTATATTGGGGGGGGGGGACACATCCCCCCAATAATTCAAATATGCTCAAAATGTCCCCACCCCCCATGTATTGCTATAAAATAGATTTCTGTTTATGATTGTGGTTATACTTTATTAATCCCTAATATCTGCCATTACATACAATGAAACAAGAAAAGGTAAAAAAGAAAAAAACAAGATCAATGTAATACAATACACTATTTGACATTATTGTAAAAAATTAATAAAAAGTCCATCCTATGTGTTATAGAATTTTTTAATATTTTAGGCAGGAAATGGTAGGAAATTCGTTTTCAAATTTAGAATTTTTTTTCTGGGGGGGGGCCCCCAGACCCCCTGAAAGATGTGGTCGCCCCCTATGTTGACTCCATGGCTACGGCATTGAGATCAATTGTCAAGACTCCACGCCGATTTGCAGTGCATTTCATCACGTGCAGTAGCTTTGATGTTACCACAACACGCCATCGCTTCCTTCTGCCAGACACCCAACCTCCAAACGTCTTGCTCTGGTATCCCAACCATACTTTTACACCAATATTTTACCATCAGTTGGCTTTCACGCCATTACATTAAACGACTGATGAATTGACGAGTTAATCTAATACACGGCTTAATTTCTCAATTAATATTTTCCGAGTCGTTGGTAGAGCGGTAGTAGCAACAGCGAGAGATATACTCGATGTGGTGTGCTGGCTTCGGGAATATCGAGCCCTGAACACTGAATATCGATCAGCTGAATGGGATTGGTCCACGTGACCGCAAAATCACGCGGTGCGAGATCTCGCGAGACATTCTCGAAGTCTCGTGAGAGTTGGCGGCGTGGAGGTGGCAACGAAGTCGCCGCTTGGTAAATGTGCGAATTTTGTTTATATAAAAATACTATTGTGTTACTTCATTGGGCGCGCTAAGTTATTTGTTTAGCATATTAACTGTTTGGCGCCGTATTGTCGCGATGTTTGTTTGGATTTAATTTAAAACGCGGGTTACGTGTCAGTTGAGCTGGTCACTGTGGTGGGACTAGTGTAACTAGGCCCTCATTGAATTCCAGTTGACACTCGTGTAAATGTATCAATAAACAAGGAATATTTACAATATCTCCTTTTTTATATCGAGGAAAGCCTCGGCGAGTCTCAAGACTTGTATTCAGGAGGGCTCTGCTGCTACATTGGGGTACTTGGCCGATGCAGCTCGTATCGCTTGTTTAAGCCCCAACCAGCGGTAACAATTTCACATTCATTTGGGCGATTTTTTTTTACTGCACACATACCAAATTTACTTTACCACAAAGTGGTGCTCATGATATTAACCCAGAATGCAAGCCATACGCCTGGGTAAAGGGTTGCAATAGGTGTGTCTATGCGGTATTTTTAGTTGGCCCCATCCGCACACCTCCGATTAGCACGGTTGGCTACGTATGGTGAGAAAAAAGTCCAACATACATACGTATTTATAGACTTTGGTTAATTTGTGCTGTCTTACAGACTCGACCTGCCCGATAGAGTCACGTCATTCAGCCCAGCATGACCACGCAGGTAAAGGGGGGACCATGTTTTAATTTACAGTGGCACGACAATAGAGCGGTTTTGTTTCATGGATGAACAGGAAAGTCGATTTTTCAAAATGCACTTGTGTCTTTGGAACCCAGGTCTGTGGTTTGACCATTTATAGCTGCGTGACTTGATATTAACGTTCAAGACTTAAAGCCCCGAATCGGGTGGAATTCGCTTAATTTTAACTTTCAAACGAAGACCGCGCCTATATTTCAAGACGGCCCTATCTTGTTACCTTAGCAACAACACCCCCTCATCTACCCCTCGCACTTTCCGAAAGATGAACAGTCTGATCTTGATTTGAAGCTTTCGTGACTGCAGGAATCCATACTCTTTGGTTCTTTCGGTAAAGTCACGTAGGTATAAAATAAAATAAATCACGTTTCGGGCGCAACACAAGCGTCCGTCATCATTATACCTACGTGACTTTTCCGAAAGAACCAAAGAGTATTAACAGTCTGAGCAATATATGACATTACTGCAGTCCACTACATTTGTACACAGAGCAATACGAGTTCCTGTAGTACTACAGTATATTACATATAAATAAAAACAATAACTGCACTAAGTACAACAGTGTTACATACCAGAAAATGACATAAATGTATTACATAGTGCAAATTAGAGCAATAAACACATTAGTCCTGTAATACATTACAATAAATGTTAATTGCACTTACTGATAGAATTGACGTGTGGCTCCCTTAACTCTTGGCTGTGTGATTAGAACACTGTGTTTAGAGGTCGGTGGTTTTACCTCGCAGTGCGGCAGTTTAAACAATGGACATGTCTTAAATCCCTCTCCTCTGTCCACCCAGCAGTAGAAATGAACCACAGTCGGATGCCAGGTCCGTATGTGGTGGGATAATGTGTACTGATAACTTTTCCATCTGGCCATCGTTAAAGAGTAAGCCAACTAACCCTTTAAGAAGCGCTATCTAACGTTCGCGGTAGTAGACGACCTGCCTGTAATAGAATAAGCGAGCAATTGCAGGGCTGCACCTTTCTGTAATGTATGCTATACCCATGGACCAAATACTTCTGAGAGCCGATGTTTGAAAGCCTCAAATGGATCAGCATTGTGGATTGTGAAACTCACTTCAAGAGGTGATCACATGGGGGGAAATAATTCATTTTAGCTGCGACAATGGTCATTTGTTTGGCTTGGTGTGTAAAATCCTGACTGGTGCAATATATAGTATAGTGAGAGTACTGTAGTGATGGATGTTATTGCTCTTCAAAAAAATTGGTTCAATGTATATTTACATACTAATTTCCCCATTGCAGTACAGCATCCAGTTCAAGCAAGAACAAGGTGGGTTTATATTTTTTTCTGTACAATCATAATTCGAATGATATAATCGTATTTGCAATACACATTTTACACTGTGCTATACAAGTACAACAAAATTACATGGCAGTAGCCAAGTACAATGTTTACCGCTTTCCGCCGCAGCCCATGAGGATGCCATCTGGTCAGTGGCGTGGGGAAAGAACGAAAAGGACGGCACGGACAATATCATCACAGGCTCCGTGGATGACCACGTCAAGTGCTGGAAATGGTGCGCGATTCACAGGAAGAAAGAGAAGGCAGTCCAAGGGAGTTTAACTATGATGCACTGCCCTTGCTCTAAAACACAACCATGCCAATGTCTGGAGTGTCATAATAAAAGTCTGATAAAGCATTGCATTTTGGTAACACATTTATTGTTGAATGGATCATTTTTACAAGGCCAAATGCCCTTTCAACACAGTAAAATCACAGCAAGCCACTGACAAACCGGATTTTGCATTTAGCCACACCATGTTCGTTAAATAATAAAATAATTGCGGTCTCCACGACTCTCATTGGAGCACGTGTAAGCAGTCCCTACCACCCACCTTCTTGCATCCCATTAGTGAAAGGATTAGGATTTAGCACCCGTGTTTTTTTATTTTACAGTAATTGTAGAGTGTTTTTGCTTCGTGTTTTGTTTAAATCGGTGTTAGCATTTTTACTTTCCTTGGTTTTAATATTTTTGTCTATTGTTATTTTCAGGATTATGTTTATCATTTTTCTCCCTCTTAGTTTTTTTCATGTTTTCAGGTTTAGTTTATTTTTATCCCTCCACTTTCATATTGATTGCTTTTTGAAGCTATTTTGCACTAGTTATATAAGTCTTGGAACACAACATACTACAACGGTGAGGACTGTGCATCTCAGTACAATAATAAATGTAACAGTACTGGATAGTCATGTAGGTTATATTACATAACCTATATCACATTTTACTGTATTTGCAGTAGAATGCATGCACAATTCCTTTTTTTGTGTTTGTAATGTTAGGTGTAATGTAGTGTTCTTAGCAATATATTACAGAAGTTTTCATTGTAGCAGCTAGCTAGACGTTTTAGCTCGCTGGACCAGTATTCATATTAGCCTGGCTCGCCAATATGTTACTGTATTTGTTTGAAACAGCTCTAAGCCTTAATAGCCACAATAAAAAAAACTCTTGACAGGAAATATCTTTAATTCAATCCGTTTCTAGCTCTTTTCCCCAAGCTAAGTCCCATCTTAAGCCAACTAAGCCATTAACAGGGCATTTTTCCTCTGGTTGTCGTGCAGGGCGGATGATAAGCTGGAGCTGCAGTGGACATTGGAGGGCCACCAGTTGGGAGTGGTGTCTGTGGATATCAGCCCTACAGGGGCACTAGCAGCCTCCAGCTCCCTGGATGCAAACCTTCGCCTCTGGGACCTGGAGTGTGGCAGTGAGCTCAAAACGATCGATGCAGGACCAGGTCAGACACATTATTTAAGCTGGGACACTTCCTAACTGTTAATGTGTTCAACACTTCACGCAACTTTATTTGTTCGTAGGACAGTTAACATTTCACTTTACTGACAAGACAGTCCATGATAAATAAGCAGCATTGATCACATGCAACATGCACACATCGTACTTCTCAAAAGTCATATCATCTGAAATTGTGCAATTACCTTCCACAGACTTGTCTAGATTGGTCGACTGCCGCATGCTTGCTTGCTTGCAATTACATCCTCCACCATTTTTGCACTGTCTCTGCTTTATGAAGTGACATCTTTTCATGCTACTTCAAATAAATGAATTCATCCTGTTGTTTGAGTATATACCCTTCTAAGCAGGTATCTTTCTCGTTTGGTTACAGCACCATGTAAATGTAAAACAAATTATTTCGTGATACTGCATTGGCAGTAGTCCACAAGCACAAATAACAAAAACTCATCACATTTGTCAATAACACTTCACAGAGGCTAGAGGTAGCTTGTATTTTGTTAGCCAAGCAGGCGGCCTGTAGACTATAGGATATCCCAAGAATGGTACTACTCTTCCATACTCTTCCCCCTTGCTTCTGGGTCTCACACCATGAGTCAATCTTTTGCCACTTGTGTTGTCAGAATAACTGCTACACCTACACCCGTCCCTTTCTGTCAGTATTCTGCTACCATTGTATCAAAGGAAATTCAAGTTGGATAAATGTCAGGGTATCAGGATACTGTGTGCATCTTAGAAACAGGTAATTAATGATCTCTTTTCTTTTCCTTGACAGTGGATGCCTGGTCAGTAGCGTTTTCCCCAGACTCAAGGTTCTTGTCTACAGGCAGTCACATGGGGAAAATAAATATCTTCGGCATTGAAAGTGGCAAAAAGGAGTCCACTCTCGACACAAGAGGAAAATTCATTCTCAGCCTTGCCTACGTAAGCGTTGCCATCACTTCGTAACTTGAGGCACATTACAGTTTTCAAAATTACGTGTGGCCGATTCTCAGATGTTTTGAGTTCATAGATATGTTTTATCTCTTTTGCTAGAGTCCCGATGGTAAACACTTGGCTAGTGGTGCCATAGATGGCATCATAAACATTTTTGACATTTCAACTGGCAAACTTCTCCATACGCTAGAAGGTAAGGAGCACTTAACATTTTATGAGGCATATGCATATACTGCATAATTGTAAAAAAAAAATTGCTTGACCAATATTGAATGTTCTTTTTGCTAACAATGAAGTTATTTCCTTTTACCTTGGACACGTGGAGGCCATGCTATGCCCATTAGGTCTCTGACCTTTTCTCCGGACTCCCAACTTCTGATCACTGCCTCGGACGATGGTTACATCAAAATATATGATGTGTGAGTAGATCTTCAATTCACCTTCTTGTGAATGTTTACCTTCTATGTTTGGGAATATACAGAGGAGAATTTAGTGTGTCACACAAGGAGATCTTCTTGGCGGGACAATTATGAGATGCCATCGTTTTGTGAGCAACGTTTTAAACTCACCCTTAATTGTTGAACAATTAAAATGAACATTTTCATTGAATGGTTAATTTGATAAGTGTGGTATTGATTTTCTATCATCAAATATTGTGCGGGTTGTAGGAGCTTTTAGTAATGCTCACCCAAGCTCTGCCAGCATCACATGTATTGTATACAACAAACGGCAGTGGATACTAGCTAGTTGTGCAAGTGGAATTAAATGTGTGTAATTCAGAATTACGCAATTTCTTGCAGACAACATGCAAAATTGGCAGCGACTTTGAGCGGACATGCCTCTTGGGTTCTGAACGTGTCCTTTTGTCCTGACAATACCCACTTTGTGTCCAGGTGAGTTTGTTTCTATACAAGCTGAACATTTTATTTAAAAAATTTGGTTTATTTCCTCTGAAGCAAGCAAGCTTGCTTATTAACCAATTCTTTTTTACAGCTCTTCGGATAAAAGCGTAAAAGTGTGGGACTGTGGGTCCAGGACATGCGTGCACACATTTTTTGACCATCAGGACCAGGTAAACCTTTAAACACAAACCATTGTACCATTGCCCCTTTGTCCTAATCTGTAAATCACTGTGTATCTGCATCACCTCCTACTGCTTTGTCTAGTATCCATGGGTATTGCCAGTGACTTTGATTCTGGTTGCCCATGCATTTCTGCTGTGCCTTTTTACCACCCATTTCTGTAGGTGTGGGGTGTGAAGTACAACAGCACTGGCTCCAAGATCGTCTCTGTTTCTGACGACAGGGCAGTTCACATTTACGATTGCCCCATGTGATGACAAGGCACATTACAGCAACTGGCAGCGATCAAATGGACTAGACAAAGGTCTACAGTTGAGCTGTAAATGTAAAAAGTATTTTTCGATTTCGTGTATAAAAATGTAGACCTTCTGCAAGCATTGTTCTAATCCAAATTTGCTTTCACTCATTCCCTTTCCACTTCGTTTAATATTGTTGCGGCATGTATTTGAAATTCCTGGAACTGCTTCGATTATTGCATTAAAGTTTATATATTAAATTGTTTTAAAAATACTCTCAAAATATTGTCATATATTCACGGTTTACCGAACCTGGAAAGACATCCATAATGCATTTCATAAAACTATCGAAACGTCTCAATATGTCACATCAATTGTTTTATTGTGCTGCTGGTAACTTTTGAAGTCAACCTTATACAGATTAACCCACAACCAGTGTAATACGATTTACATTTGTGGGGACATTTTTGGAAATACAGAAATGGAATATCTACCTGAAGCTTTTCCAACACAAGGGTTTTTTTGTACAATTAAGGGCATATTGACACAAATTCAGATTGCACATTTACATAAAATACATTGAAAGTGAAGGATAGCCACACCCAGATGGGTTGAGAACCCGATAGAAATCACACTTGATGCATCCTAAATCTACACAAACGATCAAAGATATTAAGTTTTTTGTTGCTGGCATTTTGTACAAACCTGCTGAGAAAGTTATTTGCAAAGGGGCCTGTTGCCCAACTGTACAAAAGTGGTCATTGCTTTGCAAGTCTCAAACAAATGCACCAAAGTCAACCTGATCTGGGCTTGGTCGTGCCCCCACGTAAATCCGCTTCTATATTTGGAAGGCAACGGAGGGGGGCGAGTGCTGAACGTGGAAATAAAAGTGCTCATGAGGTCTGACATGGCATGCCACGTGGCTGATGGTAGTCTGCTTCATCGTCCTCCATGTACACCTGTCCGGCGTAGTGGCTGTGGTACCGCCCGTGTGCCGGGTCCAGCTCTGTAAGCACCACCACCTCGGTATCGTCTGACTGCACGTAGCGCTCACGCCGAGGCAGCAAGGCTTCCAGCTGCGGCAGTTTGTGCGCCGGCAAGAATCCCGCCAACGGGAACTTCACCTGCACGACCACGAGAAGACGAGAAACGTCAGTTGCTATGGTGCAAGAAATCGATGGTTATAGCGACAGTGTAATTGTGTTGTCATGATTGTAATTTGAAATGTGTCAAATTGCCTGACGTGACAAGGAGGTGGTGCGCCATTAATCCAGAAATTGTTGGTATATTACAGATTTGTGAAAATCCCAAACCTGTTATTTGCCCAGAAGAAGCATTACAACTCATGGGTGTGTCATGAACGTTTAAACGGACTTTCTAGGTACTCTGGTTTGCTCCCACATGCAGGACCATCCTAAAAAAATAATCGAGACTAGACGAAGCCTTCTTAAATCAATTTATCTCCGGTATATTATTTCATTTAGACCAAGAGTACATAGTGGACCCAAACATTAGTAAAGAGACAATGTATTTTTAACTAAACACCAATTGGCCAAGCTTGTTGAGAAAAATGGTTGGGTTTCCAAATTGTGTGATCAAGCCTGCATTTAAGTTAATCTTTACAAAAGTACTTTGCAATGAGTAGGTTTATTTGCAGTTGTGCCAACTTTAGTTTGTACAATATGTTGTCCCTTACACTGAATTGGATGATGAGGCGTCCTTTCTCAAATGGGTCACGATACAGAGGCATGCCTTCATTCAGTATGCACTTGACATCGCCATCTTTGATGACCTCACCTGTAAGGAAAGTGGGAAAATTAGCATTTGCAAGTGTTGCACAGGCGTAATGGCAGGGGCCAGAATATAAAAAAGTATTTTACGTTTTGTGGCAAGTACAACAAGTTACAATTGCCACAACAGAAATAACAATTCCATTGCAGATGCAACCTTGTATACTTGAAAAGCTTTCACGCATGGTGTAGTGACATGACGTCACTCCTGTGTTGGGACTACGAGTGTAGTGACATGAAGTCACTACTGTGTAGTGTCTGTACGAGTACTGTAGGCGGGATGTCACTGAGGTCGCGTCAGGCCTTGACACTGCGTGAACCCGACAGAACACGTGACCGGACGAAGGGGGGCCAGGGGCCCCAGTGGGGAGCTTGGTGGTCACGTGGTAAGGAGCCCGGACTTTCCCGAAGGATCGGGAAGGGGGGCGTTACCAAGGGTGGGGCTGGCCACACTGCAGCAGTTATAAGCAGGGTGTGAAGAGACAGAGTGGCTGTTCAACCCCGGGATGAAGATGCCATCAGCAGTCCTCTTATCTTTGTCCGTGACCAGGCAGCCCGTTAACCTGCCCTGGTCACGTTATATAGTATTCCCCCGAGTGTTAGTTAAATTAGGAACGGTGGTCACCACCTTATATATATAGTGTTCAAGTTGTTTGTTACGTTAATAAATAGTGTTGCCTCCAAGTTGGGTGTGCGCCTCAATCGAACCCATTACACATGCATAGGTTTAATGAAGGCCTAAAATAACATTTAATATGTAATTGAACAAGTACGCAGTATGCTAATTGTAATTTTTTTGAATAATGTTGCAACAACTAAGTTGAAAGCTTGCTGACAAGCTTTAGTGAATAAAAGCCTCTACAAGATAAATTAACTACAGTGACTAGCACACACCCTACCTCTAGTGATGTCAGATTAGTGGTGTTATTTGTACAAGTCGCCGTGTATTTGACAGCGGTGCACGATGGCTATTGGAAGAAGAGCTGAACGGTGCGAATTAGTGTTCCTGCCAGCGCCACGATTTTTTTCAGACTGAAAATGTGAGCACGTCGTTCTGCGTGATGCCGTGACCCAAACAAGGTGAGATCCGTTGAATTGGATGGATTTAACAATAAAGGGAAAACATAAATGTTAGACCACTGCAAAAAGCTGGCACATTGTGGTATTGGAATGTCTTAGCGCAAACTCATGACTGCATTAGATCAGTATACTGACCTTGATGAGACGTGATGAGGATTGTTCTGTTGTCGAGAGTCTTGATGGATCGCTGAAAACCACACAGTGCCTCAACTAGCTCAATTTCCATTTTCATCACCAGATCGTCTTCTCTCCTGCATAATAAATGGCACAGTGGCAATTAGAGTACATTGTGTATTGGGTTTGTAATAAGACAGTAAACTAGTGCAAATTGTAAAATATCACAAGATGCTGCTTTAACACAGACTAGATTTACAGAATCAACATTTGCCACTGTATTCCCTAAGAGCCATTTTAACATCTGAGTTAGTATTTTTATCGACTGTTTTGTGAAGAATGGTTATGAATGTCTGGTCTCCAATATACCTGTGAAACACAGGGTGTTCTTTTTGGTCGAGAACGATGACGATGTGCCCAGGTTCGAGGTCTGGATCCTGGTCGCCCTCGCCATACAATGTAATTTTCTGGCCATCCTTCATGCCTGCCAACATATTTCATGTTTTTATTAAGAAATTCCAGGGCACACATTTGGTTACAATGAATACGTTTAATTTATAGCAAGAGACAGAAATATCAATGCAGCACTCCATTAACCACACTTAATTAGCACAGATATTGGGGAAAAAAAATCGAGGGCATTAAAATAAAACAACCATTTAGGAACTTGATGACTATTGTAAACAGGAGGGATGTAATCATTCTGTGCCTCCATGATTAGATGAATCGCCACAATTCGATAAATACATGTTTTTGCTCTGGTAGGGCAGTGGAAAAGTGCTACCCCCAACTGTATAGATCACAAATCACTTGAAGGGATCTCAGGTAACTCTGTGATATCCGCTGCCATGGGCCTTCCCTAACACGAAGGGCTGCACTGCTCTGCACGAGATCTAAATGGATTCTTCATCTCATGACATTACACTGATAGTGCAATCAGGAAAATATTTGTATTCAAGTCAACATTTAAGAGAGATGTCAATTAACAAAACACAGCCTCACCCTTACTGATGTGCACCTCCAGGATCTTCTTCTCGCGAACGATCTTGCGCCCGTTGCAGTAGCGGCAGCGGTGCCGCGGGTTGATGCGCTCGCCATGGCCGTGGCACTCGGGACACACAGACTGGATCTGCTGCACCATGCCCAGCCCAATTTGCTGGATCTGCAGGTACATGCCTGTTCCCCGGCATGGCACACAGCGTTCCACCGCACCCTTGCGGCCCCCACGACCTGCCAGGCACGGCAACCACGCAAAACCCCCATTTGTTGTTAGAAACTCGGTGTGGCAGATCAGCTTCAACATTTATGTGTCAGGGTTAGAAAGGCTGGCATGTAAGATACTGCATACACAAGAATGCTTATTGTACCAAAATACTACTGTAGATGTACATTAAACCTTGTTTTTTTAATGGAGAAAATATGCTAGATCATATGCCTTAAAGCAGTTGCGAAATAATGAAATCACGAGTGACGCAATTTTGCAACATGGTGATTAAAATGGAATTCCAACAATAAAATGTTCACTTTCAGCTTATTTCATCCAAGTAGGGGTGGATTGGCCAATTTTTGCAAAAGAATGTAAATATTACTTGTTTCAATGGACAATCAAATGTCATGTGCTGGCCCCTGGCATACCTTCACACTTTGCACACAGCACATTTTTTTGAAGTGCCAGTTTTCTGGTTGAGCCATTGTACATCTCTTCCAAGCCCACAGACAACTGGTGTACAGCATTCTTGCCTGATGGAGACAAGAATGTCAGACAAAACTTTTAAACAAAGAGCTTAAACAAAGGGAAGAATCTAATAGCTGGTTACATACAACTCCTTAAGCAAATATTCATTTAACCTTAAACCATTCACAATGATAAATGAAAGGATTTTTTTAGTTAAAACATGTGATTCAACCTGATTTAAACCATGTGACAGCACACCAAGTAAATATTTCTCATTTTGCAAGTGAAAGATACAAATACACTCACATACTAGAGTATTTTATAAGTCGTATGCGCTTACACGCACTTTACACTCACGCAAATATTTATACACGCACACTTTGGTTTTACGTGCCAGATTGATTATTTGCTCAAACCAATGTATAATTTCAAAGCTGCTGCTTGGAATGACATAGGGGCATAATTCTGTGTGGTGAAGTAAGAAGTCACACATATGCCCAATTGCTACTTTGGCTCTAATCCTGAAATAAATGGAGGTGGCAACGCCACAAAATCTGCTGCGAGGTCTCATGCCCGCTTGTCCAATCGTGATGACCTTGACAAAATGTACCTCTCCTTTCCCTCTGCATGCGGGTGCCGCCATTGAAGAAGAGGTCAAATATGTCCATGGGGCTACTGAAGCCGTTGCCACTGTTGCTGCTGCCCCCCTTGAGGGCTTGCTCCCCTCCCATGTCATAAAGCTCTCGCTTCTTGGGGTCCAGCAGAACCTCGTATGCCTGGGAAATCTGTTTGAACTGTGTAAGCAAAAACAGAAGACAAGCCAACACACGCACGTTAGTGCCTGTCGGTATCTATTTTACAAGCCCATACGTGCAAGTTGCAGTGAGAATCCAAGCAAACTTTTGTATTCAATTTCATTAAATCTTATGATGGCTGGCAGCGCTCTAAATAGATGCCTATCTAGTGTGGCCAACTGCTGTACATTTACAGCTGACTTTTCAGCTACATGAGATTGCAACGACCCTTCTGCGTCACCAAACGCCATATAAAATATGATGTACCGTGTCACTCTATTGTAAAATTATGAAGTCACACATAGCTCTCAGAGTTCACGTATCACTATACAAAGTGCACATTCATATCTTGCTTAGCAGAGAGTGCTGAGGTTACTGGTCGCTGACCAAGGAGTTTTGCAGTTTTATTTTTGTCCTGGACAGTAAATATGTTGTCGAGAGCTGTGGCTATAATGTTGTTATGTGGTGGGTGAAGGATGTCCTCAGTGTCTGGTTTTTCACTCGGCATGTAACAATTCACCTCCAAAATTCAACATGTTATGTTATTATTTTATTTCACTATTATATTAAATATTTTCACCTACTTAATAGTCTAATTTGTATTTTTTCGTATGTATCGTCTCATTCGCTTTGAGCTGAAACCTAAAATTTGCATATCATTCATGTACATTTTATTTTCCTTTATTTCCCCTTTGTGTCTCAGTGCATTGTATTTTCTGAATATATTGAAGTGAATTCAGTTACTTTTTGTTAATAAGTGAAAAATAAATGCAAATTGGTATCCTTAATTTATTCTTACATGCGCAAATTGATGGGTGTGCTGTAAGCATATTAATCAATTTTAATGGTAGAATCGATGAAGATTATAGATACCTCCTTTGTACTCCACCTCTCAACAAATGGCGTGTTTGAGAAGAACAAGATGAACTAAAAAATGAAACTGCTCACTTTTTCGCCTTCATTGGGGTTTTTGTCGGGATGGTACTTTAAGGCGAGTTTGCGGTATGCTTTCTTGAGTTCCTCGTGAGTGGCGTTTGTATTCACGCCCAAGGTGTCATAATAAGCAGTCTCCTTCACCATGGTTGCTCAGGCTGAGGTTGATGAGGCACCTGTGGACACACGCAGTCACGTCATGACACAATGGCAAATACCACTGAAGGCGGCTTGTCATTATTACTATCAGAAAATTGTGAATAGTTCCTTGTTTCCGTGACAGGTAGGGTTTTGGACAGTAAACTAGTGTATTTCCCAGCACAATCCACTGCTGTCTGAGGGATTCCACAAGCTGTGTCGGTTGTGGGGGTTATTTGGCCATACATCAACACACTGATCAGTGCAGACAGTGTACGCGTGGGAGCATAGTACAGCATGACAATTAATGTTTCTTCACTGACCCCTGCTGCCCACCACGTAGCCCCCCCGCAGGCCTTTGACAACCTGTTTGTGAATGGTGGCCACCCATTCAAGCACTATCCAGGGTCAACCCTGCTTAGATTCTGAGGTCTGGCAAGATTTGCTGCATTATGGGTGACTTGGCCACAAACCCTCAACACTTGCTAATTACCATCAATTAAAGACTTAAAAGATATCCCTATAACTGTGCATTAAAAAAAATTACCATTCCAGTGTTTCAATGAATACAATCAATGACATCCTCTTATTACTGCAGGCTCTGAACAGGTAAAGCCTGTTTAATAAAGACCATACTAACGGGATCACACAAAGGGCAATGGACTAATACTGATAACCATATCACGTATTTAAAAGAGCATTTAAACTGAATCTCAATGGGTTATCTAACGATTACATAACTGAAAATCATTGTGTGTGGGCAGGCAGGGGAATGAAGCCATCGCTTATATAAACACCGGCATTTTTTTGTTTCCCGAAATGTGGATCTCGCAGGCTTTAACACACAGAGAGTAACCAATACCTCGCAGTGGATTCAATGGCAACGGATTGAAACGAGCTTCAGTTGTGTATCGATACGATCATCTCCTTGCATTTCACGTTGCACCACGGGTTATTTATTTGTGTGTGTGTGAGCAATCACCCCACACCACACCAGGCATTGCGAAATGGACCAGCCGAGAAGACGCAGAGCCGAACAGATGAAAAACAACTCAGGTTTAAGGTTGTTCTTGTTGTTGCTTAGCACAGCGTATCACGGCGTCTCAATTCATCACGATCTCGTTGGGTTTTAAAGTGGCTTTAAAGCCAACACGTGCGGCATCTTCTCGGCATTTTCTTCTTCTACCACCACCATCACAACCCACCAAGATCGTTGCAATTAAAATAGCCTCAGGACGTTCAGCATAATACACGGCACACCAAGTTCTGCTAAACATCTGCGGGGTACATTCCGTACTTAGTAGTCTATCACCACATCCCCGGTGATCAAACATTTGGGATTCGGAGCCAGTTTCGAACGCTCAGCCGAAACTGGGGACCGGCACTCGTCAGCCCGTCAACCCCTAAGGCTGATGCGATCATTATCAATCATTATAATCATCAATCAATCAATCAAATACGTGTGTTATAGAGCAATAATCCGTTTTAGTCGTGGGGGTAAATATTTCGAATCGTGGGATCGTTTGGCTAAGAGATGCAGCGTCGGCATGGGGGACGAGGAGGAAGGCCTTCATCCAATTGCGGATATTGACGATAATCAATCAACCTTTAGTATCGATACGCACGCACATTCGAGGCCACGTTTCAAACGGGCAAAACCTTTTTATCTCCTCGCACACGTCCCTCTGTTCACAGTACAACCACATAAGCGGTGGTGGCTAGAGGAGGAAGAGGAGGAGGAGGGTAATGGTTGTCAGCGGGTGTCGCCGGCCGGCCACGGGGTCCCGTCAACCGCCCATCGCTGACCGGGGCCGTCCGTCACTTTCCCCGTCGCCGCACACGACACGACACGAGAGAGAGAGACACTTACCGTCTCACAACAAGGGGAGAAGCCAGCGGTGGTAGAGCTGTTGCTGTTGTCGTGGTGGTGGTGGTGATGGTTGTGGTGGTGGAGGGGGGTGGTTGTGGTTGTTTCTGCCGGTGCCCGATTTTTTTTCGCCGCCGCTTCGTGTGACAGCCACGCGGGGTTTTGTCTTTGGAGGTAGTAGTGGTGGTAGTGGGGGGGGGGTTGTCCTGCCGCTCTGTCTTCACGAGAGAACGAGGGGGGGGTGGTGGTGAAGCAGAAGCTTCTGGAAGCCGGCACTGTGACGTCATAGGCGCCACGTGAAGCGACGGGAAAAAACGAGGCGGTGCTCCTCCCACGGCGCACGCAACGTTCGCCCCTTCACCCCCTAAAGATGCCCTTACAGCTGTTTAATTATAGACCACCCACCACCACCCACCACCACCACCCTACTCCTCTCGCTGTGTTGTAACCCACCGGTGGTGGTGGTGAGAGTTGACGCGTCTGTGCTGCCCATGTTCACAAAGCCCTCTGTGTGTGTCGTCTTGTCTGTGTTCCCCATTCACCAAGCCAGCGTGTGTACCACTGTGTCGTCTTGTCTGTGTTCCCCATTCACCAAGCCAGCGTGTGTACCACTGTGTCGTCTTGTCTGTGTTCCCCATTCACCAAGCCAGCGTGTGTACCACTTTGTAGTCTTGTCTGTGTTCCCCATTCACCAAGCCAGTGTGTGTACCACTGTATCGTATTGTCTGTTCCCATTCACCAAGCCAGTGGGTGTACCACTATGTAGTCTTGTCTGTGTTCCCCATTCACCAAGCCAGTGTGTGTACCACTGTGTCATCTTGTATGTTCCCCATTCACCAAGCCAGTGTGTGTACCACTGTGTCGTCTTGTCTGTGTTCCCCATTCACCAAGCCAGTGTGTGTACCATTGTGTTGTCTGTTCACCATTCACCAAGCCAGTGTGTGTACCATTGTGTTGTCTGTTCACCATTCACCAAGCCAGTGTGTGTACCACTGTGTCATCTTGTCTGTGCTCCCCATTCACCAAGCCAGTGTGTGTACCACTGTGTCGTCTTGTCTGTGCTCCCCATTCACCAAGCCAGTGTGTGTACCACTGTGTTGTCTGTTCCCCATTCACCAAGCCAGTGTGTGTACCATTGTGTTGTCTGTTCACCATTCACCAAGCCAGTGTGTGTACCACTGTGTCGTCTTGTCTGTGTTCCCCATTCACCAAGTCAGTGTGTGTACCACTGTGTTGTCTGTTCCCCATTCACCAAGCCAGTGTGTGTACCATTGTGTTGTCTGTTCACCATTCACCAAGCCAGTGTGTGTACCATTGTGTTGTCTGTTCACCATTCACCAAGCCAGTGTGTGTACCACTGTGTCGTCTTGTCTGTGCTCCCCATTCACCAAGCCAGTGTGTGTACCACTGTGTTGTCTGTTCCCCATTCACCAAGCCAGTGTGTGTACCATTGTGTTGTCTGTTCACCATTCACCAAGCCAGTGTGTGTACCACTGTGTCGTCTTGTCTGTGTTCCCCATTCACCAAGTCAGTGTGTGTACCACTGTGTTGTCTGTTCCCCATTCACCAAGCCAGTGTGTGTACCATTCTGTTGTCTGTTCACCATTCATCAAGCCAGTGTGTGTACCATTGTGTTGTCTGTTCACCATTCACCAAGCCAGTGTGTGTACCATTGTGTTGTCTGTTCACCATTCACCAAGCCAGTGTGTGTACCACTGTGTCGTCTTGTCTGTGCTCCCCATTCACCAAGCCAGTGTGTGTACCACTGTGTAGTCTTGTCTGTTCCCCATTCACCAAGCCAGTGTGTGTACCACTGTGTTGTCTGTTCCCCATTCACCAAGCCAGTGTGTGTACCATTGTGTTGTCTGTTCACCATTCACCAAGCCAGTGTGTGTACCACTGTGTCATGTTGTCTGTGCTCCCCATTCACCAAGCCAGTGTGTACCACTGTGTAGTCTTGTCTGTGCTCCCCATTCACCAAGCCAGTGTACCACTGTGTCGTCTTGTCTGTTCCCCATTCACCATGCTAGTGGGTGTACCACTGTGTCATCTTGTCTGTTCCCCATTCACCAAGCCAGTGTGTGTACCACTGTGTCGTCTTGTCTGTTCCCCATTCACCAAGCCAGTGTGTGTACCACTGTGTCATCTTGTATGTTCCCCATTCACCAAGCCAGTGTGTGTACCACTGTGTCATCTTGTATGTTCCCCATTCACCAAGCCAGTGTGTGTACCACTGTGTCGTCTTGTCTGTTCCCCATTCACCAAGCCAGTGTGTGTACCACTGTGTCATCTTGTATGTTCCCCATTCACCAAGCCAGTGTGTGTACCACTGTGTCATCTTGTCTGTTCCCCATTCACCAAGCCAGTGTGTGTACCACTGTGTCGTCTTGTCTGTTCCCCATTCACCAAGCCAGTGTGTGTACCACTGTGTCATCTTGTATGTTCCCCATTCACCAAGCCAGTGTGTGTACCACTGTGTCATCTTGTATGTTCCCCATTCACCAAGCCAGTGTGTGTACCACTGTGTAGTCTTGTCTGTGCTCCCCATTCACCAAGCCAGTGTGTTCCCCATTCACCAAGCCAGTGTGTGTACTAGTGTGTCGTTTTGTCTGTGTTCCCCATTCACCATGCTAGTGGGTGTACCACTGTATCGTCTCGTCTGTGTTCCCCATTCACCATGCCAGTGGGTGTACCACTGTGTAGTCTTGTCTATGCTCCCCATTCACCATGCTAGTGGGTGTACCACTGTATCGTCTTGTCTGTGTTCCCCATTCACCAAGCCAGTGTGTGTACCACTGTGTAGTCTTGTCTATGCTCCCCATTCACCAACCCAGTGTATTCCCCATTCACCAACCTAATGTGAACCAATGTGTCGTCTTGTCTGTGTTCTCCATTCTCCACATTAACATTCTGCACTGGCCAGCGTGGTAAAGTATGGTCAAGTAACCCTTCTGCACGACGTGGAGAGGCGAGGGAAGCCATCATCCAGCAGTGGATTTACACAGGGACTGTAAACGTGTGGTACTCGGGCATGCCGGAGTGATATGAAAAACGAAACCGAACGGCCTTTACCCACCAAGCCACAACGTAAAATAAAAATACCCGCACTGACCAACGTGACGGATCGCCAAACCCCTACGATTGGCGTTATAGTGGGCTAGGTGGCAGGCAGAACAAGCCTGTGTTGCAAAACCCATTGTGTGTATGTATGCCACATGGATTCTCCCCGCCTTCACGAACCCGCTATGACTTGAGTGAAGTACGTCAGAAACCCCACCACAGCACGGGGAGGGCCCTCATCCAGCAGTGGGTTTACGAAGGGGCTGTAGAATTATCGTCGGAGATATACTCACTCTCAAGGATCCATGGAATGCCAAACATGTCAAACACACGTGCGTAGTGGTCGACAACCTTAGCTGATCAATGGCATCAACACCTGTAGATGTTTGAGGAACTGAAATGTCCATGTGAATTATTCAAATACTGTACCTTACTTATTGATACTGAATGTACAATACTAGGGAACTATGGTTAGGGGATTTACCAAGAATACAGTATTAGGGTAGTGTACTTTAAATTTAAATATAATCGTGGGAAATGGCATGCAGTTAGGCTACCATGTACAATGGTCGATTAGTTTTTAGTTTCTGCAAACGAGTTAAACAGGAAACCACGCTGCATTCATTATTTGTGAATCACATGCTAGGAAAACTACATTTTTCAAGGGATTGTTGTTGAAACAGTTTCTACGTGGCTTTACTACTGACCACACTTTCTGGAAGTTTCTCATACGCATAACTTTATTAACATCTTTTTTTTAAAAAGAGACTTTACTAGTAACATCCTACAAAGATTACAGAACAGGAAGTGTGCTAATATTACATTAAAGATGCTTTACATGTGCTTTATATAAAAACAAAATAACAAAAGCCCCTTCACATTAATTTTGATGTTCAGTAAATTGACATTGTGCTCCTTTTCTGTTGCAGACCGCCAATATTATTTAAATAGCTCGATTGCAAACATTAAGTGAGCATGTTTACAAATCCAGTCATTAGCTTGACTCAGAATGACAGCTTGACAAGTCATTACACAATTAAGCTGCCTAATCTGAACCAAGTACACACAGCAGTCTTTTCCTAAGACAACACTTGGGATTAAATTGCCACCTATCTTTTTCATAAAACGTGTATTGAGTGGATGAATCCAAAACTGAGTGGTGCATTTCATGTGGTTTAATCCCACTAGAGTGGTTTTGTACCTGGCTACCACAACATTCATTTACAATGTATAATTGGATGTGCTCAGCTTTTGCAATGCGTGCAGTACAAAACTACGCAATTATTTTGAAGGCATGTGAAATGGCAAAGTGGTTACTCATTAGTCACTAAAATATCTAAATGGAATGTCAGTTTGTAAATACTACTTACGATATATACCATATTTAACAACTTGAAAGCATAAGAAAAATATCAATGTGCATTTTTAGCAAGACCAGGGAATCTTTACAATTATCTTTTACAAAATTCAAACATACACCTCGCGACATCAGAAATGATGCAATGTGCCTGACTGCCCAACTTGGGGGAGAGATACACGACAATCGCCTGCCGTTATACATTTTAGATTCACCCACGACCCCAGTGCATCACGTCAAGTGGACACAAACACAAAAATAATCATTTGGGGGGAAAGGGGACCTAAAATGTTGACAAAATTAGTGGTTAAATTATTAAACATTAAATTACATTTCAACCACTCAATTTGTGGGAAATATTTCTTTTTAAATGTTTGAAATGATTCATATGCATAAAGTAAAATAACAATTTGGTCCATGTTTTAATGTGTGTAGTTAATCGTATCCTCTGCTTTAAATTTCAGATAAAGGCTCAGCCCAATTAAAAAAACACAGCAGATGCTTAAAGGTGACGTTTGGATGATGCAGCCGTTCTTCATTGGAGTTAAAGTCCATTTTCCCAGCCGCTGCTGCTGTCATCATACATTGGGTGGGCCCTGTCACAGCAGGGCACACCTGAAGAAGCTGGTCTTTTTGCCCTGGGATGGAGCCGTGATCCGCACCGCGTTACTGTCAGGGGTGTTGTTTCCTTCCTGCGTAGCACAATGGACCGACAGTCGAAGGTAAAGGTACACATTTGCACGTGTTGTTTCAAAGTAGGTATGATCATAAATAAGTAACGAATTTAACAGCAACCTTTGCAAATGATAAATCCTGCAAACAGTTTAACGATATTATGCACAGTATAACTAAGAAAATAGCGTGATCCCTCCCTCTTAACCCAACAACAAAGCACGTCAAATATTCTTCATCAAATATAATTTTATTTTCCAAGAGTGCCAAGAATAGAGTTTTTAAATATTAAGTTGAGAATATACTTTCATTATGCCATATCTGATCGATGTTCAAAACACCATTCTAACCCTTCTTTAACCAAAGGCCGCAGTGAAATGGATCTTGATGCTGTATCCTGTTTTTGCATCCTGCTGTCTTTAAAATGTAGATGTATATTCCCTTTGTCAATGCATTACTGGATAAGGGCCTCTCCATGGTGTGCAGGTCATGGTGGTAAAAGGACCACACGTCACGAGTCACAGCAGGTTCGTGAAGGTCAGGGACATACATATCATACGAGGGATTTTGCTACTCAGCACGTAGCCCTACAGTTAATAAAAACACAGTTTTGTGCAGTGATCACCCACCCAGACTCAAACCTGTTTAGATTCTGAGATATTAATTATTTGGTGATTGATGAATGTGTTGAGTTTTTTATATATGAGATCAGGTAACGGTTACTGGTGATGTAGTCAAATGCCTCTTCACATAAATACACATTTACGTTCCCATGTTATACTGGAAACGATCAATCTTCAAAGAGAGATGATATATTTAACTTTCAAGCTTACCAGCTTTCTGTCCATTTTGGCTTTGATGTCTCTGGCCAGTGTGAAGAAAGCCTGCATTACAGACATTCAGAAGTAAACCATATTGAAAGAGCAGTCTTCACTTTTGTGCACTAGATGATACAATTGCAAATAAAAATTACAGCACGCTTACCTCCTCCACATTAATGCTGGCCTTGGCACTGGTCTCCATGAACTTGATTCCATATTCAATTGCCAGCTGCATGAACAATATGAAAAGAATCGTTACCATCAATGTGCAGAACCCATAAAATACTCCTCTGAACACTTATGATGAGGGCTCACTAGAGAAGACCACCTTATTTAATTAATGCATGTGTAGTGTAATAGCACCGGCTGGTGACCAGCAGTGGCAACTGCGGTGTACAAACAGTACACACGCCAGTGAGCATATACACGGGTGTGTCAACAGGGCGGAAGAACTGGGGCAAAGGTCATGGGGGGCCCCATCTGAAAGCCCCTGGAACCTGATAGTGGGTTCGAGAAGGGAGGCGCGGCCAGGGCGGAGCCAGGCCACGCTGCGAGGATAAAAGGGGTCGAGAGCGGGAGCTTGAGGTTGCTGGTTTGGGATTGGATCATCTCGTCGTTGTTGTCGTCTCATCGCCATCGTCGCTGCTGTCTGCGCTCGACATTGCGCTGCTAAATAGCCTGTTAACTGTCTCAGTCAGCGCTGCCGATGCTAAACAGCTAGTGTTGTGTCAAGGCTAGCAAGTAGAGTGTGTGCAGGTGAGATTGTGTGTGTTAATAAAAGGTGCCTCTACAAATATCGTTTCCGAAGTCACGACACTACACATGTTCTCATTGACTTAAAATTAAAATGTCATGCTGAAAATACTTGTTGCCAATATATTATAAATCCACAACAAGTCATTACATGCGTGCATTGCATGAAGTCAGAGGGAAGTGCAACTACGTTTGGAAAAGATATCAGCACAGCTAGATCAGAAACATAGGGAGACATAAATATGTAACATGGCAGCCAGGGTACTTGAGTTTCTAACCTCTAACATAATGTGGTGCAATCATAACTCATGCAATGCAATGTGGCTGCTTCATGTCAAGACTCAAGATTGGTTGTACAAAGTGATGTCATGCATGCAGAAGCCAAAGTGACCACATGCAAAAGCTCGGTATTAGAGCTTACCTTCTCGCCCCTTTCCCTGGTCACCTGTCTCCGCTCATTCATGTCACACTTGTTCCCTAGAATCATCTTCTCCACATCTGCTGATGCATGCTGTTTGAAATTGAACAAAATAATGAATCAAACATGCAGATACACGTTTCACATCCTTAATACAGACAATTGTGGCCAAGTTAAAGAGTCATCGTGATTTCTTGCTCAAGTCAGCATTCACTGATATAAATACTAACAATGTTCTAAAAGTGTTAAAAAAAATATTTACAGCTCATTTCAATCCCCTGCTGGATGAAAGCCCACCTCATATCATGTCACTCACAAAGACATTACAGACTAAAATTTCCCCAAATACAGTTGGGTATAATATTTTAGGATTTTGGTCCAGAAAAATTAAGGCTTAAAGGTTGACTGGTTATACTCAGAGTCGTTACCTTAACAGTCTACAATGCTTTTTCTCGTGCTAAATACATACAAATATACAATCCTCATCAGTAAACTGAATAATTTACCCCGTCTAGTGCAACACAACAGCTATTATTTTAGCTAGTAAGTGGGTATTAGCTGCTACCGGCTACTCACTAATAATCCGAGTAATACTTATGAATTCCAGAATTACTCTTTGGTTCTTTCGGTAAAGTCACATAAAAAGAAATGTTATTAAATATTATAATTTAATTTATTTCGACGTGAGTTGACCGAAAGAACCAAAGAGTAATTCCTGCAGTCATGAAAGCTTCGAATCTAGCTAATTCCAGAATCGTTCTATTCATTATTTGAAAATAGACAATTTTATAAAACTACGATTATTACATTTGTACAAAGAGGAACGTCACATAAAACACAAACGGTTGATGTCCATTATACCTCTTCAATATTTCTGATCCAGTTTTTGATGTTTTCAAATGACTTCTCATTGGTAATGTCATACACCAACATGATGCCCTAATGGAGACAAGAACAAAAACATATAATTTCACTCACAAGTGTCAGTTGCAGCATACACATACATAATATTTAAACAAGAGGTCCGTTTAATTTCCTGCAACTGTTAGTTACACAGCTGAACACTTGTGATGCAAGGGCATGTTGTTGCCGTTTACAAAAAATGAACGGAACAACAGCTGTGTGTACGTACCATAGCTCCCCGGTAGTAAGCTGTGGTGATCGTCCGAAACCTCTCTTGACCTGCTGTGTCCCTTTAAAAACGTCATAGTGTACGCATTAATAACAGTTATACTGTACATGTATTAATGTAGACAATATGTAGCCACCCTGTTTCACAAAGCAAAGCACTGTAATAGCCTTAGGAAATTTCAAAAGATGTGTAATATACCGAGATCTAATCTTGCAGAAAATCTTGGCAGCTTGTGAGGAGTGGTGAAAAATGTGTTCACTCAGAAAGCACGGAAGCCGCTTACCATATCTGAAGTTTGATTTTCTTTCCATCCAAGTCTACTGTTCTGATCTTAAAATCTATGCCTGCAAGAAACAATAGGGGTTAGGAGAAACTTAAGGTGAAGCAGATCTTGATAAAGCTATTCAACTAATCGTTGCAGCCACAGGGCATCTCATGGTTGAAAACGGTAATCAGATTACGAACTGTACATAGGAGTGACCATCTATGGCTCAGCTCAAATGCGTTTCTGGAAATAGCTTTCCTGCTACAGAAAAATGTTTGAATTGAAGGAGATCATTTGGGGTGTGCCTTCTCAAATAATCATTAGTGGCATGCATAGCTCCATGTAACACCCAGGCAACCTGACCCGTAAAACTTCCTGTCCAGAGCCGGAAAGCCACTTCCTGGAATTGTACTGTATGGTCCAAAATGCGGCAGATGAATACTGCGCACTGCAAGTGGCTCCTGTGTGCTTATCAAAAAGTGTACATGTGACTTATCGGTGAAATATTTTAAGGAATGTGAACAGCAACAATAATACAAAAGGTCTACCAATGCTAGCAGGGATTATCATTTTTAGTGGCTTTTGCCAATCAATTATAGAATAGTGGCCAGAAGATTGTTAGAAGTGGGGTTTCCCAAACTCGTATCCACTAGCAGAAACCAAATGACTGCACTTATTTAACTGCTGGATTAACAAAGACCTTGACTTAAAATAATACAACCACTATACTGCAAATACTGTCAGCAATTACAAGGATTCCACAACAGTAAACATCCAATAATAATGTTTACTCGTATACGTTAGAGGGAAGTATTAAATGATGACATTTCACAACTGCCTATTGACAATCGCAAATATAGGCAGAACTGTTAAATACAGTAGCATGATACTTTGAGAAGTGGACCTAAAGTCTCTTTCTAATAAAACATTGTGTTGGAGTAACTGAGAATTTTGAGGCAGGAATAAGCACACCATGTGTAATAATTTACTAATTGCGAGCCGCTCAAACAATAGTTTAGTCGGTTTAAGGATAGATGTCACTGCACTGAAGCTAAACCAAAATTGCTATTCAGATACCTTCCTAAAATATTTGTGCCAGTCCTTTCCACAAATACAGCGTGTAAGTATATCGTACATGTAGTGATGTAATGTTGACCCTCAATACACGTACAACATTCATATTTGCGATTCACAACTATGAGCATCGCAAGACGCTCGTCTGTTTACTGCCCTAAATCAGTGGTGTAAATTCCATATTCCTATGGCGGACACGAGTCGCACCATATTACAACCACCGTTGACATTACTCTTTGGTTCTTTCGGTAAAGTCACGTATAAAGAGAAAATAATAAATTAAATACTATTTTAATAATACTATTTTCTCTTTATACGTGACTTTACCGAAAGAACCAAAGAGTAATTCCTGCAGTCACGAAAGCTCCAACCACCGTTGACATCCTGTCGAGCACATTTACAATAAACCATACACAGAGATGCAATACATTATAGTCCTAACTTAAGCGTTTGTTGCCTTCGCCTGTTAATAAGTACATACACAAACGTGACAACACGTACAGCTATGCACACCTGTCAACCCCTAATCAGTGACTACCGTATTATAGACCAGTTCAGACCTCATTGGTCACCCCGTGCCCTTATAAATCTCAACGTTTACCCTACAAAGTCCCATCACAAGGGAGAAACACAAATAGGCAAAACATTGTTTTGCCCGTATTGAAACAGTTGTACGCCGTGTGGAGCTAAAAAAACTCAATTTCCCTGTACAAGAATACGGGTAACAAGTATGGGTTGATATGTATGGACATTACTACTATATTGAGCCAAGAATGTCTGTGTGTAACGCGCGTGACGTCACTCCACATGCCGAACCCCCCCTTCATTAATATTCATGAACGGATGGATTTTTACACTCACGCGGGTCGAGCGGAAATACAAATTTTTTTGCAAATTCGCTTTAAGTTTGACATTTCTTTATTATTAAAAGTTAATATAAGAAATAATTATACGCAGCAAAAAAGTAGATTTTGTGTCTTTATTTTTTCAGCACTTGAGACAAAAGGCAAGTCTAATTTATGCTTCTACATTATGGTAATATAGAAATTTCTCGGTGGTTTTCCAGATATTGTATCGAATTCCAATTGATTTCAACCCCAGCGACCGAAAGCAGAAGAGAATAAAGAGCAGTGAATTTTAACAAATTGAAGGTCAGTTACATACAGTGCTACAGTGACATGAAGTAAAGTGTTTGATGACAGAGTTTGTGCAAGATTCACTGCCATTAATACATTGCTACATTGAAATGAAGTGAAGTGTTTGATGACATAGTTTTGTGCAAGATTCACTGCCATTAATACAGTGCTACATTGAAATGAAGTGAAGTGTTTGATGAAATACTTTCGTGCAAGACTCACTGCCATTAATACAGTGCTACAGTGACATAAATGAAAGTGTTTGATGACAGAGTTTGTGCAAGATTCACTGCCATTAATAGTGCTACATTGAAATGCAGTGAAGTATTTGATGACATACTTTCGTGCAAGGTTCACTGCCATTAAATTTAGCCAAGATACAATTATACTCTGCCCAATTCTTTCGTAAATATTACAGCTTCCGTCCTAGGGCGGGCAAACAAGCTAGTGGTATATAGCAATGAATTAACCAAGCACTGCGAATTATTTTATGAACTACGGTTCCATGTCATGTAAATACATGTCTACAAGTGTGCGGACCACAGCTGTAAACATATAAGTATGACGCTGCTAAACACAAACTTGACCGCTACGCAAACTTAACAGACACGCTTCGGACAACAACACTAAGCCCTTGTAAAGCTTTTAGGGGACGACGAACACAATGCAAAGTTAAGCAATCGCGTCTCAATCACTCGTGATGTCAACACAATTGTACTGCAATCTTCAACGTTTCGGCAGCGACGTCGGTAGAGCGTTACGATGTCGCGTCCGCCGCAACTTTATCCTTTTAAATATCACGAAAACTAAAAAGGTGAAACTCGGTTGTCTGCCTGGGGGGGGGGGGATCGTTGTGTTGTTCACGACGATCCTCCTCGTTGCTTGTACGTCGCCTGCCTCTTGACTCTCGAGCAAAGAGGCGGCAGGGGCCTTTGCCCAACGCAGATCGAGGAGCAAGGCGGTGGTAGTGGGGGGGTGGGTGGTAGGGATACTCAACATCATCATCATCGTCGTCGTGCACCGACGCCGCCTGACCGCTCGAACTGCTTCACCCACCGATGGTGGAGATGAATGTGGAGTTGAAGGCGTCCTCGGAGAACCTGAAGAGCACGCAGGTCTTGCCCACGCCGCTGTCGCCGATGAGCAGCAGCTTGAACAGGTAGTCGTACGTCTTCGCCATCTTGCATCTCGCGCCGCCACCACCACCGCCGCTTCCTGCCGCCTGCGAGCGATGACGTCACTCCGGTGATTTTGGTGGAGGAGGCGCGGATGACGTCATCGCGCTCCGGACATTTATGACGTCACCGAGCGGTGCGAGACGAGGGGTTTGAATTTCTAGATTTGAAGCTTTCGTGACTGCAAGGATTTCATACTGTTAGGTTTTTTTCGGTAAAGTCACGTAGGTAAATAATAATAAAAATAAAATAAGAATAAATGATTAGATTTCTTAAAATGTATTATTATTTAGGTAAAAAATAATACATAATAAAATAACAATAAATTATTTGATTTATTTTCACTTTTTTTATTTTATTTTTTACCGACGTGACTTTACCGAAAAAACCTAAGAGTAGGAGGGTTTGAAAGTCAATCCCACCCCGCCATGACATCATCACGCTCTGCGCAATGGTCCCAGCGTGAGTAGCTCTTGATGACGTCACCACGCAAGCCCGACAAGACGGGTGAGCTGATTGCGGTGACGTCATCCACCAGGTTAACACGCTGACGCATTTGCGGCGCTGAAACGACGTCATGGATTGTGACAGGATGATGTCACGTTGCGCGTTGTTACTTTGTAATTATTCCCCTCCCTACTCTACAATTACAGGTGTGACCCTACATTTGTTTACTCTATAAGCCGCAGTGGCTGCATTTTTTTTATTAACTACTCACGACATGGGTAAAGATTCAATTTTGATCAGTTGTTAATTAGTGACGTCATTTAATTGCGCTCATTATCGAAGATCACAAGCCAGTGACGTCGTATGCTGTTTCATAGAACAGTAAATTGTGCGTGGTGACGTCACTGCTCGCAATTGTGCACGATGGCATCACTTATCCCTGGCTGTGCGTGATGACGCCACACTCTACGCTTGTGCGCGGTGACGTCATTGTATTTTATTTTCACGCCACGTGTGACGTCTGTCACGTGAAAAGCCACCCCATGAATAAGCAGGGAATTCCCAAACGCGTCTGACAAATTCATACAGAAGTTCTAGAAAACATAAGTGGATTTATTTTTTTACCCGGGTCCCTCTGGGTTTTCCCTCCGCGGTTAGAAGCATGCGTCTATATTGTTTGTTTCAGGTTATTTTGCTGCTGTAAATTTCCACATGATAAGCTCTTCTATGAGCAATCATTTGTGGCCAGGTAGCTTCTGAAAAAAATAGATTAGCTCAGAAGGCTTTACCTGGTAAGATAAAAACATGGTTTATTTGTTTTTATACGTATATTTTAAGTGATTTGTTTACCTTTTCAATACTTTGCACTGTGTTTTTGTAATGTTTGTTATAACGTTCTGACCTGCCCCAACTGGGCATTTTTGAAAAATTGCTTTATACCTCATTGGATTTCTCCAGTAGAAAGAAATATTCAGATTCTGACGTGATTGTTTCATATGTAATAAATGAGCAATACTTACTGGTCAATGTATACTATTCATGCAACGTTTATATAACGCGGATTCGAATTAAAGCACGCACATGGACATTGAAAAATAAAACTAAACAGCTGAAAAGTGCACGAAGAAACATGCATAAGTGCACGCTTGTATTTATACCAAGATACCAGATGATAAAACGCGTACATTATTGACTTGATTGGTAACAGGCGAGCATGGATAACTTGGCAATGCATACACCAATATAAATTGACAGCTACATCACTTGGGGCTACATGGTGGCCAACAGCAAATCTTATTTTTTTCATAATGAACCGGACTTCAATGTTGCGGCATTTATGCTCCCTGCCTTCACAAACCCGCACCGATCATCGTGGTGAAGTATGGTCAACCCATCCCCACGATTCGCACCCCGCACAACGTAGAGAACAACTTCACCAAGCAGTGGATAGGTTACGGCTGGTGATCTTTCTTCTCTCGCACGTGTTCCTGGAAAACATCACGGGCCGGCAAGCAAACAACACCGAAGTACAAATTCCTGATGAGTAACATGGTGTGCTCGCTCGTGAGACTGCTAAAAATACATTTGAAAAAACATCTAAACTAAGTTTCAGTTGCTTTCGGGTAAATGTTGTGATCAGCGAAAGGCCGTTTTGTTTTTTTGTGATTAATGTTGATCTGCTCCACAATCTCTGGAGATAGTCACGCTGCCCCCCCCCCCCCCCCAATCAAGACATGTTAAGGTCAAAAATAGTTTATATTCTTGGTTCTTTCGGTAAAGTCAATTGAGTAATTTACCGAAAGAACCAAGAATATGAATCCCTGCAGTCACGAAAGCTTAAAAAAACTAGTTTAGTTTTATTTGCACATTTAAGCGATTTGTTTAGCTTTCCTATACTTTTCACTCATATCGTGCTTTTGTATTGTTTGTTGTTGAAACGTTCTAACCCGTCCCTACTGGACTTGTGTAAAACAAAATAGATTCATAGCTCATCGGATTCCTCCCGGATAGTATCAATAAATATTCTGATTCTGAAGACCACTGCTCCAGGTTTAAAAGGCCGCAATGGAGAGAGAACACATGTTCACGCTTTCCTGCATTTGTTCACCCAGAAATGCCTCACTGGGTCTCATATGACTCTTTTTCAACAGGGCCCTGACAAATTTTAGCGAATATTGCTATGGATAATCCCAATTGAGTAATTTACGGGTATTTATTTTATTTTGGCAAATTTTGGACCATAGCAACACAATTGCCCCTACTCAGGCGTAGAGGTTACGGGATCTTTAAAATCCATCGTGAAGCAGACGACGCGTATAATTGTTTATGCTAAAAAACGCATGCAGTATTAACCAGGGCGGCCTCTGGAAATCGAACCGTGAACTTAGCTTGTGCTATTAACGGCATTCGTTTCAAGTTACGTGACGCTCGCCGTGCGCGTTAATATCTTCTCCTGCACGGTATCCGTGCCGCAGCCTACGTCCCATCTCCCCCCCCCCCCCCGTCGCTCCCCCCCTCCCCCGTCGCTTCCTCCCCCCCCCGTCGCTCCCCCCCCCGTCGCCCCCACCCCCGTCGCTTCCCCCCTCCCCCGTCGCTTCCTCCCCCCCCCGTCGCTCCCCCCCCCCGTCGCCCCCACCCCCGTCGCTTCCCCCCTCCCCCGTCGCCCCCCCCTCCCCCGTCGCTTCCCCCCCCCCGTCGCCCCCCCCGTCGCTTCCTCCCCCCCGTCGCCCCCCTCGTCGCTTCCCCCCTCCCCCGTCGCTTCCCCCCTCCCCCGTCGCTTCCCCCCCCCCCGTCGCTCCCCCCTCTCCCCCGTCGCTTCCTCCCCCCCCCCGTCGCTCCCCCCCCGTCGCCCCCACCCCCGTCGCTTCCCCCCTCCCCCGTCGCCCCCCCTCCCCCGTCGCCCCCCCCTCCCCCGTCGCTTCCTCCCCCCCCCGTCGCTCCCCCCCCCGTCGCCCCCACCCCCCTCGCTTCCCCCCTCCCCCGTCGCCCCCCCCCTCCCCCGTCGCTTCCCCCCCCCCCCCCGTCGCCCCCCCCCGTCGCTTCCTCCCCCCCGTCGCCCCCCCCGTCGCTCCCCCCCTCTCCCCCGTCGCTTCCCCCCTCCCCCGTCGCCCCCCCCCGTCGCTCCCCCCCCCCCGTCGCTTCCCCCCTCCCCCGTCGCTTCCCCCCTCCCCCGTCGCCCCCCCTCCCCCGTCGCTTCCCCCCCCCCCCGTCGCCCCCCCCGTCGCTCCCCCCTCTCCCCCGTCGCTTCCCTCCTCCCCCGTCGCCCCCACCCCCGTCGCTTCCCCCCTCCTCCGTCGCTTCCTCCCCCCCCCGTCGCCCCCACCCCCGTCGCTTCCCCCCTCCCCCGTCGCCCCCCCCTCCCCCTCCCCCGTCGCTTCCCCCCCCCCCCGTCGCCCCCCCCGTCGCTCCCCCCTCTCCCCCGTCGCTTCCCTCCTCCCCCGTCGCCCCCACCCCCGTCGCTTCCCCCCTCCTCCGTCGCTTCCTCCCCCCCCCCGTCGCCCCCACCCCCGTCGCTTCCCCCCCTCCCCCGTCGCCCCCCCCTCCCCCGTCGCTTCCCCCCCCCCCCCCGTCGCCCCCCCCGTCGCTTCCTCCCCCCCGTCGCCCCCCCCGTCGCTTCCCCCCTCCCCCGTCGCTTCCCCCCTCCCCCGTCGCTTCCCCCCCCCCCCGTCGCTCCCCCCTCTCCCCCGTCGCTCCCCCCTCTCCCCCGTCGCTTCCTCCCCCCCCCCGTCGCCCCCACCCCCGTCGCCCCCACCCCCGTCGCCCCCACCCCCGTCGCCCCCACCCCCGTCGCTTCCCCCCTCCACCGTCGCTTCCTCCCCCCCCCCGTCGCTCCCCCCCCCCGTCGCCCCCACCCCCGTCGCTTCCCCCCCTCCCCCGTCACCCCCCCCCTCCCCCGTCGCTTCCTCCCCCCCCCGTCGCTCCCCCCCCCCGTCGCCCCCACCCCCGTCGCTTCCCCCCTCCCCCGTCGCCCCCCCCCTCCCCCGTCGCTTCCCCCCCCCCCCGTCGCCCCCCCCGTCGCTTCCTCCCCCCCGTCGCCCCCCCCGTCGCTCCCCCCTCTCCCCCGTCGCTTCCCCCCTCCCCCGTCGCCCCCCCCCGTCGCTCCCCCCCCCCGTCGCTTCCCCCCTCCCCCGTCGCTTCCCCCCCTCCCCCGTCGCCCCCCCCTCCCCCGTCGCTTCCCCCCCCCCCGTCGCCCCCCCCGTCGCTCCCCCCTCTCCCCGTCGCTTCCCTCCTCCCCCGTCGCCCCCACCCCCGTCGCTTCCCCCCTCCTCCGTCGCTTCCTCCCCCCCCCCGTCGCCCCCACCCCCGTCGCTTCCCCCCTCCCCCGTCGCCCCCCCCTCCCCCGTCGCTTCCCCCCCCCCCCCCCGTCGCCCCCCCCCGTCGCTTCCTCCCCCCCGTCGCCCCCACCCCCGTCGCCCCCACCCCCGTCGCTTCCCCCCTCCACCGTCGCTTCCTCCCCCCCCCCGTCGCTCCCCCCCCCGTCGCCCCCACCCCCGTCGCTTCCCCCGTCACCCCCCCCCTCCCCCGTCGCTTCCTCCCCCCCCCGTCGCTCCCCCCCCCCGTCGCCCCCCACCCCCGTCGCTTCCCCCCCTCCCCCGTCGCCCCCCCCCTCCCCCGTCGCTTCCCCCCCCCCCCCGTCGCCCCCCCCGTCGCTTCCTCCCCCCCGTCGCCCCCCCCGTCGCTCCCCCCTCTCCCCCGTCGCTTCCCCCCCTCCCCCGTCGCCCCCCCCCGTCGCTCCCCCCCCCCGTCGCTTCCCCCCTCCCCCGTCGCTTCCCCCCTCCCCCGTCGCCCCCCCCTCCCCCGTCGCTTCCCCCCCCCCCCCGTCGCCCCCCCCGTCGCTCCCCCCTCTCCCCCGTCGCTTCCCTCCTCCCCCGTCGCCCCCACCCCCGTCGCTTCCCCCCTCCTCCGTCGCTTCCTCCCCCCCCCCGTCGCCCCCACCCCCGTCGCTTCCCCCCTCCCCCGTCGCCCCCCCCTCCCCCGTCGCTTCCCCCCCCCCCCGTCGCCCCCACCCCCGTCGCCCCCACCCCCGTCGCTCCCCCCCTCCCCCGTCGCTTCCTCCCCCCCCCGTCGCCCCCACCCCCGTCGCCCCCACCCCCGTCGCTTCCCCCCCTCCCCCGTCGCTTCCTCCCCCCCCCCGTCGCTCCCCCCCCCCGTCGCCCCCACCCCCGTCGCTTCCCCCCTCCCCCGTCGCTTCCTCCCCCCCCCGTCGCTCCCCCCCGTCGCCCCCACCCCCGTCGCTTCCCCCCCTCCCCCGTCGCTTCCTCCCCCCCCGTCGCTCCCCCCCCCGTCGCCCCCACCCCCGTCGCTTCCCCCCTCCCCCGTCGCCCCCCCCTCCCCCGTCGCTTCCTCCCCCCCCCCCGTCGCTCCCCCCCCCCGTCGCCCCCCACCCCCGTCGCTTCCCCCCTCCCCCGTCGCCCCCCCCCTCCCCCGTCGCTTCCCCCCCCTCCCCCGTCGCTTCCCCCCCCCCCGTCGCCCCCCCCGTCGCTTCCGCCCCCCCCGTCGCTCCCCCCCTCTCCCCCGTCGCTTCCCCCCCTCCCCCGTCGCCCCCACCCCCGTCGCTTCCCCCCTCCCCCGTCGCTTCCCTCCCCCCCCCGTCGCCCCCACCCCCGTCGCTTCCCCCCCACCCCCGTCGCTTCCCCCCTCCCCCGTCGCCCCCCCCTCCCCCGTCGCTTCCCCCCCCCCCCGTCGCCCCCCCCCCGTCGCTTCCCCCCTCCCCCGTCGCCCCCCCCTCCCCCGTCGCTTCCCCCCCCCCGTCGCCCCCCCGTCGCCCCCCCGTCGCTTCCCCCCTCCCCCGTCGCTCCCCCCCCCGTCGCTTCCTCCCCCCCCCCGTCGCCCCCACCCCCGTCGCTTCCCCCCTCCCCCGTCGCTTCCCCCTCCCCCGTCGCTTCCCCCCCCCCCGTCGCCCCCCCGTCGCCCCCCCCGTCGCTTCCCCCCCCGTCGCTTCCCCCCTCCCCCGTCGCTCCCCCCCCCCCCCTGTCGCTTCCCCCCCCCCCCTGTCGCTTCCCCCCCCCCCGTCGCTTCCCCCCCCCCCGTCGCTCCCCCCCCCATCGCCCCCCCCCCCGTCGCTCCCCCCCAGTCGCTCCCCCCCCCGTCGCTTCCCCCCGTCGCTCCCCCCCTCCCCTGTCGCCCCCCCCCCCCTCCCCAAATGCGTTCGAGCCCACGGGGTGAGAAGCGGCCCTGGCAAATGAAGAAGCTGCCCGTGCCATTGTGGGCTCACATCATCAGCAGGGGGCAGTGCACCAAAGCCCATTGTTGTACTGCACTTTGCTCGCTATGCCCCAGCGTCTTCACGAAGGGGCCTGCTCAGCGTCTCTGTGGCTACACTAGCCCTCCCTGAGCCCTGAGCCACCCGGCGAATCGTGTTCTTCACTCATCGCCACAATGCAGTGGCGTCTACCCGCTCGTTTGCTAAGTTTATCATTCAGCAAAGTCCGAGCGAAGCCAGGGCCGCCGCCGCTGCCTCTCGGTCTCTGCCCGCAGACTCCCTCTCTCTTCGGCTGCCATTCCAGGACAGACCGTGGCTTCAGCGCGGCCTGTGCGGTCTTTCCGCGGCTGCTGGCAACAAGAAGCCAGCGCTGTGTGTGCTACTCGACGGGCTCCTGGTGGCAGAGACGGAGTCGAGGGACCAGGGGCCGGCAGCTTGTGAAGGTGGCGGCCTGGCTGCTGGTGGGACTCGCTGTGGTGGGCTTCCCCGAGCACCTCCGTGATGGCCCTAGCCACCTCTCAGTTCTTCTCTCCGCGGTGAAATCTTCCAAGAGATGGAACGTCCACGACGATGAAGATGATGATGGTGGTGGTGGTGATGAAGAGAGGATGGGTCTCTTGCCTAGGACGGAGTGCGAGGGGAATTTGAAGAGAGACATGGGACCATGGGGCTCGGCTGTGTGGGCGAGCAGGGATCTACTCCAAAAGGTCAAGGTGAGCTAATTGTTGATGGCCCACAAGTTTCGCTTGTTTTGATTTTATACCGTCGCTTAAGTCCAGAAAAATCCTGAAGTATCTGTACAAAGTTGCGTGTGTGTATTTTTAAGAGGGTCCGAGTTCTGCCTGGGATCTCGGACTCCTTTATGAATTGCAGACACTAAAGTGTTGTTGTGTGGTGGCATGATACTAACACTGTTGGGCTCAATCCATCAGGCAGGTGCATTTCAAGTCGATGAGAGAGGACTATGGATTAGGGAGGCTTTAATCCAGCACAGGTCATTACATAATGATAACAATGATTAATGCTCTTTACTAAGGAAAGCCAAAGTAAGTCCCAAGACCCATTTTCAGGATAATCCTGCTTTGCGATGTTTGTGCCAAATTAACCAATTAGTGGTTGTTTGTGTGGAAGGAATCCATAGTATCCGGGGAAAACCCTGGCATACAATGCAAGGGATAACAATTCAATGGATGTGTACTGCCATCTCTTGGCCACCTTTGATTGAGCTCTTTGATCTACCTCCCGTTGCCTTAAAGGCGTTGAATGACAGCCATCCCGTTGCATAAATTGCCTGTGAGAGTGGCTTGGCCATGCTTTACACTACTTGTCAGTGAGAGTTGGTGAAGGGTTGACCGGTCAAAGTTCCACTCACCGCTGATGTTGGCAGTGGTAAGCGTTCAAACTCGGTTCGCTGAGTTCAGAGTTAAGTGTGCTATCTATTGCGCCACTACTCTTGCCCTACAGAATACGATTAGCACTCAAACACAGGCTCCAAAAATATATTGAGACTCATTGTGGCATTCCCGAATTCATTGCAATATACTGAAGACGGAACTATTATCAGCAATGGAAAGAAGAACCACGGAAATGAAAGAATGCTCAAACTGCTGAGAAAACTCAAATACTAAAGTGTATAAGTCTTCAATAAGGACTTTCCAAACACTGGTATACATGCAGCCTGTAAGAATCCTACTTACCATACTACCAGCTGTAGGAATAATCTGGTTGCCCAACGATCCATCAACCCTTCCTCCCAATAGCTGTATTTGCTGACATGCATCAGACTGCATCCATGATGAGTTGAATCAATTTAATAACAACATCAATTTTTGGATTTTGCCAATCCAATTGTTTGTTAAAACATGTTATTGGAACTCAGATTGGGAACTTGGTCGAATTCCATTAGTAAATGTGATTAAACTTTTGGATGTTCTTTATCAGTTTAAAAAAGCCTTCAAGATGATAATGGTGTATTTTTCAATCTGCATGGTACTTAGCAAATAATGATTTTTTTTCATTGAATGTTTTTAGCATTTACACAAAAACTACATTAAATGCTCAGACGTTTTCAGTAACAAGCTACAAAGTGATAGAATCTGGGTGAAGTTTGTTAAAACATTTTTTACAAGGTTGTATTCTACGCTAGAGGGCAGCTGAGTCGCATTTGTTTTGCAGTCACTGCCCAATCTCAAAAGGACAATAATAATGAATGTTCTAATGGTTTTCTCTTCTTCCCTTATTTGGACATGTTGGGTATTGAGGACGAAGTGGGAGCGCCTGGCATGGTTGTTGGAGTGTCGGTGAATGGAGAGGTTGTTTGGACTGAAGGTGACTGGAAATTCCACACAGTGTAACACAGCAGTATGACGTAAACCACATAGCCGAATAGTGTGTATTCCTCAGTACAAACTTTGTTAGACGTAGTCTACTTTATAAAAAAATTCAGCACAGTTTTCTCGTTTATTTTAGTTTCAAGCATTGCACGTAATATTATCCAATTTCCTGGCTACATAGCATAGCAAAAGCCTACATTTTCCCATGGTTAATGGAAATCTACATTTTAAAACTTAACATATTTTTACTGTCTCGTATTTATTTATTTTGTATCCTACAGTTTCGTTTTCCACATCCTAAATGTAATATAACATATCATGTGTATAATTTCCATACATTGTAATAATTTCTCACATCTGTAATTCGAAGCATGTATGATAAGCAAATATGAATCAATTTAATCAATGTCTGCTTGGATTATTACATGTCTAACAATGAGTTTTAATAATTTGGAGAAACTGAATCATGAGACTCTGTGCCTGATGCCCCTAATCTCCACCTTTCTTTGACTTCCAGGACTGGGCTTCGCTGACCTGGAGAACCGCCTGCCATGTCACGGAAATACGGTGATGCGCGTCGCAAGTGTGAGCAAGAGCCTGACAACGGCAGCTTTAGCGCGGCTGTGGGAGGCCGGAAAGGTTGATCTGGATGCACCCGTGCAGACCTATGTGCCTGACTTTCCCGAGAAGGAATTCCAGGGCCAAAAGGTGAGTCCTGACGTCACCAAAACTTTTCAGGAGTTTTTGCCACATTGTGGCCTTGTCTGGCATTGTGGAATGCCTAAAAGGCGTGGAACATTTCACCATCCCAGTAATTCGATAGTTTGTCATCAAGATGCGGCATCACAGTGCATGACTAAAGATACTTATTTGGTATGCTTCGTTCATTTGCCGAATGAAAATTTAAATAATTATCATAATTTCTGAAAATAATTGATTTATAATTGTGAGCCTAATCAAAGCTTATAATGAATGATGTGATGCATTGTTACATGCCTAATACATAATGTTATAAACTATAAATTAATGTTCTGGTAATTGGTTAGAGTTCCAGGCTTGCAACTAGGTGCAAGGATTGCAATTGAAAGGTTACATTTTAAAGTTATAGTGTGGGGCCGATTCAGGTCTTTAACCATCTGAGGTAAATAAAACGAGTTCCACTTTGCAAGCAGTCAGCAGTGGTTGTCCTGTGGATGGACTCACCCCTGCCATATGAAAATAGAATTTCCAACTCCTGGCTCAGGGTTGTTAATAGGATACAACTGCTGCACACATATATGAGATGACATTGTCATAATTTACAAATTATAATCGTTGTAAATTCTCTTCTGTAAAGCCAGGCTGGCTTTGTGCACTGTTGTCATGAATTTTTTTTTCATCCTTATGTCTGAAATTAAACTGCTGCTTTGTATTTTGGATGTGTGTTTTGTGTTAGCGACTATGCTGCAATTGTTTGGGGCATAGAATGGAGTCGCACATTTTGTGCTGCCAGTGTTTGAATTTGGATTGCAAGAGAAGTTAAGCCTAACTCGAGTTATTCTTGGCAGGTGACCATCACTCCTCGACAAATTTTGTCTCACTTCTCGGGGATTCGCCATTACGAAAAGGACCCACAGAAAGTCCGGGATGAAGAGGAAAAACGAAAAAAAGCCCGAAGTGGACAGAAAGTGGACAGGACCGAGAAGAAAGCAAGTTTGGCCAGCAAGAACAACTCGGAGGACAAGAAAAAGCAACTAGAAGGAAACCCTAAAGAAACAGACAAAGTGATAAATGCACCAAAACTCAGAGGCAATAGTCAGGAGTTTTCAAAAGAGGAATATTATCTGATGGAGAAATTTTCAAGTGTGAGCGACTCGCTGAAACTGTTTAAAAATGATCCCCTCGTATACAGACCAGGTAAGCATTTAGAAAAGATGTAGGATTTTTCAACTATCAAAACTTTCATAATAACTAGACAAGTCCATAGTGAAATAACTATGTAAAACAATAACCTATAGCATATACAAAGCAAAATGTATTATTAATTAATGTACATGTTCTTACTTTACTTTTTATGTCACCAGGTAAGGTTCACGAAGCTAAATAACTTTTTATAGGAGTAACTTGACAGCAAATGATAGCTCAACAAAGTGGCTTATCATGTGGAAATATATAGCAGCCAAATACTCCAAACGCACATTTCTAAATTGATTCTCACGTGCACAATTCAGTGCATGTAACGTAAGCGTAATCATTTCGATCGATGAACATCTGCATCATTAGAAGCCTAATGTGAAGTCGTTGACAAACAAATCAATGTTAAGCTTTTTTTGTTTTTTAGAGCCTGACACTTTTCCGAGCCATCTTTCCCATCGCCCCGTCCCGTGTTACGCCCAGGCACCGAGTTTCTCTACTCGACGCACGCTTTCACCCTGCTGAGCAGCGTGGTGGAGAGCTGCTCAGGTGACGACTTCGTGCAGCACATGCTCAAGATGTTCCGCCAGCTCGACATGCTGAATACTTTGGCCGATCTCAATGAGCCCATCATCTATAACCGCTCCAGGTGGGTCTCCCTGACCGTCAAGCCGGATGGGATGCAGGCGCACGCACTGCCTCGGGCATGGAGCTGACTGTGCTTTGGCCTTCACAGCTGTAGGAATTAAATTGCAATACAAATATAAAACGTTCATAGTTACCTACTTAGGCTGTTCGCGCCATGGTTTGTCTGATGTGCTTTTGACGACGTGAGTCGGGAGCTTCAGTGAATGTATCGTGAGCGTGAGAGTCGGGGTTTTAATTGATAAATATACATGTTGTGTGCCGAGTAATCGTGCATTATGCTTGAGGTTAAGTGTGTTAAGGGTCACTACTGACGATGCGCTCCCCAAATTTCACCAGGCTCACTGTTCATGAACTCTTGGAAGTGCTTGCACAAAGGATAGTAACATCTCATCCTGTGTTTTTTTGGAATCTGTGTTTATGTTCCACCATTCTCCTGCTTTGTAGGTATTACGTGTTTAACAAAAGGGGTCGGATTTTGAATGCACAGTATGTCGACAACTCGTACAAGTGGGCTGGGGGTGGCTTCCTCTCCACTGTGGGAGACCTGCTGAAGTTTGCCAACGCCATGCTTTACAGCTATCAGGTATCATCATGCACCCTAAGTCAGGGGTCAGCAACCATAACAAGAAGAGCCATTTTCGAATTTCTTTTAAAAAAATCACTATAGAGTTGCAATGCATGTAAATAACGTTAGGAAACAATCCTTAAAGAGCTGCTTCCGGTTCCGGAGCTGCAAGTTTCTGACCCCTGACCTAAGTCTTTCACACTGCAGTAGCTTTCATAATTTGTGTTGAAAATGTATTGGACGTACGAGTTTGTGGATGGCATAGTTTTGGGGAATTCCCCACATGCAAATCATCCCAATGTAGGATCGTGAAAATATTCTTGAAACGCAAGAGTTTTTCCTGGCTAAATTAATGAGGTATCATTACACGCTATCTTTTTAACTTCCAGATAGCATATCCCATAGCACAAAACATCTTATCTTGCTAATTGTTTTAACCAATTTATTGTTTCAAGCATCTTTAAAGTGGCCACCATTACGTGCAGCCATTCCTTTTCTGCTGCTGCATGAAAGCCTCACACCGACACCATTATCATCTTCAGTCCCATGCTGCTGCAATCCTCCAGAACACAGAAGCCCAAATTTCATCCATCCAGCTGCTCTCTGTCTCTCGCCCTGTGTTCCATTGCCCCGTTGCAGACGGAAGCCTCGGATGTAGATAACGGCCATCTGCCGGGCTACCTCAAGTCCACGACCATGCGTGCGCTTTGGTCACCTGTCCCCGGCAGCGAGATGTCTTGGGACCGGGACGGTGGATATGGCATGGGGTGGGGCGTGGTTGAGAGCCGGCAGGAGTGCGGCGCTTGCCGGCGCACTCGCCGCTACGCTTCGCAAACTGGCGGCGCCGTCGGGGCCAGCTCCGTGCTGCTCGTGCTCCCTGCCGAAGGGACGCCATCCCCTGAGCAAGGGCCGCACCTCCCGCGTGGCATCGCGGTGTGCATCCTGTGCAACCTGCAGTCAGTCGGCCTCAATGCTGCCGCTTTGCAGATAGCCCTCGAATTTGAGAGATGTGCTCAAATGACTGTGTGTGAGCATTGCCCATGAGCCAAGGAGACGTGAAAGTCACTTTGTGTAATGGACATTTGCGTTCAGGAGACCAGGGTTCAGTAGCCGGTTGTTTAAAGCAGCTTAGGTATATTTTTCCTCCCAGTGTTCTTTAAAACAGTGTTTGACTGAATGTGTAGCCAAAGGCAAATGGGGTTGAGGTCCGATAAAAGCATCGTTAGACGATGTGAAAAAGTGGATGCCTAGGGAGACATCTGTAGCGATTGGTACAAAGTAGCGGTGACTGTAGAAGGCGCTCTGATAATTGCTACCAGAGCCTGCAGTGCTAAGGCAATGGAGGAAAAAAAGTAAAGGGGAAAATTAACTGAAGGTGTTTTATGCAGGTCACTGCATTTTGCCATATGAAGGGAAACATTCAGATCGGCCATGTTACGAGTTGGCAACTGAGTAATTGACAGTATTAGCTTCATAATATTCAACTGTATATAGAAAATATTGCAGTTTTATGGTAGCATAGACATTTAGCAAATGGCTACCTAAGTGTGCCAAACAAAAAAACCTCGCCATTTGATGGCAATAAATGATAACGCAGGTGATGCACTCGTGGCCTAAAAGCTAAACACAAAAAGTAATTCTAAAGTAATGAGTTTTCTATTTAAAAGAGCATAGCTCCAGTGGCTTCCTAATATTAGAAGGAAGAGCGTTCCAGACGGCCGCAGAAGCGCAACTGAAAGCATGTGATGCAGTGACCGTCTTTGTTCGATGGTTAGCCAAAAGCAATGACCAGAGTTTACGTGATGGTTTATGCTCCTTTGTGGCAAGCACTTAGTGCTGAAAATTCGGGTTCACCTTTAGGAGGTGGTAATCTGGTTTATGTTATGTTGAACACAACGTAAGCCACTGATTTAATTGTTGTATTGCTACCGGTTATGAAACGGTGGCGCCATGTAGTGGAAACATGTTGCGTGTTCAAAGGGGAAGGAGTCAATTGCCCCTTTTGTTGTTTTAAAAGGCTTCTTGATTGCAGACATCGTTGATTTTTTTTTAAAGGCCATGGAACACCAGAGCCTTTATTTTCTAGATAATTGACCTCACCTGATTTTTCGTCACTTGCCAGTTTCCAAAGCCAATGTTCTTTGTCCTGTTACAAACTTACGCCACGGGTTTATTACAACAGTATTGTGCAACATGAGTAACTTGTGCTTTAAATTGTTACCAAACCATGTGAGCTGGGACGATCATAGCTGGCCCGTTGCCCATCGCCAATGAACCAACTACATATTCTCACAAGCAATAACATTTTATGCTGTGCATACCAAACCCTGCCTTTTATGGACTTTTGTATTGACTGCAATCTTTTTTTTATGGGCGGGGAGTTTAGATGGTTAAGAATCTTCCCAATTGTAAAATGTTCGAAAAATAAAACAATCCTTGGATAAGGTAGTGGATGTTTTTTTTTTACAAAAATTTTTACCGTCACCTAATTTTAAAATGGGATTCCTTCTGACTGTGTCATGCTTTGTGTGCCCACTGCTGAGATCAACTGATGGGGCACCGCTGCCCACCAACCTGTTTGGATGCAAGCGTGGAGCAGTGGTACAGTGGTTAACTTACTGAGTGACAAACCTGCTGACTTCAGTTAGATTCCTGGCCTTAAATAACATCAGTTGCAAGTGGTAACAAAACTTTTATCTGGGTGTCTCCTACTAGATACATGTGTGTAAAACATCACTACTAGGGGGAGACAAAGTATAAAGGCTAGGCGTGGTGCTAGCCACATCACCCCCTCGTGTTTCTGCGCCATGCCGACCTTAATAGGTGCTCGCGTACATGACTCGCCTCAACAATTTGTAAGGCTATAGACGGTATTTCCTGATGTGTGTGGGGGCGGGTATGTGGTACACCCTTGCTGTCGTGAGGAAATGCGGTAGTAATGCTTCCCTGGGCCCTGGCCCCTCGGCGGCCTGACCAAATAAGGCAAAACTGAAAGCCAGAGCATGACTCCCCAGCGGCACAGTGATCTGCGGAACATCAGTCTTTCTTGCGAACATAAACAGAAATGTATTTAAGAAAAAAAACTGTGCAGCCCGTAGCGGAAAGCTTAATGTACGAAAATATTTTTTCGTGTACCGGTTTTAAAACTTTCTTAGAATTGAGATAACAATACAGCCTTATAACTTTTAAAAGTAGTTTTTTGGTCATGGGTCGGTTGTTTTTTTTTACAAAAACAAGATGGGCTTCACATTGACTTGCCATAATTTGATAATGTTGGTGATTATTGACTGAGCCAGAGCAAAGTACATGCTGCTGCATATAGAGGCACTCGGAAACTGGGCTGAGAGATACTTCTTGGCTGCCGCTTCTCAATACGGGACCTGATTATCTCATCCGTCGGTCAACAATGTTAAACGCATTCCATCGAGATGTGCAAATCGGACCGGATGACAGCAGGACACTGGTGTCGAGAACCCAAGAGCGACACTGACCTCAAAAATGTTTTCCATTTTCATTGCTTTGAAGTTGCTTGCGAAAGCCTATGAAATGACGCGCTACCCATGACAGTTATGGTGCAATTCAATGAATGGTTTCAATAATTGATTATTATTTTAAATATTGAGGTGCGTGTGGGGGCCTCGAGTTCCTGGGTCACTTGAACCCATTCTAAACAATATATTTTAATAAAACATTCCTTATATGATTCGATGCATGTATTGTGAACTTAAAATGAAATTCATCATTGACTCAACGAACCGCAAATGACAGCTGGAATCTCTGGGTGAGGCTCCTTTAACGTGTAATCCTTCCTAATCTGCAGTTTGGCTGTAATCGATGCTCATGCCACTGCATCCAGGAAAACACCTGTACAATTATACCAAAGAGTATGTATGGATTCCTGCAGGTTCGAAAGCTTCAAATCAAGATTGAACCACCTGTACAATTACCCACGCCTGGCACGCGCCACGCCACTATTGTACAGATTGCAATAATCTACAGGGATGTTAAGTCCATTGCATGACTAATCTGGTTGTGCATCATACTACGGCGGGATGCTTCCAATGTTTACGTACGGGCAGGTTCGGCGTTTTCTTTGAACTGCAAATCCCTGCACAACCGGTGTCCGGATATGCAGTGCATCTTGGCACATGGTTCGTGAGAAAATTGTTACCATACTGGGTTTCTTTTAAACTAAACTTTTTATTTATTTAAGGCCCACTGAGATATATTTCTCTTATTCAGAAGCGACCTGGCCACAAATGATGGTTCAACGAAATGGCTTATTACGTGGGAATGTACAGCAGATAATTACTCGTCCAAATGCATGTTTCTAAATGTGGATAGAAAGCCCGGAGAACAGTCCACGTGACCGCAGGGAGAACACGCAAACTCTAGATATACAGCAGGCGTCAAGGGTTGGGAACGAACCCACGACCTCACGTATACCAGGCGAGGCAGTTCACATCTCGCCACAGGTCTATCTCTAAGCAGTTGCCAATTTACGTACGTATCGGGCTCGGTAAAATAATAACTCCCGTGTACAAAAAAACCTCGCAAAACAAAATAATTGCTGAGCTAATGTTTTCATGTGGTGCTCATGCAGACTTCTTTTAATCTTAAAACATTTGTTTGCATTGACAACACCAAAGAACACATCCAAGGCTACAATATGTGAATGCACAATACATTGTGATATTTCAGGTGACTTTATATTATTGCATAGTCCAGATACCTGACGGCTGCAGTTACGCAGATTGCATGTGCGGATGCATACAATTGTGTCAGTGCACATCAACACCGGTTGAACTCAAAACAGCTGTGAATTCAATGTAACGCACGCATGCCTTCCATTCAACTAAAGAGCCTTCATGGGCTGACCATCACGTGGCACGATGCAGTCTGTTCATTCAGAGCGTTTTGCTTGAGCCGTTTCGCAGGCAAGACGGTGAACTGTACGTTGCATCTCGAGGATTGTGGGGAAAAGCCAAGAGAGGCAACTGTATGTTGCGTATAAAGGATTGTGGGGGTGAAAGCATCGCAAATCAAAATAGTTTTACGTTTGATGACGCTGACAACTGGTAAGAGCTCGGAGCAATGTTGGTGATTTTGGATCAAAAGTTCGGATCATATCAAATATATATGTTTTATTCATTGCCCTTAGGCAGGTGATTGTTAATAACATGTGTGGTGTTTAACACCGTTAACTTACTGTTAATCTCAAACGGTTGCTGAAATGGTGAGCTAGTGACAGAAATAGAACTGTGGAATTTGGACAAACCAATGGGGCGCTATGTAGAGTACACTTACCAAATCGGTAACAGGTCGCCCCCTCTCATACAAGTTTATCAACTTTCATTATTCTGAGTAATTTAATTAAAGATTGAGTTTTTATCTAATTTGTCCTCTTGTGTTGTCTCAAAGTTAACAATTGCTTATAAATTGCATACACCGTCAACGTTCTTCTTTTTTGCAAACACTTCAATACAATATGTTAAGAATAACGGTCGTAATTGATGGATCATTGCATACCTATCCTTCAATATTAGGTATATAATGAGCAATCAATGAACATCATGTCAAAATTTGGAAATGCAATGATTTATGCATGAGAATTAATGATCCGCTATTTGACTATCTTTTGACTTCATGCCACGACAATACTGACAGGGTCGGTGACAATCTGGCAGCCAACTCGTGGCCCACATCCAACTGTCTCGGGCTATAGCCCATCCACTTCTGGGAGAGTAATTCCCAGTTCCAGACAATTTTATTTTTCATGTTATTGAGCCTTTTCATCCTCGACTTCCTCTCATCCGTGCTCCACTGGTGCTGCCATACATGAGGACATCAGCGTGTATGCAAATTATATATATTAAAAAAAAACTTCTATGCTAATAAAAACACAGAATAAAGAGAAACAATGCAAGTGAACAGATATGAGATTTTTTTTTACCATATGCTCCACATTACTAGACACAGTTTCCCTTTAATTTAAGACAAAAGTTGTAAGTGCATCTTATAATCCGGGGCCACTTCCTGGAGTCGTTCAGTAAAGCACTCGTTCATGTTGAAGCTTCTCTGCCTCTGGTCTGATTAAGGAGTGAGTCGAGGGTTGCTCTGGAGGGTCAAGACACAACAGTAGGTGAGTGTGTGACCATATTTGTTGAGCTTTAATGACACCTGGCACAAGTTTGGAGGGTGGAGGGGGTCTGTCTTAATTTCTGGAGTGTTTTACAATCTGAAGAATGCGGTCATTTAAACTCAATCATGACATTTCATTGAATTGCTTGAGGGAGATTTATTTAATGACTGTTACCCAGCCAGCTGACCCTAGCTACAGTCCACCACCGCTGGCCAACCGAGGCCAGCCAGCAAGTGGCCACAGTTGACAATGACACTGCTTTGAGGTGCGATGCGTGTTGCCCCGTGGCCCCCCCGGGGCTGCCGAACGCGTGCACTGCTGTGTGCGGTGTGTGTGGAGCCACGCGGGGATGAGGGGACGGCGACAGTGGCGCCCGTTCACATGTTGTTCAGCTCCAGCAGGGTCTGGTCCAGCACCTGGTTGATTCCCAAGTTCTCCTCCTTGGCTCTGGCCAGTTGCTCTGTTGACAGGGCATGAAGGTTAGGAGATCGTCACGCCACTGTCCGGTACATTTTCGAGTTTAGTACCGCGTTGTTTTGGGAGTATGTCCGACATTTACCTCCGCTTGCTCAGAGTCTCTTTAAGTCAGTGAATTGTGCAGCTCATTTACACAATCGAGGGACAAAGTGAGGTGCTCAATTCAGTTCGTCGAAGAAGCTCCCAGTATGTGGAAAGAAATGTTGGATATTGCTGCCAAAACTACACGTGGAGCAACTGAAAACACATCAGAGATCTATATAGCACGACAGCAAAAAAACAACAACCCTGCAGTAGATAGCCACACCGTTCAGTGCTTCTGCTGGCACATGTCTACTTCACAGAGCCCAAGGACAACAGAAACGTGCAGGAAATGGCACACAAATTAAACCGCCGTACGTTTAGTTGGAATGTTGCAACGTTTCTCAGCCCGTTGTCTACGACAGGACTTGGAAACGCTGCGGTTTGCTCTTTTGACTCTCTGACCTTGGGTGTCAACGTGACCGGTCCACTACCCTCTTATGAGTGGTGCAGGGAAATAAATGTTCATGAAATGTGTGGATCGGTTCACTGGCAACCATTTTCTTTGAGTCTCCCTGCCAACGACATAGGGGAGTGAGCAGTCGCGCCCGACTGCGTTCCTGTCTGCCCACCGACCTCCGCTCAACTGTTTGAGTTATCTGGCTGGAATGTTTCACAGACTCAGCCGTGGCCGCAGTCCATTTCCAGACAAATGTTTCACATCAGAAGGTGCGTGCCATTGTTCCGCTTCATCCAAATTAAGTCTAGATCACCCGATAGAGTGTCGAGTCAAATGCACACTAA